CTACGAAAGCCCATTAGCGCCAACCTCGTCCCCAGTGCTTACTTTATTTCCAACCGCGTTTCCAATAGTAAACCCTGGATAGGAAACTTTCTTCCTGTATCCTGATTGGATACCGCAATTGCATTGATCTCCATACACAGTCTGTGTATATGGAGATCAATGCGCAATTGGCCTGTAATGGATTTTTATCGTGTACTTGGTGCTATTATTCACAATTGTTATTTTCGCGATTCGTCCACGCCTTCTCGAAAATACTAATTTCCTTTCCATTTTGCTCATATGAAATATGATACTGCATGTTGTCTCGATAAATGTGTAACGCATATCCAGGCACCAGACTGTTCCTCATTTGCATACGTGTTCAAAAATCTTGCACATGTAATTCGTTATTACGGATTATTAATTCGTTATTACGGATTATTAATTCGTTATTACGGATTATTTAATTCGTTATTACGGATTATTTAATTCGTTATTACGGATTATTAATTCGTTATTACGGATTATTTAATTCGTTATTACGGATTATTAATTCGTTATAACGGATTACTAATTCGTTATTACGGAATATTAATTCGTTATTACGGATTATTTAATTCGTTATAACGGATTATAAATTCGTTATTACGGATTATTAATTCGTTATTACGGATTATTTAATTCGTTATTACGGATTATTAATTCGTTATTACAGATTATTTAATTCGTTATTACGGATTATTAATTCGTTATTACGGATTATTTAATTCGTTATCACGGATTATTAATTTGTTATTACGGATTATTTAATTCGTTATTACGGATTATTAATTCGTTATTACGGATTATTTAATTCGTTATTACGGATTATTAATTGTTATTACGAATTAAGTCTGATGTTCTCACACGTGGAGAGCACGTGACCAGGGGCCTATGTATATAACGCCGCTAGGCGGCGCTATCTTTGCATACAACGTTAGCACTCCTGTGCCATACTTGCCGAGTAATGACTCAGAACGTATGAGTAATTCGTAATAACGAATTAATAATCCGTAATAACGAATTAAATAATCCGTAATAACGAATTAAATAATCCGCAACATATATACTTGCAGTGGCGCTAATGGGCTTTCGTACTCTTCCTATATTGGTGAAGCCTATTACAAGTCCTCACAAGTACACCACAAGCCGTACTGTCGTTAAATTTTTAAAAATACTCGTTATTTTACGGAAAATCACTGTCACACGTTTGCTACCAAAAGCCATAAATTACGGTCAGGAACGTGTTCCTAAAATAACGTGACCGTAACAATTTGACCGTAATTAGTACACGGATTCCCCGTATTATTAAGTTACATGTTAATTTGCCGTACTGCAATGTAAACCTTGAGATGCGCGTTTACGGTTTAGTTACTAGCCCCGACGCAAAATTTCCATCTTATGATAGTTTATGCGGTACCCGCTGCTATGTACATAAGATTCGAACCAGCCAACCGATCCCGTTAGCTCGGTGGTCGAGTGGTAAGACATCTGCACTAGAAAGCAGGAGGTCGTGGGTTCGAGTCCCACCTGAGTGATTTTTTCCAACTTTCACTCTGGAGGTAACACACTGAGTATACAGTGTTTAAAACGTCGGTGAAGGGCAAAACCTAATTTGACCTTTCATTTAAAAAAAAAAAAAATCGACGGACAGATACATTGATCTGATTCCATTACATCATTGGGTTTCATTGAACAAATTCATTCATTTTGGGTGGAGTGTAAATCACAAATCTAGCATTCTAATTCTCTCTAAATTTTGTAAATTCGATCTTTACATATGTGGGGAAAAAACTGTAGTAAAAAAAAAAAATACAAAAAAAACGAAATTAAAGTATCGTTCCATCAACTTTGTAGGTTACAAATGTCAAATTAACTGGGAAACCTATATTTGAAAACTATGCCAACTTAGTACCTTTGAGGTTTCGGAGACACCTGTGACTGAAACAGTTGAGTTTTCTTTCTTCTTCCCTGAGTATGGTCAATATGAATTGTCAGGCTTGTGATATGAGTGGGAATGTTTCTCTCGTGACGGTGTGATGCTGAGTTAGCGTGCGCGCGGTTTTTTTGTAGTCTGTGGAATATCCCCTTGCACAGCAAGGATCTGTGATATGCGAGCAGATTCGGCGATTAATGCAATCATCGACATCCTGGCCATTCAGCGGGCGCCTTCTATCGGGTCTTCGGTAACCCGTCGTTGTATTACAAAAACATGGCATCCAAACCGACCAATCAAAAGCTTAGTCCATATTTCTGATGAAAATTACGTCACAGCCTTTTTTCTAGGGTCGAGAGTTTCTAAAGTTCCACCGTGGCTCTGCACCCATGAATGTCTGATCATCAGCCTGGTTTTTTTTAATAGCACCAGCTGGAATTGCGACCAGTAATTCAGACGCAGCAAAAATTATGCCTATTATTATATAGACCGACAGACAACTGAAACATTATGATATCGAAGTAACAAAATAGTTCCGACTTGTGTCATGATGCAGTTTATATTATTTTACGGAGACCAAAGCAAGTGACAAAGACTGAGTACTTGACGCGTCTCTTGTTCACGAGAATCATTAGTTGTGATTGTTTAATAGCTAAAAAGAAACTTTTGGTTTTTATTTTAGTTTTGTCTTGGTTCCCCTTTTTTTCTTTGCTAATTGTTGTTTTGAGATCGAGTACAAACCGATCACCATTGTGTTATAAGTTGTTGTCATATCATTATTTTCTCCGTCTTAGGTGACCGGGGGCTGACTCCAAGGCACCCATTGTCTCATTGTTGACGGTTGTCATTGCGTAAAACGAGCTACAACCCGATCACTGTTTTGAAATTGTTCAACTTTTCGGGTGATTAGGATAATTCCCTTTGGTTTTGTGCTGGTTCTTCTTTCTATGTTCTTTATTTTGTGATTTCCTGACAGTTATTCTCCGCAGCTTTCTTACGAACGGAACATACAACACATGAACTTGAAACATGAATATCAAACCTAATCCCACGATGTACATGTAACCCCATAATGATTGCCACTGAAATGCCACCTCAATGGTAACTCACAGGTATTCCTCTCGTATCTTAATGCACAATATCAATATTTCCTAGGCCTACATGGATCATTATTTTGTTAGCTCAAAGAAGAATTTTATTATGCCCATGCAAAGACAGACAAGCTATAAAAACATTTATTTTTAGAAAAGCACCCATTAAACTCCACATTGAAGTGATAATAAAGACTTGTAAAGCGCCGGTTTCCACCACAGATGGGCGCTTATGGCGCTTGCCATAAAATGTCCAACCCAAACCAGCGATCGATATTATTATTCAGTACATGACAAAGTCAAAAATGAATTATACAGTGTAATTACAATAACTTCACCTTGCCTCTGAGAAAAAAATAAGTCTTCAGAGCCGATCTAAAACAAGAAGTTGAGAAACAATTCTGACGGAGTATGGCAACCTTGCAGGGCGGGGGTACGAGCGAACATTTTTCCGCAGCTTAATTTGCTCCCGAACACTGGAACTGTGGAACGATCTATGTCCCCACAGTCTTCCGATACTGATCAGATACTTTGGAGTAGGCCTACATTTTGTTAATTAAGGAAGGCAGTCGAAACAAAGAGTACATTACGCTCATGCTATGACCTTAAAGATGACAGATGTTAAGCCTAGGGACGGTCTGCCCATCGAATAAGGGTGCAGAATGGGGCTAAGAAAACAAACCAGCTTGGAACATTTTTCTTTTGCAAAATTGCATTATCTTAAAAAATTAATCATTTGGATTAAGCTGGAGTGCACAATAAGTCTCAAACTGGATATTGGAGACTGGGATACTGTTGATTCAATGAGGTGACGCTCGAGCCCCGAACTTCTACCAAGAACCACAACTGCTATTTGTTTCTGATGATGATCGTAGATCAGAATATGTAAATCATGAAAGGTTTAACAAGCCACAGCAAACAGAAATATTCCTAGAGTGTTTTGCGTACCGTAATCTCTGGATTTCCAACAAGCAAATCTACTACACTGAAAAACAAAAAATATATTTCCGAGGAAATATACTGAATAGGATCATTAAATTTACTTTCTATCAAAATGTAAACAATAGACCTTTCTATGGGTACGCCATCTTGAAAATGAAAGCGCGGCATCTAACGCTAAAAAACATGGCGGCGTAAATAGTGTGTGTGATCATGGTGTGATGAACGATCGAGTGACTCGCAAATTTACAGCAAATTGACAATATAATGGAATGAATGGCTCAAAACCCAGATTCCCTGAAAAATCAACACGTCTCATTGTATTTTGAGAAGGGTCTTATTATGCGCCTATTAATTGTTGTTTTCTCCCCCCCCCCCCCGGGCTGCCCCACCCAAGACGTGGGGATTGTTACTTTTTGAAGTGACAAAATCCCACCCCTCGGGCAAAATTTAACGTTGACAATCTCTGACATAATTAAGTGGGGCGCATAGTGATTGCCTTTCCATGTAGTACCGTCAATGGTATGTGGACTACCCTCGTTAAAGAATACAATAAAATATAAAATATAAAAATTGGTAACAACAAATTGTTTTCGTGTGACAAACAATTCACCCTGGGGCATGAAAAACGTGACCAATCCCGACATCGGAGCTGGGGCGGGGGGGGGGGGGACCCGGGGAGACAATTATTGATAGGCGCGTTAAAGCCCCATTGCAAGTTTTCGTCTAATTCGGCCTCCATGGTTTGTGGCACCGCCGTACCGTCAGCTCCGAGTTCTAAACGTACACATTCTCATTTTTTCCATCTGCGGCGTTTCCTGAGCTGAAAAAAATACCTGTAATTAGTATAGTACCTTAGGCCCTGGTGGACCGTCATAGAGCAAGGAACAGATGGTACCACGGTCGTTGCAACGGGATGACGTCTTGAGCGAAGACTAGCGCATGCTGTGGCAACAACAAGTGCACGTTTCGAATGATGCAAAGTTGTGTACATTAGTTACGGATTGTCGATTGCATGCACAGCATCATATCGGGCCAGCTCGACGTCAATCTTTATCACATCGTCGTGTCATCTGCTGAAAGTTGTACCTCTGAGAAAAGTTTTAACAAGTTCAATTCAAAACCATCAAGATGACTCTCTATATGCCTCCATTGTCAACTAAGAAGAGAGGAGGTGAGCAGAAATCTGAGTAAGTAGGCCCACGGAGGAAGGAATAATGTCGAGAAAACTAAATCTCTGAATATTAATTATGTAGCCCGGCCCCATTCATGTACAATGTACTATGGCTGTTGTGCCCATTCTTGAAAATCACGCAATCTTAAGAATGTGCACGCTTTCTTAAGAATGAGCGCCCATTCTTAAGAACGAGCACGCGTTCTTAAGAATGAGCGCTCATTCTTAAGATTGGGTGGGAATATCACGTGCACAATTTATGAATTTTGCCCAATCTTAACAAACATTGCACGACATAATTATGTTTAATGAAATGTATAGCGGTTAAAAGGGAAACAATTTATATAAAGAGGAAAGAAAATGTTCTATGCTTCTGTACTCGTATAACTACGATAATTTGAATCAAATTAAACCTGTTATTATTGCTTTTTTCTGCCCACTATGGGAAGTTTTGTAATAACGGAGGACTGGGAACTAGTCTGGGAAGTGCTTTGTTTAGGCTAGACAAGTTACAAGTCCCTGTATGTATCATGCATGCCACGAAAAAAAAAACGATGTCCAGAAGCTGCCAAAATTACTCTTTTGACTAGATAGAATCCAGCTCTGCGACGTATTGGTGGGGTGTGAACAATAAATTGGTGGCAATTTAAATGGGAAATAGCATTAGCACTATGGGATGTCGCAGTATTCATTCTCATTCTTCACATTCTTCATTCTTACTTCCCCCCCCCCCCCCCCCCCCCCGCTTTTATTATCCCAAAAATCAGAATTTAATTCTTTCCACTAGTATTATTATGTCTCTTATTTTTTCCCGGTCCCCCCCCCCCCATATCAATACGCCTATACTTATCAATCCACTCTACTTTTCAGCGCCTTGCGTTGCAACAGTATAATTATTGAGAATCAGTGAACGAGGATGCAGCTAGACTTGCATAGCGCAGCCGGTGCTCGGCATCGACAAGACCGTTATCTTGTCGCGCATTCTTAAGAATGTGCGCTCAATCTGGAAGAGTTATTTTTTGCGAAGATTGTGCAAGGATCCAGTTGCACATTCTCAAGAATGTGCATGCACATTCTTGAGAATGCGTGATTTTCAAGAATGGGCACAACATGGCCACGCACTATCTTCGTGCTGAATGAAGTGCGCGTGCGTGGCCATAGAAATTTAATGGGGCTACCTCCCTGTATAAAAAATGAACATGTATCAATACAACTTCATACAGTTTACAAGTGATGTTTTTGTAAACTGTTGACCGCGGATGTTTCGGGCATTAATTATCCTGGAAGTTCACCCGGCCCTGGCCCTGTGACTGTGCCGAGAACCGCCACGAAGGAAAGAATCATAATGTTGCATCCTGGCCAAGGACCAAAAAGAAAGAAGGGCACGTATAACTACACATTAGCCGTCAGATCAGTGTTTGTAAAACAGCATCACAAATTTGTGAAAGTTCTGGTAAATGTCAATGAAGTGCATTCACCCAGCAGATTTCTTAGTTGTACATGTAAGTCAGTTTGGTTAACAGTCATATGCTTAATTCTCTTACAGTCCTGGCACAAAACGTGTGTTCGGAAACTATGAAGAAAACCTTCCAGCGGCCCAGAGCCACTACAGCACCATTCACAGTAATGTTCTTGCCGGAAGCAAGTTCTCCCCGGCCAAGTCACGGATCCTGTCTCCGGCACGACTGCACAAACCCCACCCTTCCCAGGTGGGCTTCCTCCTACAGGTAAGACATGTAGTTTATTAGGATCCCATTCCCATAAAAGGATAACCATCCACTTGTATTCCAACTGGACTCACTGAAATAGCTGGCGATGTTGACAAATGTAAGGAATGTCTTGGAAACAGGGCAGGGTTTTGAATTTAGAGGGAAATTATATTACACGAGAATGAAGATTTCGAAAGTACCAGTTGATAGTGATTGGTAGTAATTGTTGTAGTCTTACCCAGCATTAACTGGATAAAAAGAGTAAAAAGTCATAATTTTCTGTCAAAATAATTAATGTCGAGAATATTGAAAGGTAGGGGAAAGGAAGTTTGCTGGAGGTTGCAGAAGTCATTTTTGGGGGATAAAAAAGTTTGAGAAATGAAAGAGAAAGAGATTCTAAAATAGACTATTCAATCCTCTTACAGGACTGCCGCCTGATGCACGAGCCTATCTGTGACGTCAAACCCCAGTCCAAGGCCGTCAGCGCAGACCCCGAGGGCAACATGTGGTGGAAGTGGCAGGTTGGAAACGGCGAGGTAGTCAAGAGGACCCCGCCTAAGTACAGCTACCACTCGACCAATCGGGATCAGTTCCGGACACCAGAGAAGCCCCAGCTGGGACAGACGAGGCATGGCAGCAACCCTGGAACTTACGCGTCTAGTGGCATTGGTAAGAAAAGGAACAGAGTTTTATTTGTTCCTGGTCAGTTTCTTTGCTGATTTGGTAAAGAGTTCATGAATTTTTCTATAAGTAATTTAGAAAAAGCTCCAAAAAAAATGAATTATTTCAAATACATATGTGATGCGTTCAAGCTAAATGAGTCGTTTGTCTACCGCGGTCCAAAAAATTTTTGCTACAGATTTTAAAAGAGCACAATCTCAGCATTACTGCTGTGAAAACCGCATGCTGATACCATCTTTAGTTCAAAAATGATGGAAGTCGGAACACCAAGAGATGTGATGACGTGATGTGATGAAGTGGCCCTATTTTGGCCTGTATCTCCAAATGAAAATTCCCGACAAACGACTCATGTAGCTTGATCACATCACATACGTTTTTTCTTCACCTCATGATTACCATCAGAAGAAATTTGTCGTATAACTTGAGGCTAAAATCTTTGTTTCCAATTAACAATTGTTTAATACTTTTAAACAGATATTTCCATATACGATTCTACTATTGAATACTACTTCCTTTTCATGACATCTCTTTTCTCCACACAGTTCCAGTAACAAGACTGCCATCTGAGAAAGGCCCCCGCTTATTGGTTGAACACATCTCTTATGACCACCAATACAACAGCAGAACGAACCCCAGCGAGCCAATCAGAGGAAAGGTAATTTAAGACTATTTCACTCTATCTGACTACAGTAAATCTAAATTGAAATGGTCTGTTGTGACTTAAAAGTGAAGTTCAACACTTGAAAACAAGTTGAGGCTGACAAAATATTGAGTACAGGGTGAGTAAAAAAAAAAAAAAAAAACAACTGTCGGGACCATTGTTTTTAATAGTGAAGTTCTGCATGTAGCACTTTCAAAATCTAGGATATGAAAGCCCAATTCATAAGCTTTCTTTTAGTACATGTACAAGAATCATTCAAATCACTCATGTAATTTTAAGGTTACCCTAACCACAACCGCCGTATTATTTCTGTCCACGTATCACAGTGTTCTTTTAGCAAAACGAAAACAAAGCACATAGGGATGTGTGTGAATTGTTTTCGTTTTGCTGACAGAACGCACACCTTTTTTGTGATCCGTGGACAGAACTTTAAAACGGTAGTTGTGTTTAAAATCTCGTAACTTGAGTGATTTGAATGATTCTTGTACTTAAAGAAAGCTTATGAATTGAGCTTACATATCCTACATTTTGAAAGTGCTACATGCAGAACTTCACTAAAACAATAGTTGCGACATTTGCGTTTCGTTTTTTTGTTACTCACCCTGTAGATACATGTGCATGACAGTTTTCTGTGTGAAACCAAAATTGGCAAGTGTCTGAGTGATTTATGCTTTCATCTACACCTAAGAAGTATTGTATCCCCATAGAATCTTTGGAGATTATTGTTGGGTGTATGTATGCACATTACACACGAAACTACACCGATATAATACAATTAAGACATATTTTAAACCTGCTAGTAGTGGAAGAAATCTGTGAAACTGAGTAAGCAGAGAACGGACACACAGAGTGTGCAAAAAAAGTGCAACATTCAGAAAACAAATAATTAAAACTGTTTAATGTTGCAACAGGTTGCATTTACAACACAATACCATCAAACTCTAGTTGTGTAGTAAGTATGTGTGGCAAGAGCAATTTAACCAAGTGCCATCTTCTTTTCATCCGACTTCAGAAACACGGCAGCATTGTCTGGGACTGCCTTCATCCGGTGTCCCCATCCAAGCTGGCGATCGGCAGCAACAAGACAACTGTCCTGACAGCGCCCTGGGCGTCCAACACTCAAGACGATGCATCGATGACCATCAGCAAACTGTCCCCATCCCAACCGTCTTTGGAGACGGGCAGCATCAAATGCCAAGAGGCCGTGAGGCTGGGCACCCTGGAATCGACGGTGCCGCAGTTCACAGCGTTACCCCCTGTCGCATCTTGAGGGGCTTTTCTGAGAGGAATGACTTCGCCGTCCAAATACAATTTGATGAGAAGAAGAAGGTTCACATAAATCCAACATGTCTTCCAACTCCATCCACACTTCCACCTGTCATATATGGCAGAACAGCCCGAGTGTTGAAGTTTGGCAGTAATTGTTACTACAGCCTGTCTCCAAAAAAATGGTACAATCAAAAACGCATCACATTAAAGAAAAAAGACCAGGCTTTCCAATACTTTTTGTTTCATCTCATTTGCTTTTGTCAATCCAGAGATAGCTCCAGTTTACTGCGGAACACAAAAATTGAGTTTGTTTCTTTTGCCAAGTTGCAATCTTTTGTGAGCTTCAAGACAGCATGGCACAGTACTCGAAACAACTCGGCCCATGCATAAAAGTGGCACAAAAAAAATAATCGATTTTGGTGTATCGCACTAAATTGATTATATCTCTGAATTGACAAAAGCAAATAAGATAAAACAAACACCATTGGAAAGCCCAGTCTTTGTTCTTTAATATTATGCCAAGTAAGAATGACTTATTTTGAAATTTCATATTTAACCAATTTTTTTTCTGATTGTACCATTTTTTTTTAGACAGGCTGTATAACTTTCGTGACTAAATCTGATCTTAGCTTTTCTGAAAGAGATTAGCTGGTCGGAAAATGTTAGCTTTGAAATTAACCTCAATACATGTACCAAATGTAGTTTGATGCGCAGTGGATCGAAAAATTCCAAAGATGTACATAGTCAAACAATATATTTTCAGGTACTGGATTTGAAAAGCTTCTCTAAAAGAAAAACAAATTACATTTTACACTCTTATCAGTTACCCTTAGCATACCCTTATATTTTGCTTGAAAAAGACTGCACCTGAAAATCTTGTTGAAGGGGTAGGGTGTACATTGTGTATGTATTAGTATGTACATAGTAAACTGGCTTCCATAATAAATATCAATACCACCCCACATGGCATCAACATTTGGGTCAAAGTGTTTTGCAAATAAATAATGATGAGCCCTCTCCTGTATTAGGCTATCAGCCTCGTTCCAAAATTTTGGCCATCGGTATCAAATGAGGGGAGTAATCGTCATAGCGATTTTTGGCAAGGTATACACCTCCAGAGTTGGAAAATATGTGATAGCATTGCAGCGGTGGCAGCTTTTTGCGTGTTATCACCCCTTTTTTCAAAATGTCCATCAAAATGCTTGTTACCACTCTAGGGGCGGTATACCTTGCGCATGCGCACTACAATCATTTATGCCCTGATTTGATACCGGCCAAATCCCCAGGCTGATGGCCTATATTAACTATTTGTAACCTCATAGGAACTATAAAAATGCATTCCCCACGCCTCTTTTGAGTATCATTCACAAAAAATATATTCCCTTTCTCAATTGCTATTTTTTCTAGCAATACAAAAAGTTATTCACGTTTGAATGAGACATTGACCGAAAAAAATTTGGCCCATGTTTAGTTATTGAATTATTACTTTACAATTTCGAATTATTGGCTGGCCGACAATAACTCCGTTCTCCTAGGGTAGGCTGGTTCCCGCCCCACAAACAGTATTGATAATGCGCGGACCGGAAACCAGTCTGCTCACTGCTGTCTGCTCCCAAAACAAATTTTTCTTGATCACAGGTTTTCAGATGTCCAAAAAAAAGGAGGGTTTTTGGTTGGAATAAAACATATTAAGTTTGAAAATTGACGAAAAGAAACAAGAACAACAAATGCAAAAGAACAATTTGAATTTGTTGCAGAGCGCAGGGAACACAAATTTAATTTGTGTTCCCCGCTCTACAACAAATTCAAATTGTTCTTGTTTCTATTCGTGGGATTGGGCGGGGGTGGGGGGGGGGGGGGAGGGGAATGATGCTAATTAATTGCATTACTCCTTTAAAGGTGCACTTTATTTCATTCTTGCCATAACAACTATGAAATAAACCTTTTAATGTTTATAAATATTAAGATTATAATTGAAACTTGTTTATTTTTCATTGATAATTTTCATAATTGAGTGAACTTTAAGCAAATGTACCAATTTTAATAAGACGTGTATGATACTATTTGTTTGATTTCATATTTCTGTACATCAAAGATTTTAATAAGATGTATTTAAAATGTTTTTAAAAGACTTGTTTTAGTATCTCACTTTGCTAAATTACATGTCTGATGCAAAGAGAATCGCTAGTAAACTGCTTATGGCTCTCGGCTATAACTTTTTGTATTTCAATTAAATTTTATACTGATGTGAATAATTTTTTTATGGATCATTTGAATAAATAAGTAATACAAAAATTGTTCCAATAGAATAACACTCAATTTACTGAAAACATTTCATGTCAAGCTGTCGCGCAATTGTGTATTTCACTTTGTATTTCACATTATTTATGTGAATTTGGGAAACAAACGAACATTTTCATTTACATACATGTACATGTGTAATATTAATTAAAAATTGTAGTCAGAATTGAAAATGAGCTCCAACCCTTAAATTTGAAGTTGGTCTGTTTGGAAATGTCCAAGCAATCAACAAGTGAGCAATCCAGTGTATACTTATTGCAAGCCCATAATATTTGTCTGACAAAAAATTTGTGATTAACTCCCCCATCGGTAACCCATCCCCCTCCCCCTCATATGACATGATTTTGCTCAGAATTCCAACATTAGTCTCATAACAACGCTATTTCAAAGACCAAATAAAGTGCAGACTACAGTTGTTTTTTTGGTTTTTTTCCCCATTAATTGAAATTCTCTTCCACAATCCGGCTCGTTAGTGTGACGTCATCTCAACTTAACCATGCGTCCTTCACACGGTGTAGCATAGTACGAATGGAACCGGAAGCTAAGGCAATTTGATTGTTTGTCCAATGGGCGCTTAATTGTAATAAGTGGTTCGTGCGCGTGTATGACAAAGTCACTAACAAAACCGGATTGGTCAGCATTGGAATATTTCACATACCCACCTGCCGGTACATCATCATCAGGCTTCATGTACAAATGTACAATGTATCGGCATGGTGGATAAGTTCCGCTCATTCTGACTTATCAAGAGAATGTGAAACCGTAGTAAATGATGATATTTTTGATGTCAAAACACAGCGACATTTCAATGCTCATAAACCAGGGGTGTGAAATTTTAGCTTTAAAGCTGATTTCAGCTTTTTTTGTTTTGGATTTCAGCTTTTTTTCCTCACTTAGTGTGTACAAAAGTATAGGAGATTTTCAAAGTTCAGCTTTTTTTACACCTTTTTCAGCTGTTTTAAGCTATTTTTATCAGTGGTCACTCACACCCCTGATAAACACAAGTTTGAAAGCCAGTGGAATATAACCAGAAACAAACTTAACTTTCATTCCATTAAAAAAAAAGACGACTCGACTTCAGTTACACAATTCAGTTTGCTTTTCTAGAAATATTTTTCTATAGTTTATTTCCCACATTTGAAAAGTATTCCAGTTGACTGTACAAAATTATTTGCATACTTAAATTCAAAAGTTGTCTGATGATTATGATGTTAATTATGAATATTTCATATATGACACTTCAAAGTACCTTTTAGTACTAGCATACATACAAATGATCAACGACGATGAGCTGTTATAGTGCATTTTGTTAACTGTTGAATAGACCACATTGCATACATCTACGACTGTATCGGTTCACCCACAGAACTGGTTATTACAGGCAAAGTACGTTGGACCCTGATAGGGGAACGTAAAGGCATACATCATTCCCTATACTGATAATCAATCAATTATAAAACTTAACACCTGTTACAGACTGTTCCAGACAGTGTCATGCAAAACCAAATCATTCCAAAGCTTTGGAGTACATAAAAAACCTTGACATTTAAAACAAAATCCACGGAAAGCATCACTGTTGCAGTCGTCCAGAATGACCCCAGATTCCAGTCAATGGAATTTCATAAACGTGGTCCGCCTGAGTTCAACCCAAAGTTATTTGGACTGACCTAAGTTTGCTCATTATATTATTTTGGCAAGACTTACGCCAAAGTCTAAAACAGGTGTAAGATGGCTTGTAGTGCCCTCCCACCTCTTCTGTTATTATCGTTCTTGCAACATGATTGAAGCTCACTCTTTCCAGGCAGATCAAGTTCAACTTGATCTGCCTTTGCCCAAGTTTGAAAATATTTACATTCAATCACAAAGTAGTCATTCTGTAACATCACGTACATAGTAATCACATTCTGCAACTACAGATAATGATTTCTTGAGACTTTAGTACTGGTACATTGTAGTTGAGAAATCAAGAAGCAACATACACAACACAATCAAAATTTGACAACTTTTTGCTAAAAGTTAGGAAGTTTTTTGTAAATCTACTCCTATATATATTGATATTTTTTTTTTCAAAGCTGCATCTGACCTCATTAGGAAAATGTTTAAGCAAAGAAAAGTACCAGAAAATTGCACAAAATGTCTAACTTTACACGGCAATGTTAATCTAAGGTATATGGCAGTGCTCAAAACAGAAAGCTGGTCATTATTAACACTTAGAGATTCTATACATGCTCCGGCATTAAACTTTCTTCCAAAATCAACCCAAATCCCATTAGCCGAAACATTAATACACACTATACAAAGAAAATAAAATTTGAAAAAAAATTGAAATATGTGAATCTGCATAAAATACATTTTTTTTTCATGAAACATCTCATTGACAAAACTGACGGGAGTCTAATGTTAACGGTGTCTGACCCCCATACTGATTTCAAACAGATTTGTGATCTATAAATTGATTTGGGATTTGACAGTGCGATTTTGATCATCACTTCTTGACTTCTGATCAACACTGACTCTTCATACTACATTCACAACTCGAACCACAAATCGTAACTCAGGCCACACATAACAGTGGTTAAACAAGGATATAGGATTGTCTTTTTAACATATTTAAGTACAATCCACACTTTTTCACATGATTTGAGACTGGATTGACTTGTGAAGACATCATCACAATTTTGAACCAATTGGCAACGAATCTTGCAGAGGAACGCCTTGTCACTGTACATTACAATGGCTTCTGATTTGAATTGAGGCGGGATGACTCGCGATAGACTGGACAAAAACACTGAGTGTACTTTTTTCTAACTGCCATTACTGATAGTTGAGTAAAAGCAAGTGCATTGTTTCCAATGACATAATCTGGTTTAAATTTATAATTTTAGTCAGACAGAAAACAATCAACATTTATGACATATATGACACCAATTCACGTTCACGTGATCTCTCTTGAAAATAAATTATGCATAAACGTTATTGCTCAGTTATAAAGTTAAATTCATGCTTTAAGCTAATTGCAAAAGTGCATATTTTTAAGTCAATAATGTAAGAGATTACAATTTGTATCTTTTTTTTGAAAATATTACAGAAATGTAAAAGTATAAGGCAACATGGGAAACAACAGCAATTTGTTAACATGCAATTTTCTTAGACGTAGTTGACTATTATCACAAGACGTGTTCCTTTGCTATCTACCTTAATATCCAAGAAATACTCAGAATACCCTGATATGAAGAGGCATGTATAGTCATGCTCAAAATGACTCCTTTGGGTTCAAAGGTGGTCCGGAGCAATCTACATGTAAATGTTATGTACAATGTTTATGTATAGAGGGGCAAATTGATGAGTTATTGAAGAAAAATCTGAATTCCATCAGAAATTTCAGTGCCAGCATCAGTTCTGATACAAATTTGTCACATGGTCGATATACCAGTCACACCATTACAAACTATGTGAACTGACTTTTGAATCTGAGGCTGGTGTTGGATAGAAAGGTTAGTGCACAAATGAATTCAGGGGAATCTAATCACAGGCATGCAACTGGGATTTTAGAGAAAAAAAATCGCAAACTCTAAACCACACAAGACTTTGTGCAGTATTTTACAATTTGTAATGGCATTCATGAGAAGTAAAACACGAGGAAATCGGCGGAACCGAGGAACAGTTGCATGCCTGTAATCATGATGGAGTATTGTGTGAGTTCAAAAAAAAAATGCTGGTTTAGAGAGATTCTTTATAAAAAATCTCTGGGACTTATTAACAAACTGCAACCAAACTAGTAGTTTTAATAAAAAGAGGAGTTCCTACTTTTGCTGAAAGAAAACTAAACAGAATTAGCATTCCATTGTTTTGAATGCTGTCTGGGAAAAAAAAGATGCAATACTAATACCAATAAAATCTTCATTTTTTCACCCTTATGTGATTCAATTTTGCAAAATCTACAGCTAAACGCATCACTCAATGCAGAGTTGCTAATACATATAAAACAAGAGAATGGATATATTTTTCATTTTATACATCTAGACGGGACGGTCTTCTCAAAAGAGTCCTATCGTTTTTTTTGTGACGACCATAATTACAAAATTTACAAATGGTACAAACAAACAACACAGAGTTATTACATTTTTTTGGCATTTATTTGCTGAGTAGTGTTTTTTTTTTTAATAAAAGGCATAAAATGTTTATATTGGAAGAGCTGATGGCAAGTTTCATCTGTGGTCCGAAGAGCGGAAGAAATTGGTCAGGGAAAATGGCCGTCTGGCTCCCTTGGTTCCCCGACTGAGTAGGTCACCTTGAGAGGAAAGACAACAAACGGTGGTTTACAAATGTAACTTGGTTGGCAAGGATTAATGTGGCAACGGTACCACTTTGTATTTATTCCTTGATGAACCAACCATAAAATCTTACCTAACAGGCAGGGTGATTGTACAATTATATTAGCCAACACCTCGGAATCAACAATTTTGCAGTATTAAGTAAACGGAACCAAAATAAACAAACTACACAAACGATCATTATGTTGTAGTTTTAGCTTTATTAATAATGATATTTAGCTCCATTACAAAGAAAACATAGTATCAAGTGATACAACCCACGGCGGTTTCACGAACAGTACTACCGCAAATTTTGCAATGCAATGGGGCGTGATCTGTATGCAAATTAGACGCATGCGCATCAGTGTCACAAAGTTGTAGGCATTCCATAGAAACTCACTGGCAAAGCTGTGATACACACGTGGTATGGAACAGTATAATACACCACGAGTAAACTGTCCACCAACCAACCAACCTACCCACCCACCAACCCACTCACCAACCAACCAAAATAAGCAGCTCAAGCCCACGGCGTGTTTCACAACCCCGTGGGAAAAATGTCATTAAACAAAACAAATACAACATGGTTTATTTCAGGCAAGAAGTGCAAAAAGAAAATTTCCTCAATGTTGGCTGATTTTGAATACCTTCCTCTGCTTCGTGTTGGAATGTAACAAAATAATTCAACACCTAAGGACCAGTCATTTTGCACTACTTCCCCTCAATGCATGCTGTGTGCGTCTATTACTTCCCGGCAATTCGCAATATAAATTCTGTTGTTTTTAAATTGCTTGAGTTGCGTGATCACCGTGGATCTGTTAAAGTGTGGCTCAACTCTCCAAACGAGTGGTGGGCAAAATCGGATATGTCAAAATCCAGTTATCCCAATCTGATTTCACTGGAAGCTCAAATTCAGCTCACGGTCAGGTCATGTCAACAAAAAATGACGAGTAAAGTGCTGCACGCCATACTCTCCATGAGTATAGTGTGTGGAATTCAACGACCACTGGGCCTTTACGAAAACACCCCAGAGCTGTAATTTTGAAGGGAAAAAAGGTGGGAACTCTCGAATGGGCAGGCTATTCATATACCAAGACGACTGCTAAGTGCTAGCAAGTGAATGCGGATACAACCAGAGACCATGGGGCAAATAGGGGGATGTTACAGTTGTTTTCCGTAGTTTGTGTCATAAAAAAAAATGGAATGCTTAATTTTGTTAAGGTTAGTTTCAAATATCTGGATTCAAAAATCCAAACTGGAGAGTTGAATTCAAACCGAATTTTTAAAAATCTGGATTTAAATGCCACCACTACTCAACACCTTGTCAAACTTTTGTCTTACCCTTTTCTGAGAATGTAGCAAGACACAAGCGATCCATCTTATTACAGACGGCCGTCTTTGGTTCTTTCACTGGAAGAATTCCAAATGCTGCGAGACATAAAAAAAGGACAAATAAATTAATATTCACATCCTAAATCAGTTTCTCCTCTTTTTGAAACCGTGCATTGAAAAGTATCCCTCGAAAGTTGCTGTGATCATGCTTGGCTGTTGGTACGAACAGTTGAAACGATCCACAAATTGTATTTCGGTTAACTTTTCCCACTCAATTTTTGTTTATCAAGTTCATGAAGTCTTTTTACTTTTGTTCATACATGTAGGGTGCTTTTATTCCAGTCATCCTGACAAAGTCCAGGCCTTGAACTGCCAATATTTATTCTTCTTATTGTTTATTCTTAAATTACGTTTATGTCAAGTTTGTCATGAAACTGGTAACTGATTTCATATTTTGACCAACTGTACCGTTACTGCATTATTGAGCAGCTAAAAGTATACTATGTATTGATATCAGAAATTATTTTTACCTGGTGCTGATGCCTCCATAGCGACTCTGGAACCAAGAAAAAATAAAATGTAAGTGACTGATTCCTTTGTACTCATGTTTTTTTTATTGCCTACTGTAATAATCTTCTGAGTTTTGTGGAAGAGAATAAATGTATTTTGTAAAGGTGCGAACATTGTGCACGTCAAACAAACGGGATTGTTGTATTGTGCCTTGGATACTGTCATTTTATTGGCCTGGAATAGCCACATGTCCGTACAAATGACTGATTATTCTGCATACACTGCCTTGCATTTGAATTACCTCATGTACCCTACACTGCATGTAAGATATAAATTATCTCATATACACCTCGAACAAATGTATGTAGGGTCCGGGCACCTCACAACAGAAAACGGAAACCTCTCAATCTCATGTCCGGCACGAAAGCTCACAGTAATCAAAATGTTATGCAGTGATTTCATTTATTTCGACTTGAACAGCTAATTAAAAACCCATATAACTTTTGACTTATTGGCACGATATAACAAAACAATTGTTGACTGCTGTGGTGTTGAATATGGCATTTTAACCCCCTCGGGGAGCATAACACCCTTGGCTTCACCTCAGGTGCTATGCGCCCCGGGGAAGGGGGGGGGGGTGGTGGTGGTTAAAAAAGCGTATTTCACACCACAGCAGTAAAACAATTGTAAACTAGAGTGGAACGTCGCTATACCGAACACCGCTATACCAAACATTCGGCTATACCGAACATCGTCTTTGGCTCCCGATTTAAATTAATGACAACTTACTGTGTATGCATACAAGTGAAATGTGATTGAATGTGTATTATCATGGCATTTAGTTGTCAGTTGTTAGAATCATGAAATTACGCAGACTAAGGATAAACTTTGATTAGTTTTGGGGGTTAGTTTGAAATGCATGCACGAAGACAAGGACGGGCCTAGGGTACACATGCCAGACAAATACAATACATCATGATCACATACGGACATAGAAGGTATATGTACATTTATGAACCAAACTCGGTGCGTGGAGTCTTACCAAAATCCATTATTTAGCTCAAGCTACTAGTTCAAGACTAAGACTTGAGTCCAAGTCTTCCCAAGATAAAAAGTTAACCCAACAATCTATTGTGACTCTTAAAAAGAGCAATGTGAAGTTCCAGCAATTTCTATCACACGACTTTTGAAAAAAATGTCAGCATTTCTTTCTTCCTGGCGTTTCAAGCTGTGCGTTCACAGAGTACACTTTAATTACAATAACATTTTACTAACGGAACATTAAACACTAGAGTCAATCATGTCACATTCATATGACCCTTTTACGTCCTCGATCCTGTTTTCTCTCATTTCTTGAGGGATAGAGGTCACAAATCAGGACAAGCATTCAAAAGAGGGTAAAAAATACGTGCAGGCTTGAAGAAGACATGAAGATGGTCATGATGCATGAGCAGGCTCATAGCTTTTTCACTATTATTGATCACAGATCTACATGTACCCCTTATTCAGACTGGCGGTCCATGGTCATGCCAAACCAAGTCAGTCCTCTCTTTTTATTTTCAAACTGATATGCAGATTAACTGTTACAGTCAATTGGAATAACAATCAAGAAATTTGATGTCAGATGGCTGGCCTGTAAGTGTAAAACCCAATTCAAAATTTGGCCCGAGCCGAAGGAGAGGGCTATTATCGGCAACCAGGCCCCTAATCGATTTTGAACATCCTGCTTATAATTGCCCCATCACACTATTATCCCCATTCGTAAATACCTTCTTGGTTAAAACCATAAAAAGTCGAAAAAGTGACTAACTTCTGACGTGTTTTGTTCTTTCATTTTACTCCATGTCCGGGACTTTTCCATAGTGCACGAGGTGCGTGTGTGCGTGCGTGTGGACACCTCTCCCGTGGCTCTCAAGTGCGCGGGGTCTACTGTGCGCATGTGGTGCGGAAGGCACATGCTTGCGACCAATTTTAAACATCGCTGACCGTTTTATTTTGTCAGTGGTTTCGAACCATCCACGTGTCTCAGGTGTTTATAAAATGGAACATGAATACGTAAGTTCGACAGTCTGAAACCAAAGTTTATTTCGGTCTATAAAAATCACTCACAACTGATCTGGGTTTAGGCATGACTGTGGAACACCTGTCTGAATTGGGATAAGCTGTGGATTGTCAATAAATCAAGCAAACAGGGCCCTATTTCATGGCTCTGCTAACCACAGAATCCCGTGCTTACGATCACCATTTTGTGCTAACCGCGCTAGCAGAAAAATTCTGCGCTAACCCTGTAAGTACAGAATCCTTAGTTACGGGATCTATGTGTGCGCAGAAACAAAAATTCCTCGCTAACGCGTGAAATGCGCTTATTGTAAGCACAGAATTTTCTGCTACAGTAAGCAGGGATTTTTCGCCAACGGTAAGCAGAGCCAAGAAAGTGGGCCCAGGACTCTTGTCAGTGCATGGAGACTTTTGGGAGTGCAAGGGATGCATCAACAGGTGCAACAAACAAACAAGCAAACATCACAACCATCAACCCACATATACCTGGTGAATGAAATGCAGGCATCCACCATGTCCACTCCGTTTTCCTGATTCTCAGAATTGCTACATGATCGAGACAAGACAGAATGCCCCAATGGGATACAGCAAGGTGGAGAGAATGTCAGTTTAAGTGGACGAGAGTATTAAAATTGCCTGCCATGCAGGACTGCTAGGCCATTCATTAATTGTAATTAAAACTAATCTTCTAAGAATAACTTATTGCATGTGAATTGGCATTAAACCTCAAAAATTTAGTGTATGTGACCTACTGAGGCAAAATGAGGAATGTCCCCCAAAACCTTGTTTTGAGTAATCGAGGCCTGAAGTCGGATACTAGAAAAATCGTGTCAAAATCGATATTGATTGTATTGTATATTTGAGTAGCCAAGGTCCAAGATGCACAATATGCATTTTTCGTGGGGAAAAATACCCACAAAAGTGAAAAAACCTGAAGAACTGGCATAAGCGGCCCAATGTGTGTTTTTCTTTTCAAAGCCATTTTTCTCAAAATGAGGTTAGTGAAACTTGGCAGGACACTGTTGAAGTTCCTGCATCATATCTTTGGAACAAACTAAGCTACAGAAATAAATTTGGTATCATTGGAAAGCCAATGCTTTGCGCTTTAACACGATGTAAACAACATGAATAGTCAAAGGTGGGGGTTATTCCTCATTATACTATGGCAGGTCGCATAAGTAACTGACTGTGCATGTACATGTAATTGGCTAGATGCTGTCAACTTTTGGTAGATCAACCCTTCCTCCCCCCCCCCCCAAAAAAAAGTGGGATTCAAACCCATAATTTCTGGAATTCAGTTAGTCAGTGGTCTAGCAACCTTAAAAGAAATTCCACGTTCAGATCCTGCTTCAGTTAACCCACCATCACCCGTACTGTATAACATTGTGCTGGCACGGCTAGTGCAGTTTGGGGTGTTACAGGAAGTAACAGGAAGTGCGGTTGAGGATGGTATAATGACCAATCAGTTAATCTTCTCTGTTCGAGCCAAAACTAACTTTCAATTTAAACAATGTTTCCATCTCCAAAAGCGCATTTGCACGTACATCAAACGGTTCATGAATTTATCAAAGATATGTTCATTGGTTGTAATGCCAGTTACATGTACCGTACATTGTACTTAGCAGTTGATACTGCGTAGCAGCACTTATTAGATAGTTAGAAAGCAGGATTTCTTACAGACTTTAATTAAAACAAAATGAGTATAAAGGAGAAGCTGTTAAAAGTTATCATCCAATTCCAATATGCGTTTAAATAAAATGGAAAAAGAAGCAAAGGGGAACCTTTCAGAAGAGGAAGTGAAAATTCAGATCGGGAGTTTAAATCTAGAGCAACTCTCTGAGGGAATCAATGCAACAAGAAGGTTGGTGTATCATTTTAAAATAATAAAAAAGTAAGAATAAAGTGACTTTTTGAAGAAAAAAAAATACTACAAAAGTGGACAACACAGGGCAAGTTTGTGCAAGAACTATTGTTGACCAATGGTTAACCATAGTTCAACTAAAGTTAGCCCAAACTCTGTCTAGTGGACGATGGTTGACTGCGCTAGGCGACTATTTGGAACCAGCCTACTGGGCATGGTTGCATCGCTGGTTACCAATAGCCGCGCGTATTCATAACGCTAGCAGAGAGCCAGGACCCAGAAGTTTGTGATGACATTTTGACCAGCGTTTGACGAGAGACGTTCGCACGTTGCTATTAGTGCGCAGGCGTAAGGTACGTCACAAATCAACCACTAGTCGACTAACGGTCCTTGCTCGAACTTGCTCTCAGCTGCTGAGCATAAAATGGTGCCAAGCATGAATATGCTTTAGTCACTAAAACATGACTATAACCCAAATGTTAAGACTGCATGTACTAACCAAAAGCTGGTTTGAAATTTGAAAAGGCACATTTTTACAAGAGCAGCCCTGTTGAATTTCGGATTGGTTATTCATCAAAATTCAGTACAACTTCAGAAAACAAAGTTGGTTTTATCCGTCTTTGAGGAATGAAAATAATGAGTTTGACAATGCAGAACTACGTGTACCTTAATAAACCATCCATGACAGTCTTCTTTCGATGCTTTCCTTCCATGTCTTGCTTGTTGAGTTCTTCGACGCTGGCTTCAATCATCGCATTCATCATCACAGCCTATTGGAAGGATGAAGAAAGTTTCTCATGAGATATCCAGAATTGAGGGGTTTTTTTATTGTACATTTGTGAGCTTTCCATATTTCTAAGGTCTGGGTCATAGGAAATCCACAAAATGCAGGGTGGCTGGGGTGTTGAAGTTCAAGATTTGTTTCAAGTAGGTGATTCTTCAAAAAGTTGGGCTTGTCTAATTTTTGAAGCTTTACCCCTTGTTAACTACAGGGTGAGTAAAAAAAAAACGAAACCCAAAATGTCAGGACCATTGTTTTAGTGAAGTTCTGCATGTAGCACTTTCAAAATCTAGGATCAGAAAGCGTAATTCATAAGATTTCTTTTAGTACAAGAATCATTCAAATCACTCATGTAATTTTCAAGTTACGGAATTTTAAACACAACCACCGATTTTAAAATTCTGTCCACAGATCACAAAACGGTAAGTGTTCTTACAGGAAAACGAAACAAATCACACAGGGATGTGTGTGAATTGTTTTCGGCTCGCTGAAAGAACGCACAATAATGAATTCTCAGATGTTAAGGTTGGCTTATTATAGGATTATCAAAGGTTTCATGATAATTGACGGCCAACCTGTCTGGAGAATATCTGAAGTACTTTGCTGCAGCGTTTCCCGCATTCTTGGGAGTCAAACTCCAACCACAGGCAAGGCAAGCAGTCAGCGCTGTCCCTGGCCGGCTCTGTGTATTCCCACGACAACTCATCAAACGTCAGGCCTAGAATGATATCCTACAAAGGAACACAGTTGTTAATCAGGTTATTACAAGTCCTCCGGTGTTTTAGTCGAGGTACGTGATGGATCCCAAGTAATCACAAGTAAAATTGTGGAGTACCAGGAGTCCAAGGTAATCTCACAAGCTAATGACAAAGGCTTTCCTTTGTTATTGTTTATGTCCTGCTACTTGTGACTGAACTTGTGATGTACTTATATGTGACCTACTGTGGCAAAATGAGGAATGTCCCCAAAAACCATGTTTTGAGTAATCAACACCTGAAGCTGGATACACTGAAAAAATCATGTCAAAATCATTTAATTTTTTTTCGCATTTTTGGGTAGCCAAGGTATCCAGATTCACAATATGACTTTTTTTTGTGGGAAAAAAATATCCCCAAAAGTTGTAAACTGAAAAACGTTTTCCACTACCGTTGGCGGCGCAATGCGTGTTTCTTTCTTCGAAGCCGTTTTTCTCGAAATGAGGTTAGTGAAGTTCAGCAGGACACTACTGAAGTTCCTGTGGCATATCTTTGGAATAAATTAAGCTACGGAAATAAATTCGGTATCATTGGAAAGCTAATGATTTGCGCTTAAACATCATGTGACTAACTCGAAAAATCAAAGGTGGGGGTTATTCCTCATTATGATATGGCAGGTCACATATTTCCAACACAAGTACCTCAACTACATGTACAATGAAAGTCCTCATAAACGTCTCTTTTCACTTGGGCAGGGGAGGGGGCTTTATTATTTGAACCTCACCTTAGGTTCACTTTGATTTTTGATTTTATTTCATCAACTGCTTTAGCTTAACACCTAGACTGTGTTGGACAAGAAATTAAACTCAGCAGTTCTGATGAGCAATAGCACGCTGTATCTCAGAAAAAACAAGGAAATACAGTGTATTCAAGTACATTTATGTACACCCACGAAACTTCCTCAGTAAAAATCTCACAACATCCAATAGACCAGTTCAGTATCTCCATGAAGTAGTCCACGTCATTCGGGATAAGCGTCAAGCACCTTGCAACCGCGATGGTGCATGAACGCCAGTCTGTTCATAATTAACGTGCGACCGTCTCCTTGTGCGTTCACGCGCCTTTGATGAGCGTTCTATTATCCTCAATAACCTGTGACCCATATCATTGCATGCATGCGCTGTTTAAACACAGAACTTGCTTATTGAAATGGTGATATAAAACAATTATCGTATTGTATAACGCACCTGTTTGGCAATGTCTATGATAAACACTGCTTCCTTATTGATGCCGATATGTACTGGTCTGTCCCTAGTATCACGTAGGCTGATAGCTGAAGAAGCTTTCTCGATTTGTCCCGTGAAGAACACACACCTGTCACAAAAGAACAAACAATTCAGAGAACCTGGCTACAAAAAATCGCTACAATCTTATTTCAGGTTTTGCCTCTCACATGACGTAATCGCTCAGTGCTGTCCAAAAGCTTGTGAAAAAAAACAAAAAAAACAAACATGCTTAGGCGAGAGTCAAACCCATGACTTCTGGTTCTGTGTACTAGGCTAGATGTTTTAACCATTTGGTTAGGAGTTTTAAAAAATCACGGGCAATCATCACATATTCATTATGTTACTGGCTTTCACAACAGAAGTACTTGATTTCTTTTTATGGGTTATTTTAATGCCAAAAAAATTACAGTCTTCTAGATATTTCCATCCATTAATGGAGTTGGCTTTCAATGTTAATCACCAAAGATATATATTACAAGTATGCACTCATCCAAAAAAAAAATGAATAAAAACGAATCTGAAGTGAGGAGCTGGCAAAATTACAATGTCTACCTGCCCACTTAATTTTTTGGAGTCCTTTTCTAATTTCTTTACCTCCCAAAATTCATCCAACACCTTCCCCTATGTAGCCAACGAAAAAAACTTCTCAATTATTCATTCATGTAAATTCGTCTGACAAAATTGACTGGTTTAATACTACGACCTACATGTAGAAGTGGGGTTTGTTTTTGCTGTTGCAGCCATCCAATAATACCTGAGGTACTAGGTGGTCCAATGCAGCTTGATTGGTAATGTCTAAAGATCTCAGGTACCCACTGACGCCCTTCACAATTCCATTTTTTTTAATCACCAACAAGAACAAATAGTTTGATCATTCACAGACAGTCAAAAGTTTCTTCCACTTCCCCTGCATACAGACTAGTAAAAGACAAAGTCAGCTAACATTCGTATAAACACTGCCATCATTAGACAAACGAGGTAACTGGTAGGTACAGCTGGCATATCATGGCTGTATCAAATTAACGAGGGAATTCTTAACAGTCACTTGATTGACACTTGACTGATTTTGACTGCTGTGATGGCGTAGCTGAATTTTTAAGGGCTACATTCTCTGGTGACTGCTCTATGTGCCGAAACCTCTATGTGCCGAAACCCCTATGTTCCGACACCCCTATGTTCCAACAACCCATATATAAGATTGTGTTAGCCTGTTTAGACTGGTGCATTGGGGCCAGAGACCAGCCGGTGTTTACGTTTATTTGTAGGGGTATCGGAACAAAGGGGTGTCAGAACATAGGGATATATCGGACCACACGGGTGTCGGAACATAGGCTGAGCCTGTACTGGGTTTCTGGGGCAGACATCTTGTGACTGATCGATGTAAACATAGTTTGATTACTTACCCGTAGAATGGAAGTTTCCAGCAGAAGTCCAGGAATAGTTTGTGGCATTCTCTTTTACTCTTAACGTTCCCTGTGATCTGATCCCATTGCGTCATTACTTTCTGCTCCAACAATGCAAACCCTGCAATAACAGAATACGTTTCATTCAGACATCATGCAAACAAGGAAATCATAATCTGACACCATTCACAGTTATCAAGTTCTTTCAATTCTTGTTGTTTCGGTCAAATGTATAATTCTACCAATTCCAAGAAAAGCCTTGTTTTTTGGCTGTGGAAAACAAAACTTGAGCCTTTGACAAAATTCAAAACTGAGGAAATGAAATGAGGAAGTAAAATACAAAAAGATGAAATTACAAAAGACCATTGAGGTTTGCAAATCACTAACAAACTCGCCTAAACTCGCCTAAACTCGCCTCTCATGTTACTGTTGTCTGTGTTTTTAATATTTACTCCAAGTGGTTAGAATATGTTGGGCTTCATGAAGGTTAACAAAATAACTGTTAACTGTTCATTAACCATTCATTTGTTTAAAAAGTCTTAAACAGGACAGTAATTTATTGGCCACCCCCCCCCCAGATATATCAATTGTTCACATAACTCATCATCCCTTTTCACAGTTTAATCTTTTCCAGTGCATGAAAGGTCACTAGCGTGCATCTCTGACATTCCAATGCAGCCTTAAAATAGCAACACCCCTTTCAAAGACAGTTCGATGGTAATATAAATCAAATTGAAGACAAAATTATTGCCCACTGAAGAGAGAATTTTCATCTAATAATCTGTCCTGCTGATCCACACATTGGATGTCCTTTACGAGGCTAAAGTTTATAATTTAATCCCACAGAAATTACTGAAGCAGCTATGGGGTTCGTGAAAAGTTGACATTCTTTCTGAAAGGGCATTGCCAAGTTGAGATGTTTTTCGAGTCAAAAACATTTTACTAAAATAGACATGCAATGCTGAGCAGAAGACCTGTAAAAGTAGACAGTGGGATCGGGATACTTGGGTTTTCAATTATGGTAGAGATTTGGTACATCTGGACCTAACTGTATGCTGAAAACATCCACGCATTTTCAGGACTCAAGCACTTGAAGTCTGAATTCTGTACTGAATAATTAGGCAGTTTATAAGCAGAAGTGTAGATTTTGTATTGCTTTTGTGCTTTCATTTGGCATGTAATACTGTTGCTACGGTAAGAAGCTTTACTGGTGACTTGAAAAGGGGGGGGGGGGGGTTGTCACTTTTGGACATTGTAAAAAAAATGTCCTACTGGTATATCGTGTCTAGCGGACCTTTTGACACCAATTTCAAAAAAAATAGATGCACTATTCTCACATGTACTATTCCCACAAAGTACTAACTCTTGAATGCCAGCTACTGAAATATCTTTTATGTTTCTATTGACTATTTATAGGAAAACACACTCAATGGCGGATGGAAGTATGGAATATTTATGATTTTAACTACAAAAGTCCATGTCAAATTTTCTAAAAATCAGGAATGGGGGGTAGGGGTGGATGGACTACGCCCCCACTTCCCCACCCCTTGTAGTCATGATCTTATACTGTACCTTTATTATTTTTGAACCATCTTGATCCTCCTTTATACATGCATGCTGGAAGGTATCTATGTAATGAATCACTGCATGGAGAGAACAAAATAATCATGTTCGAAGTCAGCAAATTATCCAAAAGAGATGTTCAACTTTTTTAGCCATATGTGTATATTTGTGAGTGTCTGCACCACAAAAAAGGGAAGATTTAGTGCAATGGTACATGTTTTCTTCTCTGGCCTTTTGTTGCTGTGACCCAGGTTCGAATCCCACTAAGGCCAATGCATGGTTTGGGTTTTCAGTAACTGGTGAGATTCTTCCTGGAATATCATTCCGATGTTATAAAACTGAACATTTCTGCATGCATCGTTTAGTCTTTTCATGTAAGTAGCTACATGTAGGGCCTATACTGTATCTTCATGGCTCTGAGCTAGTGGATGTACACTCTTCGGGAATTCATTGTTATCAAAAATGATTAAATACGTTCAAACTCTTTGCACTAATGAAATCAGGTCTGGACTAGCCTCTGTTTCACATGTTTTAATGTTGGCCAAGTAATATTAATCTAAGACATGTAAGAAGATGACAGGAGCTTACAGATTCTGAACCTGGTTGGGTTGAGAACTGATGGAGGAGGATGAAGCATGGTCAGGCGTGGATTTGACTGTCCTGAGCACAGCGGAAGAAACAAAATAATGTATTAGATCCATGTTCAGGAACATCGACCTTCATGGAGGCCTTCCATACATCTCGGACAAGATCAGGGAGAGGGGGATGGCTCTGGCAGGCCATTGCATCCGCCACCCGGAGGTAGCAGCCCACAACACCATCCTGTGGGAGCCGACTCATGGAACTGCCAGGAGGGGGCGGAGACGAGCCACGTACATCGACACGCTGCGGCGGGATGTTGGTCTCAGTGACACAGGGGAGCTGAGGACCCTAATGCTGGATAGGGAAGAGTGGAGGGCGGCGACCAAGTCCCGAGTTGGTGTAGGCTAGGCTGCACTCTCGCATCGCACACAATGTTCATTTAATACAGACAAAGGTTAACTTTCAAACAGTTTTCAGCAACTTCTTTATCAAATTCACTTCATGAACTTATTGAAAGATGAGCTGGCATCTTGGTACTTACTTGAGAAATCCTGTCGGATGTAGCTCGGGATCATACTTTCCATTTTCAAGATATGCCATGATACCGGCAAGATACTCCAAGTCCTCTGCCTCACAAGGGTAGTTGCCCTCCAGAACATTATGCTTTGCCTCTTCGTAGAGAAGACGCAACATCTTTTGATCGGTAATCTGATGTTTAGGTAAACCAAACCAGATTTCAAATATAACAAGAAAGTCAAGTCTTTCTAGATAGTCTCTGTGCCGGAGGTTCTTAGTGGGGTTATTCACGAGCGATGATACCTTTGTGCCGCGCAGCATGCATGCATGGCACATATTGTCCCAATAGAGGGCATTGTGTTCTCACCCACGAATCTGAGTTCGTCGCTAAACCACACGCAATCTGCTGGCACGTGTGTTAAGGGCCTCCTGCCTCAGTGCATCACTGCGCAGTCCACTAACCCATGCATACTGAAATGCTGCATCACTGAGGACATCTTAGCCTTGGTCAATGCTCTCGTCGTTATTCGTCCCGTACGCGGTCAATCGTCGGCATATATCCTCACGCGCTATGCACATGCATGTAAAAATACAGCGCGAACAGCGACCTCACGCGGCCACTATTTTTATGCAAATCAGTTGGAGACGATGTCGAGCCTTGGTTCAATCGTCCATGTGAATTTTTGGGGGTGGTGCTCATTATGTTAATAGCCTTAGCTGACCTTAAATGTCATTTTCTTATTGGTCGATCGTTGTGTGGAAACTTGCATAGTGAAACGTGGCACCGTACATAATCCATACACGTACACATTGTGTGTCTCTGCACACGGCACCAATGCACAAAAACTGTGGTTCCTGTCACGTCCGCAAAAGCCGGAATAGCTGCAAATAATTTGATGACGTCCGGATTTACCAAGGTGTGATTGGACACTCCACATATTAGCCCCGCCTACATTATCTGTATTTTCATACGAGGTCGTGCGCTGGAAATCTAGCGCAAAGTAAAAAAAACATAAGCTTTGGCCGACGATTGAACCAAGGCTCGACATCGTCTCCAACTGATTTGCATAAAAAATAGTGGCCGCGTGAGGTCGCTGTTCGCGCTGTATTTTTACACGCATGTGCATAGCGCGTGAGGATATATGCCGACGATTGACCGCGTACGGGACGAATAACGACGAGAGCATTGACCAAGGCTAAGGACATCTTGGCATCAAGACTATTCTCTCCACTGATTTTTGGGTCTTAGGTGGTTGTACACATGTTTTCAAAATTTTGTTAACAAACGAAAGAAGGGACTCAAACTCATTTAAATTCACGAAAAAAATTTTTTTAAAGGTTACAGGCACTTTAAAGCATGCAGAATCTGATTTTAATAAATCAATTCAGCTCTCAAGGTTTTTTTTTTTGATGTTTCAATTTTTTCCCGGAATGTACCTGAGTTTCTTTGGCCTTGGGACAGAAGGCATTTCTCTGGTAGCAAAGCATTGGTTCATCTGCAACAGCAGGACAAATAAATCAATGTAAAATACATACATACACCCATTAACATGATTAAAGATAACATTTCCTAAAAATTATTCTTTTAACAGGAGGTGGAATCCAAAGGATCTGTACATGTTAGAAGATGTCTGCAACTAGTATGTTAATAATTTGACCCTACCTTCCCCATATCTTCAATATTCAACAGAATTTTGCAGAATTTAGGAAGAAACAGCCATGAATACTAAAAGGGGCTAAGCTTTGTTAGAATGGTTCCTAACAAATATGCTCCCGGTATATGGAGCTTGACTGGCAATTGTGCTAATTTTGTTAACAATGAAACTGCTACCTTCATACCATTTGCTTTCTGTTCTTCTGTGGCCGTCGTAAACTTGTCCAACAGATCATGCCATTTCCGACACAGTTTAAATGGGATGTGATGGCTCTTGAGTTGTAGTTCTGCAAAGGAAACAGGGAGACATAATTTTGGTAAAGCTTCCCAGGCCATTGACATACGTACATGTCGGTATGTGTTACACATCTGTTCAATAACATTTTTTTTCCAAATGCAAATCAATTACTTGCGTCATGGATTGCTTGCTTACCAATGTTTGGTTCTGCATGGTGTGTTGTCATGGTTTCACATTTTACACTTACGGCCTTTCACGGTGTTCACAAGCTTACAGTACTGGTATATTTGGGTGGGATTCTGCTGGAAGGTTTTGCAGTAATTTTGTGAATGAAGGTATTATATGCACGCTAATGATAATTTGTCATGTATCATATCTGCACATGTTATTATTATTATTATTATTCCGGGTTATTAAAAATCCAATGTCTTGCAGCCTTGCAGCTGAATTGCACATGGTTACAAAGATATAAAATAACAACATGTAAAGGACAGTACCGGTAAATACATTTAAAAGTGGGCACAATACGAAATATTAACTTCAACATTAAAGTTAAAATATAAACTGTAATGTGTGTGTGTAACATGTGTGTGCATGTTCGTGTGCACTACAACGTGTGGTTTATTAATTAATGATATTTTTTTTACATCTGGAAAAAGTGATACATTTCCCATACATGCATATTGTAAATTGCATGTATACATACACATTTTATGTACATGTACATTGTACAATGTACAAAACTGGATTTGGCCAACACTCCACAACATCACATTACAACCATCCACTGTTCATGTTTCCTTTCATTATAATGTTGACACATCTCTGACAGGCAGGATGAAACACCTCCCTGACGAAACATGTTGGTGGCATGATGTGCACAGCTAGGTCAAGGAACTTACAGTAGGCCCCCTATTTACCATAATCAGGGAGCATGTGGTTTGTGGTCCAGACCATTTTTGCCATATGTATCGGACAGGATGATCATTTCCTTTCTGAACTAAATACATACCGTAATTTCAATGTATGCCACAATGACACAAATTCATTTTCACATCCGAAACCCTCGAAAAAACTTTGTGTCACCATACATGCACAATGCCCCAGACACCACTTCTTTGGCTGTGTACAAGGTCTATGGAAAGTTGAGGGCATTTTCAAAGTACCGGTACATGTATTTTCAAACAAAATTGGAAATGTCCCAGATTCACGTCTTTTCAACATTTCTGTAATGACTTTATCTTCATTGAGATAATACATGTACATGAAAAAAGTGACGTCAGGGCGCAACATTCTTCCCGGAAAGGAATTCAAAATGTCTTTTAACCCATAAATAAAATATACTGAATGAAGCTTTTTTTGAAAATGTAACTGGTGTCGATACATGTGATACTATGTACAAGTACATTGTATACTTTTGAGTACATTGTAAGAACATCACACTGTAATGTACTTCTATGCTGACCTCCAGGACCAAAGCATATAAAACGTTTACATGAACATCTATCAACTGTTTCAAACACCTGGTACCGAACACTACATCAGTTTCAAAATGTGCACTCTGGACCATGTATAATGTATTGTTAGGATCGACTGTTCCAACTATTGTGGGGAATTCCCAACCATAATTGGGGGGAAACTTGGGGCCATCCCAATTCAATTCAGTTCTGGTTTATTATTAGATAAAATGTACCACCAAATCCCAACTGATGTGGGGGCGTAGCCTGTGCACCATGCATGTTTAATTAATCAAGTCAACACTCGGAGTACACTTACGATGTCATTTTAGAAATTAATAATTTATAAAGCAAATTAACTACAGTGGAACGTACATGTATGCTGTAGGAAGTCACAAAACTGTATGTGTACAAATACACATAACGGGGTACATTGTATATTTCACTTCATGTCTGTCTGGTATTCTGTTTTTTCTAAATTAACTACAAAATTCAATTTAAAACACAGATTTTGTTGATTCCTTTTCAATTTTCAAGTATTTCTTGTTTCCCATTTCTTTTAATGTTCTTTTCATCAATGAAATTCATAAATTTGGCTCCCTTCAGCAGTCACTTACATTGTACCAATGCATACAAACCGCCATGAACACGAAATTAAATTGTACATGTACATGTATAACTTCAAATGATTCCAGGCAATGCAGGGCGGCCATGCAGACATTACTCATAAACAATGGAATGTTATGAGTCATAGCAGCATGTACTTCAAACATAAACTTTTATTTTAGTAAGAAAATAACAAAAATACAACTTTTCCTTATCATGTTTCTCCACCATGTCCATGCATCCCGCAGTTAGCGCATGTTCGCTTTTGAAGAACTGTTGGCTTCATTACAAGAAATGATTAAAATAAACTAAAATAAATACGCACTTGCTTGCATAAGCTCCTCAGTCGCTTTAAACAAAACAATGCTATTGGAACTCCAGAAAGTTAGTTTTGGTTTTGATATGATTACTTTGCTTGATTTGATTTAGGGTGAGGGACAACTCTGGCGCCAGCTTAATCAGGCCACATCTGCGCAACCCACAGAGACTCACAGGACCAACAGCAGTTGACTGAGACAATGTCACGCTGTGCTGATGATTCAATCATATACCCAGGCATTAAATCAATGAGGATTCTATGGCGGTCAGTGGGGATAATGCCCTCTGGAAAGACTGGATGCCCTCGCTGATTCAGTTCAAGCTGAAGTTAACTTTAGTATATTATTTTCATTGATGTACACCGTTACATGTTGACATTATATGCACATAAGGCTGTTATGATTTAGAGGAATTATACAATTCAATAAACACTGTACATGTACACGAAATTTAGCAAAATATAAACTGTACATAAACTGGATAAAATGCTGAAAAGGTACATGTACAAGTAAAAAACATTTATTTCAAAAAAAACCTGTACCAAAAAGCAACTTCAGCATTTAATGGACGCATTTCAAAAAAATAATATGAATTGTCTAAAAAAAAAAAAAGGGAAATGAATCAGAAGTCTACAGGTGTGCACATGTACCGTACATAGGTACCGGTAGGCCATGTCGGAATTACTTGGATAAAGCTTGAAATTACACTTGTGTCTATGGTAGCGGCTGCAGCCATTTCCCATAGACCTGTGTGTAATATCAAGCCGGAGCCAAGTAATTCCGACATGGCCTACCTATGTACGGTACATGTGCACACCTGTAGGTACTGTAAATGTATTAATAACTGAATGTGACTTCTGATTCATTTCCCTTTTTTTTTTTAGACAATTCATTTTATTTTTTGAAATGCGTCCATTAAATGCTGAAGTTGCTTTTAGGTAGTTTTTTTTTAAATAAATAAATGTTTTTTACTTGTACCTTTTCAGCATTTATCCAGTTTACGTACAGTTTATATTTTGCTAAGTTTTCGTGTACATGTACAGTGTTTATTGAATTGTTTATTCCTCTACATCATTATTTCCGGTATGATTCTTAACATTCTTAAGACTTACCAGTTGCTTTGGATTGAAATTTTCTTTTTTTAGTAATCTTTAAGAAACGGAGGCAACATGTACCATCTCTTGTGGCTATTAACATACTGGTCTGCATACTTACATTATTATAATAATGTTTTTCACCTATCCCTTCTTAATTTCTAGGAGTTACAAGGTACGTTTGGTATACATTTTCTTTCTTTTCTGTTCTGCTTATGCTTGTACCTCAAAACACGCAACGTTGAGCTTCTTCAACAGTCATGATAACAACACTCAGCTTTTATACAGAAAACCTCTATTAACAGTTGATGGTTTCTGGAAAGGCAACTTACGCAGCAGAGGAGATGTGATCCACAGGAAGAACACTTCACTGGCCGTCTCAGGTAATCCCAGATACTCTCTCATCCGATTGGTGATGTCGCCGGCCGTCTCCACCAAGGCATTCTCAAGGAAGAACTCATGGCCGGTCCCATCTTTGAGGAAGACACAGACATCAATGGCTGTGGATATAAAAAATAGAAGGGTAAAGTCATATAGAACGTTTCTGCTAGGAAATTATGTCAATGCCCAAATCTGCTGTAAGATGAAACATTGTGCTGTTAAATTTTCCCGGCAGGTTCATAAACCAGGGTATTTAAAGAATTGGCAGCTTGCCAAACTTAATACATGTACATGTAGTTTGATGTTAATAAAATAATAATAAAACAGTATGTACATGTAGCTTTCAAATAAATGTTATGGATGATTATTGTTTACTGTGTAGGGGAGATTGACAGTAAGACATGTGTGAGGCTTTTATTCTGATTATTTTATTATATCCTGTCAATTGCCATTTGGTGACAACTTTATGTATTGAAATGTACATATACCGGTACTAGTGCGTGTTTATGGTGTAAATCGAGGATATACATGTGAAGCATAATCGAGTAATTGAGGACAGGAGTCAAAGCGAGGACAACCCCAATTAGAAAAGGTGTACAAAACCAATGGGAGCTGTCGCAATAAACAAACAACAGATCGCTGATGAGGAAAATAGAAAATCCTTGATTTACACCATAAACAAACCTGAGTGTATGCTATGTACAATGTACCTGTACTTGCTCTTTTTTTGATTGTTGGAATTCAGTAGATAAATAAACAATAATGATGCTACGTTTTTTGTAGTCTTTGTATGAATTCATCAATTATGAAATTCTTTCACAATCACCAGTGTTAATTTGTTCCCTTTTTTATGGCTTAAAAACAGTTCAAGCAAACATCAACAGATTCCTTCTCTCTCTCTTTAACTTTGCTGCTTAATTTCTTGTTTGTAGTCAGCAACTTGAGTGGCCCTTGGCCTTATGGTCAGCAATTTCAATAACAAAATGCATCTATTTGTGTGGCCTCTGCAGTTTTAGTGACCCCTTAGTTTTATACCAATGAGACCAAAAAATATGTGTCCCAGAAAAAAAAAGGTCACACCTAAATTCATCACACCTTCGTATTTCACTGAAAATTACAACCGGTTGACGTGTACGTGTGTAAAACACCTAAAATTTCCCCAAACTCACAGCTTTGAAAGAAATTACACACTTCATGAACATGATGAATCATGAACGTAACCTTTTCATTGGTGAGGCCACTTTCATTTTAGAATTAGGCCTACTGAAGCAGTTCCTCTTGCATGCTCTGAACCGTGAAGATGGGCGTGAACGTGTGATACAGCAAAATTGGGGGGGGGGGGGAAAGTTTACCTACGTGTACATGTAAACACAAGATAAAAGCCAGGCTGCGTGTACATATTGTACAATAAAAAAAAAAGTTTTTCTAATTAATATAAATGTATTTGTTGTTTACATGTAGCTTGAGAATCCTCAAACACAACCAAGGCATTTTAATTAACAATTCCACCTTTTGTTTCAATTAGTAACAGATGGATCGATTGTTGATTACACGTCCAGTAGTTTGTTCATTAACTGCTAAAGAGGGAGTTGTCTTTCAAATGTTAATGTTATGGAAATTGATAAGTCAACAGTGTGAAGTACATGAAGTATTAAATATTAATATTATTATTTTCTTAAACTGAATATTAGAATTTAATACATTGTAGTACATGTACCGGTAATTCAAAGTTGATAAGGTTTTACAGACCTGGTACATATTGACTGACCAGTATTTAATGTTATTTTACAATGTATTTGTAAAAGGATTGACACTGTTGATCAATTCCTGAACAACATAATTGATATCTTATCTGTTGATAGCCTATTAAATGTTTGAATTATAAAAAAAGTCTTATTGTCTGTCCCCTCCTGTTCATTACTGTACACCCTCCCACCCTCCACTGCTCCAGAGTAGTCCGAGGATAAGATATTCACGTGTGCAGAGCCACAGTACAAATGTCTGATACAAACTGTGACGTCATTTCCATCAGGAATGTGGACTAAGCTGTTGATTGGTCAATATGGATGCCATGTATTTGTAATACCACAAAGGGTTACGGAATACCCAATAGAAGGTGCCCGCTGAATGGTCCGAATCTGGATGTCAAGACGCAATCTCGTTTTGCATAATTAACAGCCGAATCCACGCGAATACATCACAGACGCTTGTGTGCAAAGGCATGTTCCATATAGACCACACTCCAGTCTCCAGGATTGGCCTTGGGAAAAAACTTATAATAATGGGTTTTTTTATGTAACTGCATGTTTACATAAGGACTCTTCAGAAGTTTGACCAGTCAAGACTTTTATAGGGACTTTTACAGGGACTGTCCCCATGCATGTACACATATATAAGGACCCTTCAGAAGTTTGACCAGTCAAGACTTTTATAGGGACTTTTACAGGGACTGTCCCCATGCATATATAAGGACTCTTCAGAAGTTTGACCAGTCAAGATTTTTATAGGGACTTTTACAGGGACTGTCCCCATGCATGTACATATATACATGTATATGGACTCTTCAGAAGTTTGACCAGTCAAGACTTTTATAGGGACTTTTACAGGGACTGTCCCCATGCATGTACATATATGTAGTGGAGTGGAAATCCTTTTGACGTCAAAACCCTATTACGTTTCTGATTTCCAAACCGGATTCTGTGATCCAATTGTTAAACAAGATGTGACAATACAACGCCTGTACAACAAGTGCTCTAAAAAAAAGTGTGTTAGAAATAATAGTGCAATACGGGTGTACCTGATCAAGTCACTATTATTAAGTTAAGTATATCTTGTTACGTTGTGTAACTGCCCATTACAAAATTACGGACGCATAATGATCTTTTTCCAAGAAGACATTTCAATATTGTTTTTATGGAAACACTGCACTGGTGTTTACACAGTATTTCTCTGAAATGAATCGGGTGATGGAATTCAAGGACAGCGATCAATAGGTTTGACAAGGTTTCCAAAGATGTATAGGGTAGACCTGTACGTGCAGCACGCGCACAGTGTACACTAGCCATATCACAGTACCAGTACATACATCTGGGCAATTCTTTGGTAACGGAATTACGGAATTTTGTCACTTTGTCAAGGATTATTCTTTCCCAAGAAAATATGTTCAATGCTAGGCAACTAATCTAAACATGGAAAGGGAGCCAAGACCCAATAGAATTGATTGACCGCTAAAAAAAAAAAAATCCCACAAGATTACCCTTTAAGGGGCGGAGCTTAATATCGGTAACGGAATTACGGACGGAGGACAAGCATATTTGAGTTCTCGCATAAATTAATAAAACTCTCTGAAGTATTGAAATTTTAAAATTGGACACTACCTGTTATTTGTAGAGTTCAGGGGTGTTGTTAACTACAATGCAGAACAAAGTTGAAAAAATAATCACTCTTTTCATAATTTGCATTTTAATCACGGTAACGGAATTACACCTGGGCGGTAACGGAATTACGCCATAGGTTTACATGTAATAGGTAAATGCAATACATTAACATTGAATTCAACATAAACTCATCACAATACAAATTTTAGAAGTTTATAAAATGCCACAAGGGGAAAGCTAAGTGAAAATTAGCAGATCAAAATGTAAATGTAGGCCTAAACATGTCTGGGCTTAATTTTTTAGGTCAAAGGTCAAGGTCAAATGAAGCAGTCTGGTGATGGCTGCATTGCCTGTTAGCAATGTATATTTTTTTTTACCGAAAATCGAATTTTACTATGAACAATTGTATTATCGTATTTCGCTAGTTTATTTTCTGGAAAATACAATAAAACTGCACTGGTTGGCATCTCTGAGCAAGGGAAGATGTTAAGTTATGCCAAGTAGAAGTACAAGTACAGTCTGGTACTCAACTTTCATATACTTGTTGTGGAATATATTTTCTGTGGGTACCAGACAACGGCTTTGGCAACTCATATTTAAAGGGAATGTACATCATTGGCTTTTGCTGTAATTTTCTGAAATGAACTATTTGAGGGGTTAGTATAAATAGATCAAATATTGTTACACTGACATGTTTGAAGTTTTGTGTTCAAAATGCTGAAAAAACCAAGAAAAACAAAACTGTTCAAGTAGTCTGGTTCCTTGACTCCACTAAAGGTAAAATGGATCAATTTATAGATACCGGAAAATTGGAGGGTAAGGGAACCAGACTAGCTGGCCTGCACCCGTTCATGAACATGTAACAGATACGCGGTACCAAACAAAATTTGGACTGGAAAGAGTGTAAAGTTGGAGCAGTAGTTGAAAAATAGTTAGGTTTTTCCAACGGTGGTCGGCCGACCACCGTTGGAAATGTATACAAAAATATCATTTTCCTGAAAATTACTTCACACCAGGTGCCATAATTTTACAAGATGCTTGAGACTGTCATTTACCAACATCCTAGTAAGGTATTTCGTAAAAACTTGGTACCGGTAGTTTTATTTTCTGATGTTTGCAAATGTTGTACATGTTTATTCCCTTTAAGCATCCAAACAACTATTAACATTTTTTAAATAGTAAAAAAGAAAAAGTAAAAGTAAAAAATATCAGTGGAACACCTGATTATTTTTTAATTGTACCGTATAATAGCAAATTAAAGAGGGAAATGATTTAACAAGTAATTTAGTATTTAAAGTTATTGTCCAAGGTTACATGCAAATCTCCTATTTAATATGTCATGTACATAATCTGGAGGAAATGTGCATACTTTGTGCATGCGTAATTCCGTTACCGTAATTCCGTTACCATTTCGTAATTCCGTTACCACTTGGAAAAATGCCAAGAAATTACTATTTTAAAGTTTTTATTTTTCATTTATGTTTATAGTAGGGTCTTTTCTCAACATACATGATTTGAAGAAAAAAACAAGAAAATTTGTGAAATAAGTAACTTTTGCCATTTTTTTGGTAACGGAATTACGTGCTAATTTCGACATTTTTAAATGAAGGCCTACACTATATATATTTATATATATATATTTTTATATTTTTTTTTAATGACCCTGAGTAATGTTAGTAACTTGTAACGTCATAAAATAAATCAAATCTTTTCCCTATAATTCAGAAATAATACATACACAAAATTTTATTTTTTTACCAAATCTGAACGTTTTTAATCATAAATTGCAAAAATCACTGTTTTTACCAGAAATATGTATTTTTTTTTCAATTTCGTTTTTTGAACTGAATTCCCCATTTAATTGAGGTCTGGAAAAAGTACAAAAAAGGTTTAATATGTAAATATTTATTTTTGACATTTTTTGCTCTCCCATGGAGAATTGCCCACCTGCATACATGTACATGTACATATGTACATGTACATGTACATGTACTTGCACACACATTTGCCGTGCATTGCACTAGAGTTTAGATGAGTTAAAATGTATACATGTATATACATGAACTAGTACACTGTACGTGTACACTTTCAGGAAGGAAATCACCTTACCTTGACATGTAAGATGTACACACTGTAGCCACAAACACATGAAATACACAATGTACATGTATACAACCCAGTACTTAAAACTGTACATTATAAATCATGTAATATGGACAGGGTGCACTTTTTACATTACAATGTATATGTACACAAACACTTGGACTATGCTTCACAATTCCATTGGGACCGACCGCAATGGAAATAAGTTTTTAAAAACTTTTTTGCGTTATCCCCGCATTTTAATAATGATAACAGAGATGAATACAGCTAACAAACTGCACCAATGTTGTAACCGAGCTGGTAAGGTTACGCAGAAAAAATTCAAAGCCTGCACTGGGATATGATTTCCAGTAAATTTATCAAAATTTTATTACACAAAAACAAAAGTCATTCTTCAGCAGTCCAAAAATCTGTACATGTACATGTACAGGGTGGTGCAAAAAGAATGAAACCCACTTTTGACAGGAATTTTAACCTACAATTGTACTTACTTAATTTATTTGAACTTTTTTTTGGTTATAATTAATGTAGCGAAGTATAGCTCTTCAACCATACTTGATGAAAAAAACTATCAAAAAAAATCGCAAGAATAGTGTTATGCTAATTTGAATACACTAGTCACCAAATCACTGTTGTCCACGTGTAAGTCTAGTGTAGTGTTTTTTGTCTTCAAATCAGCTCCGGAGCTCAGTCAAGCAGATGGAATAAAGCCTTCCGTGGAGAAACAGGTTTGGCACATGAAATTTTTAAACTACCATATCTCAGAGACAAATATGCATTTGCAATCGTTTCTTCATCACTTATGTCTGATCAATGTTTTAATTACCATTAAATTGAATTTGTGAAAAATATGCTCAACAAGTAGGTGAAAATTGCTGTCAAAAGTGGGTTTCCTTCTTTTTGCAACCACTAGTAAACCTGTACACTGACGATCACAGTGGCGGATTTTTCCTTTTTGTACAACAAATACATGTACCGGGTATTCTACATCATCCTTCATAAATTACCTTTGATAGACCTAGTGGAGATGGTGCTCCCAAGTCTCTGTACGCCACCCACAGGGCTGAGAGGACCCTGCGCCTGCTGCTGTTGCTGCTCCTGCTGCTGCTGTTGCTGTTGTTGCTGTCGCTGCATCATGCTTCTACGTCCACTGATCTCACGCATCTGAACACACTCTGTGGCGTTTGACAAACCCATCAGATCCCCGGACATCCTGGTGAAAACCAGAGACAGAAATTATAATAAGCCAATCAAAAGGAAGTCACGCTTGAGCGGGGCGCATAGAAAAAGATGCCGTTTCCATATTCATGAAGGTCCTGGTTAAGGCCTGGCCAGGGAAGTGGTAAACACGTTATGTATAATGTGAGCCTGTAACAGTCAATGGTTTTATTCAACCTGTACCAACAAAAGTTTGTGTACACAGTGCAATTGTGGAGTCGAGGTCACTTTGAAAGCTTTGAAGAGGGCAGGGAAAGAGGTAAAAAATCTACATGTACCCAATATATTGCTGCTTTATTAATTACAACGTGTCCAGTACATCAGTAAACTGCAAATGAACATCACACTAACTTTTTTTTGCAGGCATTGTTAACATGGAAAACACTGCACATTCTACATTTGTACACCCCGACATTCATACGGTTGATGTACATGTACATGTACATTGTTTCAAACATACTGGTACAGTGTATAGATACACTGTACATGTACAACACATGTGCAAAATGTGTTCAAGTTCATTCCCTGTATGTATACAATACATAAACTACATTCTGACTTTGACAAAATAAACTTCATTTTTCAGTGAAGTCTGGCATAGGGTAAACTGGGGTAAAAACGCCCATGGGTTAAAAACGCCCACTTGACTTGTTTCCACTGCTAGTAAAAAATGACAAGATGAATTGTTCAATGGAATATATTTTTAATAAGTACAATGTAGATAAAAACTAATAATAAAAAGAATTAAATTCATTAACATATTTGAAGGGTACGTAGGTGCTGTTGAAAAAAATATTTAAAATTTTTTTTTTAAAAATGGCCGTCGAAGGTTTAGCCTATATCGCTTAAAATTATTTTATAAAAAAAAGTATCTTATATTTTTATTATTCTGTAGTTGATATATATTAAGAAGGGTTAATAACATAATTATAAATGATTACAATATTAAAATCTATTTTAATATTTGCTTAATAATGTTTTTTGAGTGGGCGTTTTTACCCCGGGCAAAATCAGGGGTCTCGGGGTAAAAAGGCCCAGTACTTTCCTTGATATCAAACTCTATTGCAGCCTCATTCATCTTCAACTGTTATAACTTTCTACAGCATTATGTTTGTTGTAGGAGTAAGTATTAGCTATAAGAGTCCCACTACATAAATATTAAACAGTCAGGCGCAGATCCAGAGGGGGTTTTGAGGGGACCCCCCCCCCCCCCCCCCCGCTGTGTCAAAAAAAAAATCATCATACAAATTCCTAAAAAATTAGTCGAACCCCCCCCCCCCCCCCCCCCCTGCTGTGACACCCAAACAAAAATTATACTGGTATAATGTCCGCCCGTTCGAAATACGGTACATCATTCTGTAATCAAGTGTTAATAACCGTCGAATTTGAACAGCACCCCCCAGTGAAATATGGTACCAGCCCACCCCCTCCCCCCCCCCCCCCCCCCCCCCCCCCCAGTTTTTGATTTTACGGAGGCAAAGTGTTCGGAGAAATAAACCTGTGTACATTTTCAGATTTTTTTGCTGATGAACCCCCCCCCCTGCGAAAACTCCTGGATCCGCCCCTGACAGTGTATTGCGTGAAGTGAGGAGGTACATGTACATGTAGGCGGTATCACATACTGACGTTACGAAGTGGCAAGGAATCTGGCATTTGATTAGTGGCGAATGCCATGGGTCTATGATATGTGAGCAGATTGGCTGATTAATTAGGCAAGACCCCGCCTCTTGACCTCCTAGATTTTGACCAATCAGCGGGCGCTTTCTATATCGGGTCTTCGGTCATTCACCGTTGCGCGTCATAGACAATGGATTAAAAAGCCCTGCGTCACGCACTCTGTTACCATGTTACACGATAACGCGCCCGGCTGTTGTTGCATTACGAAACACTGCATTCGAATTGACCAATCAAATGTTTAGTCCTGATTTGGGAATGAAATGACGTCACGATTAAGTAAAGTCGACTCCAATTGGCTGAGGTGCGAGATCACTTAAATCTGCATGCTTTGATATATCAGACGTCAGACAGGAGTCTGGGCTTCGTGGATAACGGGTGATACTCAGACTAGCATTTATTAGGGAATGCTCGAGAAATCATGAGCTCATGGCATTTTCTCAAGAAAAAAAACACACCTCTATGGTGATTTGAGTGTACTTTTAATAAGTAAAAATGACTAGAAATGGCTCTAAGACCCAACTGGACCGGTTTCTGCTCTCATGCTATAATAGCAGAGCTTCATCAGTAGTAAGCCAAATCCAGTATTTTATATTCGGCTAAATTAGTCGTGTCAAATGTTACGGTGCATAGATACACATAAGTGCATCTAATAACATTTTGCGTGAACCTTGTAATGAGTCCAATTCCCGGTTATTGATAAACCTTGATTTGACAAGTACACCTTTAAGATTTTTGGCCTTTTATAGGCAGGAATTGGTTCGCTGGGAAACAGATTGCATACATGTAATGTCAGGTGTTCCGGAATTAAATGCCAGTCTTCAGCAATACTTTTGTTAGCTGCTGGGTTTTGATGTGTGGTGTGTAGATTATCTTGAAGACTAGAGGTGGTTCTTTGGTCGTGTTTCATTCATGATGTATTGCTCACAGATTTCAAATTGTGTCTTTTATGACTGGCAATTTCCTCTTTCTTGTGGTTACAGAGTAGAAGTTTCTCCATGAATGCATTTCTTTTCTCTAAGAAATATGTCTTGTTGTCACAGAAATGTGCGTATCTTAGTACCGTAGTTCTCCTTGATAAAGCCTTAGGTTACCAGCAGTAGGCTAGCAGCAACATGGAACTACATGTATGATTTGGCTAAACAACTTTTAAAAACAAGATTGAAATAGATTTTTCAATATTGGCAGGTCTTATCATATTAACCTACAAGTTTGTTATGGGCGAATTATGTACTCTAATGTTCCACTTCCTTCCACATAAAAGTACCTGTTTCAAATGATCAAGTTTGTAGTTATAATTAACCAGTTGTGTTTGAAAAGTTATTTGTATTTGATGAAGTATCCCTCCATATTAAATTAATTACAAAAATATGACTATACTACAGGGAAACCTGTGGTATAGGAATTTTTTTTTTTGTAAATGTGGGCGGGCGTTTTTACCCCGAGGCCCGGGTAAAAACGCCCGCCAAACTTCCTCCCGAAAAGGGGGGAAAATGTCCCCTTATCAATATAATGACCATGATATTATATTTGCACCTGATAGAGGAGACATGTATTGCATAAAACCACACATTTATTTCCTGGTGTCTCCAAGTAGTACAGAGATATTTAACAAAAACCTAAAAATCGGGCGTTTTTACCCCAGTTTACCCTATTGCATTAAAAGCTAATATGTAAATTGTAAGATACATACACCGGCAGGCACCTTGTAACATGTTTACCGGTACATGTATAAAGGAACCTAGGTTTGTACTGTACAATACTATCATGACTATTAAGTTCTGCTAATTACATCATGCACACAACCAAACAGAAAAACCCAAACAGACACTTCTACTTTTTCTAGGATTAATGGCACCCTGGTGGGCTTTTGCATAATTTATGATTACAATACTTTATTATCCCAGTAAACGGCAAATCCATTGACCCTTTAAATACACATTAACGATACTCACAAGAATTAAAAACACACATTTAATGGAAAATCAAAATTACAAAAATTATTACCAAACTTGATTCCCTCTCCGGACTCCAGAGTACAAAATGCAGTGGTCAAAATTATTATCCAACAATTGTACAATGTACGTTGTATGGTATAACAGGAAGGTGTCTCTTTTTTTGGCATCTTCTGTACATGTTCTTAACAGACTACACATTATGCAAATTTATGGTAATCAATGGAACGATAGAATAGAAAAGACATCAATAATGCAGTACAAGTACTCTGTACAGTATAATACACACATAGCCTATGCACAATGTTTGTACATGTAGGCCTACAGGGGAAAATTTATATTAATTAACAAGCAATCAATGTTGAATGAGACTGACAAATTTAGGCAATAAATTCCAAAGATATATCCAAAGATTAAAAAATCATTACTTTGTTTAGGGCATTTTAGGGTATGGCAATTTGTGGGCTTACGTTTATTGTTGACGTCATCGCAGCCTTGGTGCGTCAATACTACAACAAAGGCTACATTTCCTTGGTTTCAGGAAACAGTGCTGGTTCAAGTGGGTTCTAAAGTTCATTGCTGGTGTTAACGTACAAACAAATGGTTTTGATGGGCAGGCTATCCAATATTGAGCCTATAAGGGGTGTTTCCTGGTTGGATGGTACAGTAAGCCCAGAAACTTGTGTGGGTGCCTTAACATGGATCAGGTACAGGGTGAGTCAAAAAGAAAGTGACCAAATTAGAAACACTGGTTTAAAAAATGTGGCTCCCTCCATTTCGTACACGCACGTAACATAGGGATAAATGCATGTTATTGATTAGTAAAATTTCACATGGTAATTTGCCTATTCCCAAGTTACCGGTATGTCTATTTTAATATTAAAGCCGGAGTCCATCATTTGCAGCTATCCAAAAAGAAACTGACGTAATTATTGACGAAAAACAGACTTGGTTGAAAGATAGTATGGGACTAAACTCCCTGTGAAATTATTCTTTCTGGCAAGCTGTCATTTTGAAGAAATCGATGAAAGAAGGCCTTTCCAACGGTGGAAATTTCCGTTAATTCTTTTTTTTATTCTGCAAAGCGCGCGCAAGCGTTGACACGACGTGCGCGCGGTTGCTATAATTTGTCGGATCGATGCGCGACATCGCGTAGCTGCAATCGTGTCAGTGTCTCAAACGCTGAATTCAGGCAAAATTCAAAACATGATTCAGCAAATTTTGATTTGAAATCGAGATCCTACAATGCTGTTTTTTCTCAGAATATAGGCCTACAGCTGAAGCTGAGCTGAACCTTCATCAGGTTAGTTGTTTAGCATCCTTCTTTAGATTTTGAGCATGTTTGTTGCTTCAAACGAACAAAATGCACAAATTACTAATGGACTTTACCTTTAAGATTACAAAATTCAGCTGTCCACTACAGATCATTTACCATTGTACGAACTGATGAATACCCATTAAATACAATTGAAACATAAAGTTTTCCCACCTCCATGAAGGAACATGGACTTGCATAGGAAATCAGACAAAAATTCGCCATCAATATTTCAGGGAAAAAAAAAATTTGACTTTCAAAACACAAAATCTGACAGTAAAAATAATGTTTCCATCTTGACTCAAACGATAAAATCTCAAATTTGTATTTGAATGCATAGATGTAATCTGTATCTCTTTCAGCTCAATAGTTTCCAATGGCATTTCATAGACAGCTATAAAAAAAAAATATTTTTTTAGTAAAACACGTATATTTTCTGATAGCATGGATCAATTTCAGTAATTCTTGTTTTCAGATGAGTGGAAGAACTTGTACTTCAATGGTGTTACAAATCTTATTGCTTTTTAAGAAAAAAAAACATTAATCCATGTCACTTTCAGTTTGATTCGTCATGAATGGAATATGTTCACTTTCAGTATCACATTTTTCAGATGGTTAACTGTCCCAAGTTTATACATTTAATTTGCTGTTGTACAAAGCGATGTGAAAACATAAAACACATCATACTCCCAATGCATGATTGTGAATTGAAGAGGTCATACTTATAGTATTACATGTAAAATATATTCAAAATATAATCTTAACTGAACAAGATGTTTAGATTGCACGCCCACATTTGTGTACAAATGTATTTAAAGAGGTTGTGGAATGCTCGAAGACATTTCCGTCATTTTTCGGGTATATGTAGCCTAAGGTGTGATGAAATAAATATGACTATTGTGTCTGTCCTGAAATGAGTACAAAAGGTACTTTTGAGAGCTGTTTTTTACATGTAGGTCCTGTTTTGACCCGAACGTGCAATTTGTATAAAAGTCGTCATAAGGGGCAGCAAACAAAACATAGTAAATCGTGACGTAATAAACAGGACTCGTTTATAATACGCTGTATTGGGAGTCCTGTTTATTACGTCACGATTTACTATGTTTTGTTTGCTGCCCCCAACGACGACTTTTACACAAATTGCACGTTCAGGTCGAAACAGGACCTGAAAAACAGCTCTCAAAAGTACCTTTTGTACTCATTTCATGACAGACACAATAGTCGTTTTTATTTCATCACACCTTAGGGTACATGTACATACATGTATACCCGAAAAAAGACGGAAATGTCTTCGAGCATTCCACAACCTCTTTAAAAACATGTACATGTATCACACTACAATGACTACATGTACATGACTGCTATTTAATATTCAAGAGAGCAGCATCCATGTAAATTGAGTATGGTACCATAAAATTAATCCTGTCAAACTTTTAGATTATTTATAGCCCTAACAGTCCTGAATCCTCCAATTTTAATTCAATTTTGCACAACCCCTAGGGAGTTAGGGTTAATGATGACAAATAAACTGTTCCAATGTCAATTTATGCCAAACACAATGGCTTTGAAAAGTAAATACAAAATAATCTGAAACTTGAAATGTACCATATGTTACAAGTTTGAAACACTTCATGAAAACAAGACTAAAACAACAACAAAATTGACATACCAACTGTTGAAATTTAAACTGTTCAAATGTCAATTTAGTCGAACACAATGGCTTTGAAAAGCAAATCATTTATAAGAGGATCTGAAACTTGAAATGTACAATATTTTAGAAGTTTGAAACACTTCATAAAATCAAGAATAAAATTTAAAAAGGGAAAAAAAATATCCTCTAGCTAAATCACTAAATATTGTACATACCTTTAGTACAAGCTTGAGTTTGGTTGAGAATGGACCACGAAATGAATTGCGGAGCAAAAACACTTTTTCAACACAACCGTCACAGTTCCGTGAAAACCAACTAGTTTAACAAACACACGCTTGACTTATTAAATCCACAGTGCCCAATCCAATGACAAACACACGGATAATAATAGCGAGGCATTCTATTGGCTGCTTTTAGTGCTTGATGTCACAGCTCGGTTATCTGGTGGGCAAATAATAGTGGGAGGTAGCGCAAGCCGGTATCGGAGTTAGATTTGCCCAGTCAGGATCACCAAAGTTTGAACTCGGAAAATTCCAGAAGTCAAACAAAACTGATCTAGGTCAACTTGGACTTCAAGTTACTCATTTACAAATGTAACACTTTTTCTTTATTATTTAATTCTTTGCATGTCATGTTGCTAGAATTCCCCTCCCCCCCCCCCCAGTTATTTCTGGCATGTCTGGGAATGGGTGAATTATTAACAGCCAAAAGACTTTGTCAAGTTTAGGGCCATTCAGGATCAGTCAGCCAGCTGTCACACACTACATGTGTTTACTTTTTTATGACATCCAGTGAATCATTATGATCAAATGTTATGCAAATGTAGAAACTTAATTAATAGACACCAAAAATCAAGTGATCATGCGTGCACATTTGACTCCGAGTGTTCTGTACCTAACAGTCCTGAATCCTCCAAGTTGAATATAATTTTGACTAGTAAGGTTTTTCGTAAAAACTTAATAGTAGTTTTATTTGTTGTTGTTTGCAAATGTATATTCCCTTTAAGTTTGGGAAGCCTATCAGCTTCACATACCGGTACATGTTGCAAGGGCAGTCTACCATTATTGTTATGTTACGTCACAACAAAGTACCGATACTGTAGGAAAAGTGAACAGAGGATACAGGGTTAGACCAAGGTTATTGGACAATGTTGGAACAGCCATGCAGTGAACGGTGACATAATATAGTAAAACCTGTAAGCATAAGAATGTACTTTCATTTTTGCTGATTTCCAACGAGTACATTGTATCCCCACACAAGGGTGGACCAAGAACCAAATTTTCAAGGGGGGGGGGGAGGGCTCGAGTATTTTATTTTGTTTTTAAAGTTTTTTTTTAAAGGGGAAAGGGAGTAAGTACATTATTTAGTATCGTATGCTATTTCCACAGACCACAGGAAATGTTCGCATGAATTGTTTTGGGTGCCCCCCCCCCCCCCAAAAAAATAACCCCAAAAGTCTACATGACATGCTGTGACAAAATATTCTTCAATTTAACGTAGGATTTAATTTAAAACAATACCTGAAAGAAAACTAGTACTTTGGAAAAAAAACGGGAAAGCCAATGTAGGATTTGAATAAAAACGTCAAAGCAAAGAAAACTAAAAAGAAAAAAAAAACCTGCGCTATTTTAGTGTGCTATAGGCCTACATGTATTGTAGATAATAGCCGTTTGAATTTTTGAAATCAGACAAGGCCTTACTTAGATATTTTGAAAATTCGTCCCCTGTGTACTTTTTGGCACACTTATCTACATGTATGAGAAACTTGGAAAAAATTGGGGTGTGTTTTGCCTTATTTACACTAACATACCTTCTTATTTTGGTTAACAATTTCAGAATTCATAAATTCAACAATTATTGATTCCGGCAATCTGGGATTTAGAATACATACATGTAAGCCCGAGGGATGTTCCAGTTCCAACAAGGGGATGTTGAAACAGTTAAAATTTTCATTTGAGACATACCGGTAAACTAAAGTTGATAACATTGATATGTTGTGAAAAGAAACTGATATCAGTGAGACTTTTAGACAATCAATACTTTTCTGAATATGGTAAATTTTATTTGTTTACTACTTTCCGTTATATAAACAAATGAGTAAACAAAATCCAATTACAAATTCTCATTTTATAACTAAACATTTTTTGGTTTTTTACTTTTTTTGTCAGTATTTTATTGATTAAGACCCATACATATATGTACAACTTATGAAAATACTTTCTTTTCTTTGGAATGCTATGGCATTGCCATGGAAACTGATGTAATTAGCCAAATAAGAAACCTAGTAACATGCTCATTGAATGAAGTAATTCAATCAAGTAATTTTTTTGTATTCTATGATAATTTCACTGTGATCTGTTGACTTTGTCGACTTCAAGTTCTTGTACCCTGTAACCTGTACATGTACATGTACACGAAAAGTTTCGGCCTACAAATTCAATACAATACATTAAAGCCTACAGATGCTAAAGCAGAAAAAGGGCTGTGCGAGTGGACACCACTTGATCACCCAAAAACACAATGAGAAATGGCTTTCACCTGCATGAAGCATACTCCCGGGAAATGAACGTGACCTTTCAGACGCTTATTGACGCATTTCAGTAGGACCCCAACTTCATTCCCGTGCCACGCCATAGTGAAAGAATGCGTGCACAGTGTATGGAGTTGAGGTTGATGCGACCGTGGAAGTTGCACGCGAGAAGAACTATCGCAACATCGGCCATGTATGTACATGTAGGTAAAAGATTGGCAGTGGATATTTTGCCGGAGACGGCAAACCTTTAGTAAACGTTAGTTTGCAGGATATGCACTGAACATGGGCAGTTACTGGTTTTTTGTACTTAAACATTTTCCGGTGACAAATTTTAGTCTGGCTCCATGCCAATATTATCGTTGTAACCTCGTATTCACAAGATGGGATTCAGACCATTTTATAATTTCGGACTTTATTTCCCTTTTAAAAAAATCCTCCAGAGCCACAAATCTGAAAAAGAAAATGTAATACTCTGCAATAAAATGTTTGAGACATGTTAAAATAATAAAAGAAGAATATTCTTATTTATTTGGGGATGGGAAAAAAAGCTTAAAAATGTGGCGGGGATCGGGATCGAACCCGAGTCATCCCGCTCACTAGAGCTTTTGCTTAACCACTACACCAAACGTGCTACACAACTTTTGATGGGAATTTGATACATCTTATAATTCAGCCCTATCTTAAAGAGTACAGCGCCCTCTGTTGGTATGGATTGCCGCCGGCAAACCTTTAGTAAACGTTAGTTTGCCGTCATTACCTCCGGCAAAATATCCACTATCTAAAAGATTCGGGCGGCTATTTCTTGAAACGCGAGACACGAATCATTCATAGGCCTACATCTTACAATCTAATCCAGGTACGAGATCGATGAAGACATTGAACAGTGTTGAACATCAATATTTACATGGGTCATAAGTTGCAGCAAACGATTATTTTTTGCGCCAATCGTTTTTTTTTGTTGGCGGAACCCATGGCTGGACTCACTATTCAGTCCAAATAGAATGATGTCATCGTACTGAATAATTAATGGCGTCATCGTGGCTTGATCAAGCGGCTGTTGTTATACATTTCCAGCGACGTCGCTAGATTTAGGAAGCAAGTTCCCATCCCAGGGCTTACTATTGGAAACGAGGTTGGTATGGATTGCCGCCGGCAAACCTTTAGTAAACGTTAGTTTGCCGTCATTACCTCCGGCAAAATATCCACTATCTAAAAGATTAGGGCGGCTATTTCTTGAAACGCGAGACACGAATCATTCATAGGCCTACATCTTACAATCTAATCCAGGTACGAGATCGATGAAGACATTGAACAGTGTTGAACATCAATATTTACATGGGTCATAAGTTGCGGCAAACGATTATTTTTTGCGCCAATCGTTTTTTTTTGTTGGCGGAACCCATGGCTGGACTCACTATTCAGTCCAAATAGAATGATGTCATCGTACTGAATAATTAATGGCGTCATCGTGGCTTGATCAAGCGGCTGTTGTTATACATTTCCAGCGACGTCGCTAGATTTAGGAAGCAAGTTCCCATCCCAGGGCTTACTATTGGAAACGAGGTTGAAAATAAAGTAAGCCCTGGGGACGAGGTTGCCCGCCCCCGGCCCCATCTCCCACCTCATCAAATTCAAAATTCATACGATACCTGCCGTCGTCCGTTGATAAACTGCTGACTGAGCACGTAGCGCTACTTTATTAGTGTCAACTACCACCAGGATCTTCTTCAACTTTTCAAGCTTCACGATTCTAGCTTTTGCTTCACAGCCGAGAAAGCCAACTTCAAGTTCACGCCGGCTAGCGTTTCACGGCCGTACATCAGTACATGTACATGTACTGTGCCCAGGGTGACCGTAAGGTCAGAGCCAAATTCTGCTAAATGCGCATCAAAAATCTGTCAAATTTATCAAAAGTCTGCCAAATTCCCCAGAATTACTCGAAATATACTATAAACACTTAAAATCACATGCAGATTGGTAGGATTGCCTTAATTAAGATTCAAATTACATAATAAACAATCTAGTCAAATAAAGATGTTGTTAAATTATTGGTAAATTTGGGGCAAAACGTGGATCCGGCCATGCATGACGAAGTCCGTTTCCCAGTGAACCTCAGCACCTATACCAGCCAACCTGTGGTTTGTTTGAAAAAGATTGAAGCTGTTTTAAACAAATGTGCACTTTTTGGCTCACATTTGCTGTTTTTCTGTCCAAAAAAAAACATTTTTGCAGAATTCTGCCAGAAATCTGCCAAATAAATCCATTCTGTCAAATTTTCTGTCAAACTCGTTTTTTAACAAAAATTCTGTCAAAGTTAGCCGAAAATCGGTTAAAACGGTCACCGTAAGTGTGCTCATTGAATGCACGTTCCATGATATAGTGGAGATTTACGTACACAGACTAGACTTTGTGTGCATTTTCCTAATGCCCGTTGCAGTCTTGTTCCTAGACGCCAATTATACTTAGCTTGTTTATAAAATCAAAACCATTTTGTACACCTCGGCTTCATTTCAGCTTGGCTTTCAAATCGGCACAAGAAAGGTATGTATGGTTATCGATATTATTTTGTAAAGCCTCAGATTCTCAAACCAAACAAATATTACTGAAATTATGGTTATATGTTCCTTGACAAGAAAATAGACACCTGTCAGTACTAGTGGACTAATATTACTCTTGAGGTTGCAGCCCGTTCCGAAGGTGTTGTAACCATAATTTGAGAAATTGCACAAAACGCCGCGCCAGCGCTTTAAAATGAGGGCGCTCTTCATTCTATCCAGCAACAACAAATTTAAACTACATGACTCATGAGGTATAAAGTTCAGCGTCCAAATTCCTGAATTCAAGAAGTTGAGTGCAACTTGCCCGGAAAATTCGACGGAAAATGGTAAGGAAATGTATATCCTCACAATGTTAATAGCTCGGAAAAAAATGTTGCAACCTGACTCCACTTTTTCTTCACATACCATCTCAGTCAATGAAGGTCATTCATTGCAAAAATGATACGAAGTGGCTAGCTGGAGTTACCCAGCCCTGAGTTTTATCATTGGGTTGTCTAATAGACAACCCAATGATAAAACTCAGGGCTGGGTAACTCCAGCTACGAAGTGGCTATCGTTACGGCACTAGTTGTTTAGCGCCCTCTACGATATTTTTTTGATACGCACGCAGGTATATAATTATTTGTTTCCCCACGATTTTTCAAGCAGTGCGCCAGCTCAGCCGATAGAGGGTAGGATCTTGCACCGCGAGGTTATGGGTTCGAATCTCAGTTTTGCACTCGAATTTTTTTCCTTTTCTAACCTGAGGCTTTGGAGGATTTTTTTTAAAAGGGAAATAAAGTCCGAATTTCATAAAGTTTAAATTCACTTTTTTCCTTCTAATTTTATATTTTCTTGTCATGTTTTTTTTATAAAAGTTGCCAGGTTGCAGTCTACCGTAACGATAGAAAATGGGAAATGCGTTACGGCTGCCGTAACAATAGCCACTGCGAAAATGATAAGACAAACCTAATCTGGGACTGTGAAAATTTCCAATTTGTTATGAAAATGTAAAGTTAGAAAGTTTTCTTGACTCTCCATAGACTTTACACACAATTGCGGAAGTGGCGTCAGGTTGCAACATTTCTTTCTCCATTTTTCCCTTCACAGTGACCTAGTAATTATATGAGCCATCACAGGCATCAGAAAGTGATAATACGTACGTATGCCCTAAACTTAAGGCCAAAAAAGAAATCCCCTGTTTCTGGTAATGGTATGGAGCTTGCCCCAAAAGTGGTGCGGCGACGCAGGTTGTTTTTTTCCCCAAACTTTTTTTTCTTCTTCAAATGTCGGCTGATGTTGCAGATGACACGTCGATCCCCTTAAAACTCTCAAAAATATCCTTCAGAGTGGAGCTTGAGGTAACCTCAGTAGTCAGTAAGGCCGTAAGGCTTATGATCTCGACCGACATGAATATTCTTTGGGAAATTTGGATAGTCAAGACAAAAATCAGAGAAAACGGTAACGTCAGACCTAGTCCGAAAATTTGGGACTCTCAATACTGTGTATGAGATTGAGAGTCCCAAAACTAATAAGGTAGGGGCCTACTGAAAACATGTAATACAAGAAAATAGACTGGCACATGAAACAACCAGTCCAACAACTCTTCAGTACTGCACCAATCAATATTATATCTAGGATGTCGGTAGCCCGACTGCGTCTGGCCGTACAGTACTATCGCAAGCTCTGTAGTACGGCCAGACGCCCGATGCTTCCACAGAGACTGAATTTTTTTGGCCGCCGATGTAGCGATTTTGCTACATCTTTCGATCGCGATTATCTTTTCATCCAGGACACAAATTTCCAAAGTTAAGGTTCGTAGTCATAGAGCAACTCATACCTTTTCGAAAAAACGTTCTTTGGTCTCAATATTTTCATCCATCTGGCCACAAGACGAATTTCAGTCATCAGATTCCACAAATATCGTCCCCCATGCGATTTCAAAATGGCGGCCGCGCTGTAATGTATGCAATATGCAGGCGCGCCCGCGCAAACTCATGAATATGCATTAACAGCCTGTGACGTATGACCTCGTGTTTTTGGACGTGCGTGCGGCGGGGCCGTACGTCCAAAAACACGAGGTCATACGTCACAGGCTATTATGCATATTCATGAGTTTGCGCGGGCGCGCCTGCATATTGCATACATTACAGCGCGGCCGCCATTTTGAAATCGCATGGGGGATCGCATGGGGGACGATATTTGTGGAATCTGATGACTGAAATTCGTCTTGTGGCCAGATGGATGATAATATTGAGACCAAAGAACGTTTTTTCGAAAAGGTATGAGTTGCTCTACGACTACGAACCTTAACTTTGGAAATTTGTGTCCTGGATGAAAAGATAAATGCGATCGAAAGATGTAGCAAAATCGCTACATCGGCGGCCAAAAAAATTCAGTCTCTGTGGAAGCATCGGGCGTCTGGCCGTACTACAGAGCTTGCGATAGTACTGTACGGCCAGACGCAGTCGGGCTAGGATGTCGGGTACTAGGTCACTATTTCTACAAATTTCTCCTTAGTCAGGCACCAGACACTGAATGAAGAAGTCAGTCTTGTCAAACAGTTGGACAATGGATGACATGTAGAAGTCTAGGCTTTTAGCCTCATTTTGAAATCACTTGACTTCCCTCTCTTGTGCAAGCCACTGCCAAATATTGAAGAAAAGTCTCCTTTAAAAATTGAATTGAGTCTTCAAACTTGGTTGGTGAAATACTGAAGAACTTTTCTTTTGCCCAGTAACAGTTTTGGAGAAATTTGCTGGTTAAAGAGTGAGTAAAGTTGGCCTGATCTTCTTTTGCATCGTTTTGAGCACTTAAGGTCCCATACTCACTGGTTTGATTATTTTTCTGATTCTTGACTTTGGAGGATTTATTTTTAAAGGGAAATAAAGTCTGAAATTGTAAATGGTCTGATGGTCTGATTACATGTACCACTACCATTCCGTGGATATGAAGTCACAACGACAATGTTGGCATGGAACCGGACAAAGATTTGTTACAGTCCAAATTCCCCAAAAACAGTCCCAGTGCATACAGTGCCGTTCTGGCTTAATATCATTAAGTTATTCTAAGGCCTACTACAAGAGAAAGCCGGATCCACGTAAATATCCATTGCCTACCAAAAAATACACGAAAGAAAACATCCGTTTTTGGGCGATCGTGAAGTGTAGGGCCCCTGTTTTGTTTTGATCAAATTAGAATCAAAACTGTTTTTTATTGCTCAAAAATCACCTTTACAAATCAAAAGCAGACTTTTCTCAATTCTAATGACACCCGTTTTGCAATTTTGAACAGATTCTTTGGGTAGAAATCACGATTTTCCTGCACGGTTTGTGCGTTGCGATTCAGCACGCCACGCTGTCATCGTCATTTTACCCCCAAATTTCCTTCAAAAAAATTGAAACCCTGCCCTCTATCTGTGGCATACCTGTTTATTGAGAATGTCGCCAACTAGTTTGGTAGGTCCAATAATTGTAAAGTGGATTTTGTTCCCTTATACTATAGGAACCGGGCCCTACACTACACGATGGCCAGTTTCGGGGGCCTGACAGTCGGTCATTTCAGAAATGGTAAAAGAAAAAAAAACGTGGCCCTGAGAAAATTTGAATCAGGAAAGGCATAAAAAATTAAATGCCTGCTGATTATTACTTTATTAGATATGTACATGTAGAGTCACAATCTGTGCAGTATACTATACGCCTGTATGATTGTTAATTCTTTTTTCTTCTCCCCCCCCCCCCCCATGATTTTGCACCTTTTGTTTGCTACTACTAGAGCGACTGGGCTTCATGCACGCTGTGTAGAACAGGACAACAAGGACTAGAGGTTCTTCAGAGGGCACAGCAACGACAAGTGGAATGGCCACAACAGCCTCATCATACGAAGCCCCCAATACAGGTAGCATAAGCCAATTATTTTGTCGATTACGGTTTGCAATAACCGGTACACCTGCGAAGCTGCAGGCTTCATGTCCCCTAGGCATGTTTACTGCAGGCCGTTACCAAGTTAGTCAGCCGGTCATAAACTCTGCAAGCATGGTCAGGCCGCTGTAGAGGTAAAGAGCCCTATCGACAAGCTGAATCTCATCTACTTTTGGGAACTTTGGCTGCTGGACCAAGGAAATTCCGAGCAAACCTCCCACACCCACATTAGTTTGAATACAGTGTGTGATGACTTTTAACCTGTACCTAAAGCTTCCCAAATCTTCCAAAATCCTCTTTGAAAATGGAGGATTTTTGCAGGATTGAGGCTAGTGCAAAAATGTGTGGCTGATTTTGGAGGATGCACTGTGTCAAGGTCTTGGGCCGGACCTTGTGTTGTTTATGCTCAGCGATGCATGAATGTTGGCGTACATTATACTTGAAATCCTCCGCACTGCTCCTGGATGTCACTGGCTCTGCCTGAACATTTTGACAGTGAATTGCTGGAGGATTTTGCAGGATTGAGGCAGTGGTCAGTCACGTCACCCCTTCAAGGACCACACTCGGGAAATAACAGAGGATTTTGCAGGATTGAGGCTGTATGCAATTTTAACATGGAGAAAGTTGGAGGATTTTACAGGATTGAGGTTGCTTCCTAGCAAAAATGCCTAAGGAGTTAAGGTTAATGATGCCAAAGTTCTCAATGCTGGATTCAATTTGAGTTGTTAACACCTCCACTACTGCCGCGGTTTGACTATGCGCTTGCCAGGGATTGGCTGCGTTGGGAACAAAAAGAAATCAAGACTTGAACTGAGACTACAGCCAAGACCAGGCTAAATACTATAATAACAAGTATAACCTTTGGGAGACATTAGCATCATACCTTTGGGAGACACGTCGAATTAGGGAGACATTTCAATGTCTCCCTAATTCCATATCCCCTACTTAGAGGCAAAATTTTGCTGTCGCAAATAGGCTAGATCGATTGCTCGTGGTCCAGTTAAGGGTCATCAAAGTTGGAAAAAAATGTGTGCACAAGTGTATGGGAATGTCTCCCTAATACCCAATTATCGTAATTATTCTTATTATTATTGTTTATTTCTGGTATTAATGAATCCAAGGATTCTTTTTAAAGAAACATGAGGAGAGGAGACAATGAGAAGAAATTACAGTTTTAGAGGCGGGAGGAAACTCTAGAAAAATATTCTGTGGAAAACCCACGGAATCAGGAAATGACTGAAAACTTAATCCACATGTTGGCCCAGGCGGGATTCGAACCCGGGTCACAGCGGTGGAAGGCGAGGAAAGCACTGCAACGTCAACCTGACTCATCCCAGTGCAACATGCCAGTTCATCCATTTACTCGCCGGATAATTTTTGTGTCCATTTCATTTTGTTTGTTTTTCCCCTGTTTTCTTTCAGGATGCCATGAAGCATACCACCATCGATGACGCTTTCAGCAGCATCTTACAGTACATGTCCACTACAACCAGACAGTGCCGGGTATGTAAATTCAGGACTAGAATATACTCTGTTTGCAGGAGTGCTATCTCATGAAACTAAAGAGACCAAACTAATTATCTAAAGTGCCCTACATGTATGCAAAGATGTTCAGTATAGCCATGACAAAATGGGCCACAGCATACGTGTTGCATCTTTACCGTCCATCAAGTTTGTTAGTAGATAAATTTGTTAAACCACTTACAGTCATGAAAAGTGCATACATGTATGTGTTCCATATACCATGCGCACTATGTGATAACTTATAATGTACTAATAGAAATAAGTATTACTGATAGAAATAACAGAAAATGTTCTCAATTTGAATTGTTCAGGTCTCTATCTCACAGTGCATTTCAGACTTAACCCTTACTCCCTAGGCATTTTTGCCAGGATGTAACCTCAATCCTGCAAAATCCCCCAACTGCCTCCATGTAAAAATAGCATACAACCTCCGTTATTTCTTGAATGTGGTCCTTGGAGGGGTGACCACTGCCTCAATCCTGCAAAATCCTCCAGCAATCACTGTCAATATGATGATGAGGCAGAGCCAGTGACATCCTGGAGCAGCGCCGAGGATTTCAAGTGTAATCTAGGCCTATGGCGGAGCAAAAACAGCACAAGGTCCGACACAGTGCATCCTCCAAAATCAGACACACATTTTTGCCATATAGCCCAATCCTGCAAATTCCTCCATTTTGCAAAGAGGATTTTGGAGGATTTGGGAAGGTTATGGAGAGATTATTTTATGTACATGTACAAGTTGGAGAAAACTTTCCAATTGGAGGATGGTATTAGTTCTTCTAAATGCTGTCTATGTGTCCATGTTTTTTGTATTTTTTATTCACAGCGGTATTACCGGAGCTCCCCTCCAACTCAACACAATCCTTCCGACAAACTGCACACCAGAAGGTTCCACACACCGCAATATACAGAGTTGCACACGAAACACCCAGTAAGTGGGCATTGTTAGTGTGATTATTTCTTCTTAATCTTTTGCATATGATATTTGTATTTCAAAAGCTGTTATGCCCCACACACCTTCAGATCTGGTACGACTGTGAAATGATTTTGACCCCCCAAAAAAATGAATTAATGGGTACATGGCTGCAACTTATAATCTTGATTCTTCCATCTGAAGTGAATTAAATATGACTGAAAAGTGTAATCAAACATTTTGAACTCTTTACGCATGAATTCATGTAGATGATAGTTCAAAGCAGTTCCACCAGTTCACAATAAGTTATCAACTTCAAAGTTTCAACCTTTCGTCAGATGACCTAATCCTTTATAACTAAAGAATAAGGTCATCATCTTTTGTGGTATTGAAAACAGTAAACGGTTGTTCTGTAGCATGTGAGTTTTTGCTCTTCTTGTTCTCGGTTTCATGCTCTAAAAGCTGTTTTGAATAAATTTAATGTAGACAAAGTGAGATCAAACAAAGAACACAAGAAACCCTCCATGGTTTATGTTGTACTTTTTGTCTTTGTCATACAGTTGCTTCGTTCTGAAGATGTCCATGTGGTAGTAGCACCAGGAACCTATGCAGTGACTGCCGGTGCGTGGGGCACCGCTCAGCAACAGACCACCCATGTGGTTCACGTCAACCAAGGACAGAGCGTCGACTTAGACTTTGTACTTTAGCAGTGTGTCATTGGTTTCCATCATCATTGCTGTGAAATATCAGTAGGCCATCAGCCTCGATCAAAATTTTGGCCACCGGTATCAAGTGAGGGGAATAATCGTCATTGCGATTCTTAGCAAGGTATACACCTCGGGAGTTGGAAAATATGTGATAGCATTGCAGCAGTGGCAGCTTTTTGGGTGTCATCACCTTTTTTTCAAAATGTCCATCAAAATGCTTGTTACCACTCTAGGGGCGGTATACCTTGCGCATGCTCACTATAATCGTTTATGCCCTGATTTGATACTGACCAAACCCCCTGGCTGATGGCCTACAGGGAAGCATTGAAAAGAACCGTGATATTGTACATGTGTATTCGTGTCTGGTCTCCCGACTGCAAACGGCACTGCAGCATATAGAAATGAACAGCAGACTGTTTTTGCCGTTTAGCTTCAATGTGGTTTCATAAGGTGTTAGCGAAAACGTGGCTTTCTCTATGGCTTTAGCTTCATCGCCACCTTCAGAATCTTCTTTACAGAAGCCTGCAACCAAGGGAAATTCTCGAAACCACACATTGACCTCGCACTGTCGTATTTTGATATTCCTGCAACAGAAAATGTACCTACATGTATATTAGGGCCCCAGTGTCAAGTCTGGGGTCTAAAACCATGAAGCTGGCGCCTGCAGAACCAGACCTGTAAGCATTGCCGATATTTCGCAAACCCCTATAGCCTCCACTTGTACTTGACTGGGCCCAATTTCATAGCGCTGCTTAACAGCCGACTTTGTGCTTACCGAGCCTCCATCTATTTCATAGGGACCGTTAAGCAGTAAGCACAGCAAAAGCACGCTTAACCCCAGAAGAAAACTTTGCTTAAATTAGTGACGTAACAATAGAAATCTCCATGCGCGCGCAACTGTTAGCATGAAATAGTGTTTAAGCAGCTGCATGATTTTCTGCTATAGTAAGCACAACTTTTCTGCTTACTGTTAAAAGTAAGCTGCAGCATTACAAAATATACAGCCACTGAGGCACCTCTAGTGAGAAAGTCTACGCAATGAAGAAATTTCACTCAAAAAAGTTTAATCACAAAAGCTGGTAAAAAGTTGGAACAAAGGTTCACATACAAAACTTGTGGGAGGAGAATACATGTTACTGATTTGCATCAACCTCCAGCTCTCTTGTTTTCACAAGAATGAGCCCAGATATCTGAATTAAATATAAGACAAATGATGGAAGTTTCAAGTGCAAAGGTAAGAATAATTTCATGAAGTGACTGGCAGAATGTGAGTGGAATGGAACATTCTGTCTTTCACCACATGAAATTATTCTTTCCATTGCATTAATTATTTGTTTTGTACAACGCCTGAATCAATCCTCGTCAGAGCCATGTAAAAGCGCCGCCAATTGTGTGACCGTGCAATTGAACTTCTATTTCCCATGGAATGGAACTTCTATTTTTTTGCGGTTGGGACGACAAATTCAGTGATCAACGACCCACCAATCAGCTGCTAGGGATTTATTCAGGTGTTCTATAATAGACCTAAAACATAATAACGTCGCACTTTGTTTGCGTGTGCGCTTTTCTACATGTATGAGAGCCAGGTGGGAAGCGTCCCAGCTGGCTCTCATAGGAAAGCGCACATGTAAACAAAGTGTGACGTCATTACGTCTCGCGTCTATTCTGCGTGGTGGGTTCCATGTTGTTTCCCACTACAGTATGCTTTACTTTTGCTGTAGTTTTTTCTTTTGCTGCACTTTCATTCTCAGGCTGTGCTCCGTGGTCATATATGGGTCGATGTGGCTGGCAGCCATAGGCGCCTTTAGGTGCCAGCGGCCCGACCACGTTGTAGCCGCATCCTTCGCAATTCAGCATACCAGCTGCGAGTAAGGATGATTAGCCTCCCAAATTATTATTATTATTATTATTAGTTGGGAACTGACGTTATGCTTTACTTTTGCTGTAGTTGGGAACTGATGTTTATCTCAGTTCTTCATAAATTCATGGCTGCAAAATACAAGATGCTGTTGCAGTTGTAGAGTTTGAGAATAAGCTAGTGAAGTTTTGCATTGTTTTAGACGATGTCGCATTTTCTGAGTCAGTTCATAGCAATGCTTGTACATGTACCTGCCGTTGGTTGGATACTGGAGGCTGCAAGTAATGAAATAATCTTTTCTCTGTTCATCATCAGACATTGCAGTGTTTCTCTTAAACCTTTCAAAAAAGAAAGAAAGTTGGGGGTTCAATAAGCCTCACACGTCACACTTTGTTTACATGTGCACTTTCCTATGGAGCCAGTGGGGGCCCACGGTCCACTGAGCACCATAGGAAAGCACACACGTAAACAAAGTGTGATGTCATCAGTGCAGAGGCTTATTACTTCTGTTCAGAGGACTGGGATTTCACATTCATTTGGAAAGTAACCCGTCGCAAATCTAATAAACATTCAGTCCGCTCTTTAATGGGAATGAGAATTGAAAATTAGTATCGTGGGAAAGTCAGGGTCTATAAAAACCATTGTGCACCATTTAGACTTTTCATCCCATAGAGATTTTTTTTTTGGAGGGGGTGTTGCTTTCCGGGTTGGGGGGGGGGGTGATTGCCTGGTTCTCTGAATAAATTCTGAATAAGTGTACTTTTAACTCTAGACTTCCGTTCTCCTAATCATATGGCAACTAGCAAACTAGGTCAATCTACATTGTTTTATTTCCATTAATGAAGGCGAATTATATTTCATGAACCTTTTATATCTGGGAATTTTGCTCTGCTTATCCACAGGGACAACATTGTGATGAAACCCCCAAACCCATGTCATATCCCTGTAAACTTGATAGCTGGTACGTGTACTTTTGTACATAACTTTCAAAGTTTAGAAAAGTGCAGCTGGCTTTATTCAACCATAGCTCCATGATTCAACTCTCTACTTTCAATCCAACCAATTTGAAATCATGTGTTTATATTAAAGATTTGTGTTTATTGTTTTTGTTTTGTGCATCATGTATTGTATTGATAATGGAACTAGAGGTATTAAAGAGGTTGTGGAATGCTCGAAAACATTTCCGTCATTTTTTGGGTATATGTAGCCTAAGGTGTGATGAAATAAAAACGACTATTGTTTCTGTCATGAAATGAGTACAAAGGGTACTTTTGAGAGCTGTTTTTCATGTCCTGTTTCGACCCGAATGTGCAATTTGTGTAAAAGTCGTCGTTGCGGGCAGCAAACAAAACACAGTAAATCGTGGCGTAATAAACAGGACTCGTTTATGCTACTCTGCATCGGGAGTCCTGTTTATTACGTCACGATTTACTGTGTTTTGTTTGCTGCCCGCAACGACGACTTTTACACAAATTGCACGTTCGGGTCGAAACAGGCATGACAGGACTTGAAAAACAGCTCTCAAAAGTACCTTTTGTACTCATTTTAAGACAGAAACAATAGTCGTTTTTATTTCATCACACCTTAGGCTACATATACCCGAAGAATGACGAAAATGTCTTCGAGCATTCCACAACCTCTTTAAGTATCAGTGACAAGGAAACAACCAGAAATTGTCTCATGTGGCATCACAACATTCCAGAATTTTGCTGTAAATATTTGTGTCTTATTAAAAATGTACATTTTGTATTACTGATTTAGAAAATAAAGTCTTTTGGACAAGAATAATGTCACACATAGTGTTATTTTTGACTGAGTAAAGATGTCCAACCATAGAACAAAATATACATTGAATGTTTTTATGCAAACTTAAAACAACTTTTCAACATGAAAGAAAAACAGGTTTTGATTTTTTTATTACAAATTATTGTGTTAGTGCGGAATAACTAAATTACTTTGGTATGTTTGGGAATAGGGAAGGGGAGGAGTCAAAGCTAGGTTTTTTAGGGGGTCATGTACTCAAGGTAAAGAGGTTCATATGTTATAAAAGGCCGAGCTAAGTGAAGTGACAACAACATTTAAGAACAAAAATTCTTAAAAGCACTTTTTGCATTCGTGGTTTGTGATTTACATGTAATTCTAGTATTCTACAGAATCGAGACTAAAAAAATCACTCCGCCCTAGGCTCCTCCCTAGGCTCCGCCCACCCCTCCACTCACTAACAGTTATTGAGCACAAGAGGGCGCCATTTCGATGCGTCATTTCAGCACTCGCTTCACAGAATCATCATTAATCGGTGCCACGTTTTTTCTGGAAAATGCTTGAAATATTGTGTAAACTGAGTGCTTATTTTGTATCCATGTGTACTGAACATAACATGTTTCGGAAGCATTTGATTTGATCAGACTACAAGCTAATGAATTTCCGGTAGTGGTGAGTCTTTCTGTACTGTTTACTTGCTCGGTCTCGCTTGTTTACTGTGTCGTGACTGTCTGATGTCTCGGTCGTACGTACGTACGTGCGTACGTGTGTCAATCATGCAATGTGTTGTGTAGGTATCCTCGAGTCACCATAAATCGCGCGCGCGTTGTCCAAAGCAAATTGAATGCGGACCTCGTCGTTTAAGGGGGTCGATACAGTATAGGCCTACCGGGTGCTGGTCAACTACATGTAAGTGTCAACTCGGGGTGATCGTGTAGTAGTGGGTAACCGTGTAGTCATGGTAGTGTAACTGTAATGTCTGAATGTGGGGCCCACATATGTTCATTGCCTATTGCTGGTGTAGTTGTCTAGCGCAATTTTAAACTTGTGCACGCAAGTTTAAATTTGCATGAGGGACTCCCGAAGCACGCACATTACACCGCGCTAGCTGGAGTTACCCAGCCCTAAATTTTATCATTCATTGGGTTGTCATTTAGGGCTGGAGGACATTTTTTAAGCGAACCAGCAGAGAGTCATGAGAGTTGGCAGGTCCAAAAAACAATTGCAATTTTGTCCCTGATACACACTAATTTCAACTGGAACTCACCCAAACCTTGCCTGGAATAACCATTATACAGGTCCTTGAAAGTAAAAAACGATCCACGATGAAGATTCAGCCTAAATTGCAGTGAAAAAACGAGGCATAAACCGACAACAGTGCGGTCATGGCGAGGCCCGCAATTGGATTTGTGCACAGCGCGTTTACCAGTTCGTTCTTGCCGGCTGCGCTGGCTGATGGCGCATGACGTCACTCACGCGCAAGCGGATTACCCGACGACTGTTGAGGTTTACCACTCGCATCATAGCTGCGATACTGGACGGCAAGCAAAGTTAGCCGGTTATCATGCATGAAACAGAAACAAAAGGTTTTTTTCAGCGCTCCATTTTTCAGCGCTCAAGTCTGGGGAGTCCCTAAAAAAAAAACTCTACAAAAATGGTCCTTTCTCCCTATTATCCAAACCCAGATGAAATTGAAAATACCATGCAGCAGTCATTCACAAAGCTAATGATCAACTTCAAACAGTGACTGGAAATATGAAAAATATTGATGATTTTGTTGGCTTCTTGAGAAAAACTGTCTAGTTCCGCTGTCATGGCTATGTTTTGGTGGTTGCGTACCTGTGCGCATGTGTCAGTCGGGATGACCAAATGGAAAATCGAGAATCTAAAAGTCTGCTATATCATGCGCATGATCTAGCGGATTTTTCGATTCTCGATTAGGTCAATTTGGGAACTACCATGACTAAAGGTATTTCTGGGTTTTTGTATAATTTGTTTTAATCCCTTGTTTGTCCTAAGTGGTACATGGCAAGGATTGCATTCAAACAAATCTCATATTGTTCAGAATCAGAGTCAAAGTTTTGAATATTGACCAGATGCCACTAGGTGTGGATTGATACTTTGAATTTTACACCCACTTTTCATTTCACTTTCTTGACAGGTTTGTTGGCACTAGGTTTCTGAAAAAGAAGAGATTTCTTGTTTCACTCAGCTGCCTTTCCAGATAAATTCCAGACATCAGAGGTTAGTTACAGAAAATCTGTGTACATGTACTCGTGCATTGTTCATTGTATACTTTGTTTTCAGATATTTCAAAGTTCAAACTCGATACGTGGTAGTAGGCTATGAGACAAAATGTACCAATTTATCAAAAAATACATTTCATGTACATGTACAATGTACATACATTAACATGTTTCTTACATGTACGTGTACGGTAAGTGTATGCAATTTTGCACATGTAAATATTTACATGTACATGTAAATATATGTCATTATCTTCAAGTAAACTTGAATCCTCGATCCTGATTGGTCGATCCATGGCAACAAGCCGTGCTACATATAACCATGTAGCACGGCCACGGTCCATACCGCACTCCGCGTATTGCGCTATTCCAAGATGCGCAAGCCATTACACGCACGTGTAATAGGATAACCGCTGAAAATCTTTTGAGTGCGTCAAGTTTGCTTGAAGATAAATTCGTTATCACGCTCGCGCTCGTGGAACACATAAAATGTAGTGCGTCTGTGTCCCACATGGCCGAGCACAGATGCACTACATTACTCCGTGTTCCGCTCGCGCTCGCGGGATAACTAATATTGTACATGTACATGTACACAGAGGGTGGATGAGGAGGAAAAAAGGGGGGGGGGGGCCTTAACACCCCTCTTTTTCCTTCTTTAGCGAAATAAGATCCTTGAACAACAACTACAGTGTACCGGTATACATGTTTGACTTTAGCAACGAAAAGACTCCTGCTCCTAATATGTGTACATGTATCAATTGTACATGTACATGTACTATTATACAAATATTGAGTGGCTCAGAGTGGAATGGGAGGAATATTATCGCAGGGTGAATTTTTTTTTTTTTTTTTTTTTTTTTTTTTAACCGAGCGATAATATTCCTCCCACTTCGCAAAAGCCACTCAATATTTGTTTAATATAACTGACATATAGATCCTTGTCATTTGATTTACAGTTAAAATGAATTTCTATTCCTATACAAAATTGATGGGAAATGTATTTCTCTCTTCCAAACCACCCCTTCGCGAAATGTTTGAACCCAACTCTGTAGCTACTGGCTCTTGGGAACAATACGCACAACGCTCAGCGCGCACACAAATATTGCGTCATGGAACAAGGATGATCCTAACTGTTGAATAGTAAATCCCATTCACCATGGGCGAATGGAACTTTTTGAGCCCAGGCGTGAATGGGAGCAATTATTAATGTCACGTGATGTGAGTTCCACCAATCAAATGTCAAGGATCTGTATGTCAGTCGTACATTGTATAACAAAACAAGACTGCGTTCATGCAGTGCATGTGTTTATACATGAAAATTTTCACATGCCATGTTCAACTTACAATTTCAAAAAAGGTACAATTTTGAAAGTCGTTGACTTTTAGATGAGCATGAATCTGGAATTCTTTAGCAAAAGTGCCACATTGGAGAGTATGCTACATGAAATTTTAAAATCGGTAGCAAGCCTATCTTTTCAGCTTTTGGGGATTTTTGGCTAGTAATTTGGTACCTTATGACATCATCTTTATAGTACATGTACATGTAAAGTGTTGTACATGTTCATATACACATGTATGTATTGTATGTACTTGTCATAGAGCTATATCAAATTACTAGAGCGCTAACTCCATGTAAAAAGTAATGCCTGATGGGCGCATCCATGTTTGTGCACAAACCTATGGAAAACTCGAAATTTTGTACGGCTTTTGTACGGCTATTTGCATGGCTATTTGCATATCTGCGTTTGTATTCCATACCGGTGCATCATCGAAGCCGATACGCCCAAATCGAAACGCATGATCAGTAAATGAGCGTTTCATTTTGCTCTACGCAAACAGCGCAACGTGTGCGTGTCCCTCCGCTGCAGATGCTTTTCGCCGTGACGTTTTTTGAACTGTCATGACGCGCTTAAGTTGTTTGTGTATCTTCCTTCCGGTACTTGCGCGTTGCATTTAGAGTACACTTTTAAAATTCAATCCATCTGTTTTGATTGTGTTCTACAAACACGCACAACAATTCAAAATGTCTGCGCCCAGAGGGGCTTCAAAGCGTCTCCGCGCGCAAGAATGAGGAGTTAGCGCTCTAGTAATTTAATATAGCTCTATGGTACATGTACTTGTACATCAGCCATGACTTGAACAAGTATACTGTACATATACATGTACATTGTATATGCACTCAAATGTTTTCTGTAGTCAGCTCATGACTTTTTACCAAAATGTGCATGTAGTTTGCTGGTTTATTATCAGTGAGTTACAGGTCCTGGTACATTAATTCACAAGTACATATGTACATGTACCAGTAGATATGTATTTGTTTTTCTTTTGCTCAGATGTCAATGTTTGAATGCAACATGGAATATTAAAAAAAAAAAAAAATCAAACACTCCAGCCATATGTTCAAGTACCTGTAGACGACATTTTCAATTTATGTAACTAGGTGTACTTGTAGTTACATAAATTGAATTTTTTTTTTTTTTTTAAATGTCTTATGTTTTTATAGTTCTAGTTTCATGTACAATGTACGTCATTGCAAAGACTTTGTGTTCTATGAAGAGTTGAGTGCATTTTCAAAGTGTTTCTTACAAAATTGGAAATGTTACCCAGAACCAGATTCATGTCTTTTCAACATTTTTTTGCAATGACTGGCCTTCCTTGAGATGATAATATGATGAAAAAAAAGTGACGTAAGGATGCAATGTTCTTTCCTCAGACAGTACAGTATTCAGCGATGTGCATACGTAAATCCTCCTGCGATTGCCTGATTTCTGGCTTCTTTCAAATTGTTGTTAACCTGTTGGCACTGTATATACAGTCGACTCCCGTTATAACGAGCTCGGTCATAATGATAACCCGGATGTAACGAGCACATTCTCCCAGTCCCGATCAATTTGTGTACATTACTATGGGGAAATATTTGGTTATTACGTGCACGGACATAACGAGACTTCGGCTATTACGACGATCTTGGCTGACCCAATGCGAGGAAAAGCATTGTTCTCAACAACAACATCTTTTCAAAACTACGGGCATTGCAGCTTAATTGTCAACGACAGACCTTTTGTCCCGAAACGGGTATCATGCTCCCGTCTTCCAATTCAAGCAACACACTTAAGCTTCACCCATCAATGTACCTTTGTCAAGACTTCAGCCCAACGTTATTTCATCTCGCCGATCTTTATAAATAAATTCAATGGGACTGTGATAATCGGCGCAGTGGACCGCTGGTCTAGTCGCTAATCCCCCGCTGTGGTTTCCCTTAGCGTGACCAGGTTTGAAGTTTGCTTACGACTGCGATACCACGTTTCTATATTATTACAAACTAACAATAGGGGGCGCTCAGGAGTTAAGTGTTAACATTGTAAGGAATAGCCTTTAGTACTACCGCCCGAACACCGGGTGCGTAATTGCTCCCTATTGTTGACTTGTGGCTATAAAAAAAAATACGAAGTAAAGAACACAGCATCACAAAATAAACGGCTCTTTTCAGAGCCACCACAACTTCCAAAAAGAGATAATTCAGTCTGTCTTCAAAAAATAAAGTTTAAAACATACCGTGGTTCCCACCCCCAAAAAAGAATCCGAAGAATAAAAAAATAAAAATCTTAAAACAAATTAAGAACCCCTCCGGCCCCGCCGAAAAAACAATCCCAATGAAAACAGGTTTCCAAGATCTTCAAACGCCCCACCACATATACATTGTACAAATTTTAATCCAAAATTATTACTTTTGTATATTTATTATTATTATCTTAAAAGAATCCCTCCCGACAAACAATAATCACCAATTGCTGCGAAATTACACATGGAGACATTTAAACCCGGAAGTAATATTAGCGCCCTCTCTTGCCCGATTCCAACAAATGCAAAACGAAAGCAAAATGTCACTTGGCACGAATGTGCGCTATAGTTAACCGAAATAATTACAATTTCAAAGAATCCCTTCAGAAACAATAATACCCAACTGTTCCAGAAAGTCAACAACCAAAAGGCATCTAAGGATCAGGAGTCATTAAAACCCGGAAGTAATGCATGTATTGGCGCCCTCTCTTGCCCGATTCCAGCAAATGCAAAATGAAAGCAAATGTCACTCGGCACGATTTGTGCGAGTGACCTACTTGCCTGATTCTTCTCAGCGATGATGCCTTTTCCTCCGGATTCAGGTCCTCAAATATTGAACAATGTTCCCTTAAAGGTATTTTATTTATTTCATTTATTCATCACCATCAGTTAAATATTTAATAAACATTATTAACAGACGTACATACCAACAAATGACCATCTTTTCATGTCTTCGGACGTGCGTTACACGATTAAAACACGCACGCACATGTACCGTACCTTGTGCACAACGAATGGGGAAAACTGCGCTCCGGTTTTAGCGAGGTTCCAGCTATAACGACAGTATTGTGAAAGTCCATCGGACCTCGTTATAACGGGAGCCGACTGTATAGTGTGTTTACTTTTCGGTTGTACTTCAAATTTCAGGCAAAATTATCAGAGTCAACTTACATGCCTTAGTATTTTATTACCCCCTACAACAAGAACACAGACGTAAATGTACAGTGTACATGTATGTATTTGTACCCTTGACGTAGTTTACACAGCATGCATAAATTGAACGAAGCAACTCATATAACACTCACCTTCCATGGAACTTGCAATATTTTCTTGCTTATTTGTTCACCCAGTTGTGAAGCGGATGTCGTAAAAACTTGTTGTAGTGTTTATTGTGGAGCACATGACATAGAAATATTGCTTTTCCGAAGAGATATGACCGATAAAAAGATGTCAACTAACAATTGGGCTGGTGTCCTGCCTTCTCGTTTGTTGACTGCAGGTGTCTACGTTGCATGTGAGCAGCCATTGGTCCAGCCGGCTCGCTGTGGTCGCTTTAATGGCATACAGGCAGCTTGGTGGCGTACCATATAATGCTAGTAGTATAGACAGTGACTCGGATTCCTTGGACAGCGATCGTGGCTACAATTCACGGTAAGTCCGTTGAAAACTTCAATTTTATAGATGCATTACTGCGATCGATACAGAAAGATTTCCACTCTAACTTTTGTAAAAGTTACTTTTAGGACCCCTCTGGGTGCAGACCAGTAAATCGGTCCCAAATTGCCTACGCCGGCCAAATCACAATTTGCATGCCCTCAAAATCTTCAGTATTTGAGAATGCTGTGGGCCATGAACTTGAGGGTTTGTAAAAAATATGGGTGGAAGCCGTGCACAGGACTGGGAACTTGCAGTTCTGTGTAATTTGGATGTAATTTGGACCCTAAAAGCGCTCTATTTTGCAACGTAGTGTAGGCATCGTTTTTCAAAATGGCGATGGGCTTCAGGACTTTTTTCAGGGGTGATCATCTTCAGATGGAAATTTCTCCTAAAAATCATCAGTTGACCCCCCGAAAATTGAACAGAAAATGAAAGATGATGAAATAAGCTTTAATTTGATGTGTGTCTCGAACACCTTGGAGAGTTGTGAGTTTTTTTCCCGAATTTCTGAAGTGGGAGCATTTACCATTGGGGTCTATGGAAGTTTATTTACTGGTCTGCTACCCTCTATTGTTTCGGTTCAATCAGATTTTTTATATCTTGTTGCAAGGTGTTTATCATTCCAACATTACACATGTACATTTGCAGCCTCTAGATGAGTCGGAAAAGTTGTGAGAGAAAACATAAGAATGGCATTTTGCCAGCTTTTTAGGTGAGTTTGAAACATGAGAATTGGTTTTCGTTCTCTTAGGAACAGGGTCCTAAAAGTCACTATTACCCTAACATGAAACTAAATGCCACTGTACCAAACATTTGGCAAAAATGAATCCCATTTGCTTCACAAAGTTATGCACACACAAAAAAAACAGAAATTGGTTTTCGAAAATTATAATGGACCACCACTATAAAATGGTGTACCAAACAATCTTTTGTGAACTTTTATGTGTTCCTTGCAGTGAAATTCTGTTTTATTTCAGCCTTCAAGTGGAATTTACGATGTGTAGCAAATATGACTACTTGTCATGCTTGTATTTTACAGGGATCAAGCACACATTTGCAATGTGTGCAAAGTTTATTTTGTCATTATGGAAATTGGTAACCAAAGTTTTAATTAAAATAAATTTTCTTTGTTTGCCTCAACCGCCATAGATCTTTTGCTTTCATGAAACACGGCGACATTTGCCAGCTTTGAAAAATGTTCAGCTTATGTGAATTGACAGCAAGAATATTTGCCACGGTGTGACAAATTTGTGGTCACTTGCTAAAAATGAATGAGGCTTAAGTTTTCTTTAACCATAAATCCCTAGGGTGATAATGATATACTAGGAACCTTCCTCATCCTTGCAAATCCCAACACCCTATGGTAAACTGTGCACATAAACAGTTGGACTCTGTTTATTTGTGGCATGCCTAATCCCACGTAAAGCACAGTCAGTTTGCTAGTGCAGTACTCATCCTAACAGATTCTTGTGTTGGAGTTTGGCTGGTTGGGGATCGTTAGGGTTAACGTTTTGATATTTTTTGTCATATTGTGACCTCCTACAGTTGTTCTAATTCCTGCGTCTGTGCAAACATGGCCGACAAGTCCAGCAACACGTCGCCAACCCACTCCTGTTTGAAGCCAGCCAGCGAGAGCAAAGCTCTGTCGACGGGACGGCCCAACAACCAACCCCGCAACAGAGCGCGCTCAGTCAGTGACATCGAAGGCAAGCCCGGAATGCGGAATCACTCCTTGTTTGGCAAACTGCCAGACAGGGTCACCTTGATTGTTGATCATACTCGGTTTGTGGTTGACCCGTCATTGTTTACAGCTCACCCAAACACAATGCTTGGCAGGTGAGTGGACGATTGAGTGACCTGTCGTATAACTTTTTTTTTTTCCTCGAGAGGAGATACGGGATAATGGATATACGTCGTAGAAGTGTGACGTCACACAGAGTCGTCGGCAATAGTGATTTGTCCAAACAATGTCTCATCCGCCATTTTTACCATAAGATTTGCACAGGCGATTTAGAGACATGAAAATGACACATTGGTTCGTAGCTGTGCAAGTTGTCCTTCAGAACATGACGGATTCCTTCATATTTTCTTCTCTAACGGATGAAAAATTGATGAAAAAGTGGTCACTGTGGGTATCGCTACGTAAGGCCAGGTTTGTGTAGACACATCATCCTGGGCAATGCGTGACCTCGACGGCGAATGACGTAAACACTTCTAAGGCGTATTGTCATTTAATGATTGCCTCAACCTGTCTTCTGTGTACCAACAAAATTGGTGCAATATTTAAGTTATACAGAATGCTCAATACACAGTTTATACACAGACAATTCTCAAGTCACTGAGTTCTCGGTAATGGTGTAACCCTTCCTACAAAATGTTCATTTCCTGGTATGGTAGAACACCCTAACATCCTCACGTCACTCAGACAACCCATCCCTAACGTTCCTTATGCAATGTTGCCAAACATCTTTGTTGACGAGCCTTGAGTTAAATCAGTTAAGTATTGGTGCTATGGGCTCCGTGCGCCAAGAAAAGAGGGCGCCCTTTTACCTAGCAACAACGTCCCATGGGCGGGACACATGCATTTTGCTGGTTGACACGCGCGCACCGTTCCTTGTGTGTGACGCACGTACACCAGGGGATTTGTACTATGTCACGCAGTGGCCGCGCTTCGTGGCAAAATATTGCAATCAGGCAAGATGGCTTCCATTGGTCACCCCCAACTGTACTTTCTTTGCCGGTGAGGGGGTACTTGTGAACGGAGCGGATAGAGTAGTGAAGTGTGTTATGTATTCTGGTTCATGCGCATATCTTAAGTGTGTGAAGATTTCATAATACGAACCTACACGTGAACACGCTTTGGTACTCTATACCTTAATAAAAACTTGGAATGGAAACCTTGTCAAGAAATTGGGCACAAATTCGGCCAGACGGTTCCTGTGCATTTTTTACTTAAACAAATTTTATTCACATTGAATGATTTGCCACAAAGAGTCCAAGGAAGGCACTATCTTTTAAGTTTTCACACATTCACGTCATTGTTCATTTCAGAATGTTCGGGAATGGTATCGACAACAACTTCACCAGACCCAATGAAAAGGGAGAGTATGAAGTAGCACATGGCATTTCATCAGAGCTGTTCAGTGCTATATTGGTAAGTTTTTTCTTGAAATGGATTTCACAATGACCCTTTTGAGTTGCACCGAGCAAGATGCATTCTATTCCAGTGGTCGCCCTCAACTCTCTTTTAACCCTAACTCCCTAAGCCATTCTGCTAGGATGTAGCCTCAATCCTGCAAAATCCTCCAATGGGCCTCATGGAAAAATGGCATATAGCCTCAATCCTGCAAATTCCTCCATTATTTCTTGAATATGGACCGTGGAGGGGTGACCACTGCCTGAATCCTGCAAAATCCTGCGGCAGTGACTGTCAATATGTTGAGGCTTGGCCAGTGACATCCTGGAGCAGTACGGAGGATTTCAAGCATAATCCAGGCCTATATTTATGCATGGCTGAGCAAAAACAACACAAGGTCCGGCCCAAGACCTTGACAAAGTGCATCCTACGAAATCAGTTACGCACTTTTGCCATGTAACCTCAATCTTCCAAATTCCTCCTCTTTGGCAAAGAGGATTTTGAAGGATTCAGGGCGGTTAGGGTTAATAAAATCTTTCATTCGGGAGATGTGAACTCAATATTGGGGTTTACTCTTTACCAGCATAATCTTGTAAGCTTGGTTTGCTCAGATTTGACTGACTGAGCTGGGGAGAAAAAAAGTAACAAGTTTACTCGGGTGGGACTTGAACCCGTGACCTCCTGTTCACTAATGCAGATGTCTTACCACTCAACCACCTAGCTTGCCAGGATTGGGTAGGCTGGTTCAGATTTGATAAACAGTGCTTAGGAAATTATGTTCGGGAGTTCTGCTTCATTATTCTGTTGGGGTTCTGTTTATTCTCTCTGTAGGAGTACTACAAGGGTCGATCCATCCGATGTCCTCCCAGTGTTTCTGTATCTGAACTGAGAGAGGCTTGTGATTACCTTCTAGTACCATTCACTGAGAACACTGTCAGATGCAAAAATCTCAGTAAGTACTGTCATGCACCAGTAAGGGAATAAATATGTGCTCCGGAGGTTTTTATCACTCTGTTTAAGACTGCTTAGAGTTTGGGTGCTGATAATTACCCGAGCCGGAGGCGAGGGTAATTATCAGCACCCAGGCTCTAAGCAGTCTTAAACAGAGTGATAAATACCGACCGAGCACATATTTATTCCCATTCATAAATACCTTTTATGTAAAAAAAAAATAATAATTCGTTCAAAAAATCCCGATTTTGTTCAACAAGTTCATTTCATGCTTTTTGAAACATCCCTCTAGCAAAATAATGGAGTGTTCAGCTGGCGAGTAAGATGTAAACAACCCTTTTATGGAGATTGACGCGCGCGTAACATGTTCTGCGCGATGTCACGCAGAACGCACCTGGGGCGTTGCGTTTTGAATTTAGAACTATAAAATTCTGACTCGCTGGTTGTGTTGCGCATGCCTACGTGAGGATTGTGAACGTTCAACCAATGAAACGGTAAGAGGCATTGGTTTTTAGGAGTCCACATTTTATTGTGACACTGGAAAAGCGTTTAAGACCAGCTAGCCATGTCTTTATCATCCGTTTAAGACCGGCCACGTGATGGGATCTCGACCAATAAGAATAGCTAAACTGTCCGAGGTATTTATGAATTTAGATTATACATTAGTCCTGCCCACTGCAACAACACTTGTGTTTTCCCAATGTAGGGTAATATCAGTTGTATAATATTCTAACTGAGAAATCATTGAAAACTTCTGTAAATTGGACTATATTTATGATTGCTTTTTGGTAACTACCGGTACATATGTATTTCCATTGGATTACCCATTATGGAATGGCTCTAAAAACCTTTAAATGTAGATCCCGCTAAGGGTTATTATCTTCAAGCAAACTGGAATCCATTTATCCTGCTTGGTCGATCGATGGCAACAAACTGCGCTATATTATACCCAATGCCATATTTCATATCGCAGTCCACGTATCGCACTATTCCAAGATGTGAGCTCCATTTCAGCTGCACGTGCGGGTAGCTGGTTAAAAGTTCGCGTGAGATGTACTTTGTTCCAACTGTGTGACAATTTTGCTTTACATTTTCTATCCGGCTCACGTTTGTGGAAAATGGCAAATGTATTCATGGTATTGCGTCTGCGACCAAGATACCAGACGCACTACATTATTCCATGCTAGAATATCGCTTGCGGGATAACTAATGATGTACTTTCCGAACAGTATAGTTTAGTAATGATAAACATTTGTACATGTATGCATCTGATGTGTTGCATGTACAGTGATCAATGATTCCCTTTTAATTTTTTTTTTCTTTTTCTGCAGGGTGTTTGCTGCATGAGATCTCCAATGATGGTGCTAGGGAGGAATTTGAGAAATACGTAGACACGCTGATACTGCCCGAGATGGTCAACTGTGCAAAGGTCAGTTTAGCTAATAAAAACATGATTGAAGGAATGGGAACCAGCCAGCCTGGTCCAATATGCACTGATTTTCCAAATGTCAACAGACGAATATATACATGTGAACCAGTGAAATACAAGTACATTTAAACTCATTGTCTGGCTGTACGATGTTCTCTTCAGATCACGAACATTTCTCCATTTCTCAAGCATGTTGATTAAAATATAAATATTGTATATCTTGGAAATGTTATCTGTGTTCAGCGGAACTACTTTGTACTCAAAGGAGAGTACACTTAACGAACAAAATTGTCATTACAGCACGGCCAAAGAGAGTGTCACATCGTGGTGTTGATGGAAGATGACGTCGTGGAGTGGGATGAAGAATACCCGCCTCAGATGGGAGAGGAATACTCACAAAGTAAGCAAGCAACTTTATCCTTCAGCCATTTGTTTTTCTCAAAATTGTGGGTGGATTGGTCAAAGGAAATAACTGAAAATCGAAATTTAGTTGTCAATTAAAGTAATACAAAAAAAATAAAAGAAGAGGGGGGGGGGAGAAATACCCAGCGGCCTCTTTGATACCGTCTGTTATGCCTGTCATATCTGTGCTGTTTCGTTGTCATGTTTTTGTTTTTTTTAAACATAGCGTCATAGAAAACTGAAAAACATTGTACACAGTTTTTTTGTGCTTGGCAATTTCCTCTTGTGCTTCAACTACATTTTGTACAAAGTTGCGTGCTGGAAGCTTGGAAAATCCATTAAAAACTCCTGAGATGGGACAGCATTGACCTGAAATATCTGCTTCATTTGAAGCGTTACTTTGTTCTTCATTGTACAGGATATATTGAATAGTCATTCAACATTTAAACATTTAATCTGGGGTGTGTGGGTCAAGACAATTTCGGGAAAAAAACTTGAAAGTTCTTTATAAATGGTTATTCTGAACAGCTATGATGTGTTTTGTAGATAACAGACTGTTGGGGAGCTGGCCAATTTTTTTGTAATGTTAAAATGTAATTCTTTATCTTTATAATAGTGATGTAATATTTGAAAACAGACTGTTGAAAAGTATTGAGGTTTTGATGTCACAAAGATTAAAACAGAGAAAGCGTCTGTTGGGTTGTGCATTTCTTGAACTGAAACTCCTCTGAAAATCATTTAGTAATCACATTTAGAGACAAAATATCGTTGTTAACTAGGCCAAAAAAATAATAGTTCTGCTTCCGGTTACCCCACCTACCCTATTTTGACAGCCCCTACCGTAATTTTTTTAGGGAAAAATGAGGGGAAAAAACCTGAAATCATCCATTACTACCTTTTACCCTTGACTACACGTAGATACCTCCATATGATCGTACATAAAAAAATGCCCCCCAAAAAATCCTTACTTACCTGTCCTATTTTCAAATGCCATGTAATCGGAGCAGAACTATTATTTTTTTGCCTTGTAAAAAAAACCAACCATTTCAGAGATTTTACATATTTGGTTGAATCTCAATTTTAAGCTCTTCTCAGAAGTGTCTGGTTTCGTTATTCTTGAATTTTTTGACTAGGCCGTAGCCAGATGTATTTCATTTTTTTTTGCATGCACTAAACTTGTCACCTAGATTTTGAGCATTACTCTAGTGTGACATATGTCATATATTTGTTTTTCAGTTGTATGCAGCACTCCATTGTATCGGTTTTTCAAGTACATCGAAAACAGGGATGTTGCAAAGACGGTCCTGAAGGAAAGAGGCTTGAAGAAAATCCGACTTGGGATTGAAGGTTGTTCACCATTATCTTTTATACAACACCTGAATAAATCCCCGTCAACTGATTGGTGGATCGTAGATCACATGTCATTGAATTATTCGTACCAACGCACGGCGCGCAGCACACAGTGCAATGGAACTTCTATTGCACGGTGAATAGAACTCCCATTGCATGGTGTCATTGCTGCCGATGGTGGCGCTGTTTTTAATCGAGATAAATTGAATATGATGGTTCTCAACCTGTTGAACAGTTTGCATAAATTTAATATGATGAACTTGTCGAACTTTTAAACAGTTTTTAACCTGAATAAATGTGCTATTAAAAGTCAACCAATCAGATGACAAGGATTTATTCAAGTGTTATATAAAACAAATAATGAATGTTTCACGTTCGTGCAATGGAAAGAATAATTTCATTTGGTGACAGATGAAATGTTCCATTCCACTCAGCTTTGCCTCGTGGAATGGAACATTTCATCTGTCACCTCATGAAATTATTCTTACCATTGCACTCACAAACATTCATTATTTGTATAATATCAGACAAGTTACATAATAATTGACACTATTTGCAAAATAAATATATATTTTTGCCGATTCAAGGAACAACAATACAATACAATAAATCTGAATCAGGTTAATTTAAAAAAACTATCCTGTTACAATTTCAGCTCACTATAAAACTTTTTTAGAAAACTGAAAACGCATGGTAACGTTGAAAGAGATTGGTTTAGGCCTAACCATTGTGTGGAAATGATGCTAATTCCTCTTTTCCCGAAAATGACAGCATGCTAGGTTAAGGAGAATACACGAGAAAGTGTGGATTTGTAATTTAAGAATTCACTCCGACTTGAACCATTGCGTCAAAAGAAGTATTAGCATTAACAGTGAGTGGAGATGAAAAGACTTGGGGAAAATGTTGCAAACTGACGCCACTTCCGCGATTTTGTACAAATTGGAAATATTTCTCAGTCCTAGATTCATGTCTTACCATCATTTTTGCAATGAATGACCTTCATTGAGATGATATATGAAGAAAAAAGTGGCGTCAGGTTGCAACATTTTTCCCAGCTCCTTCCGTCGACATATGGATAGTTCAGACGATGATTTCTTTCTGACTCGAAGTAGGTTTTGCAGTGACGGCAGAGAATCTGACAGAAAAGATGCATTGGTAATTTCGGAAGGAAATTTTCAGGCATACAGCCCTATTAATGCTCATTATGGAGAACAATTGTCCGACATGTTCAAAGTGTGGATTCGTAATTCCGAATCCACACTTTACTAAAGATTCGTCGCTCTGAATCCACACTTTGTGACCAGCGTAACAGATTCGTAGTTCCGAATCCACACTTTTAACAATAGTGTGACGTCATAGCAATGGTCTAAGCACAATGATTTCACAGGATGCATGATCTTACATGTATTATTTATTTAGAATTAAGTAGGATATTTCATAATATTTTAACAGTTTCAATTTGAATGTTTCCAATGTGTGTCCGTTACCTTTAAGGTATTTAAATAAAAAGTTGGACAATTTTTGCCTCATGAGGAAAGCCATACCCTTCAAATAATTGGCTGACTGCAACAGTGAGTCTTTCCAGTTAGTCATTTTTTAGCTGTTTCAATCTCTCTGACTTTCAGACTCTGGAACACTTGTGTTTACAATGATGGTTTGTCAAACTGATTGCCAATATTTTACTTGGTTCCTTGCAGGTTATCCTACCTACAAGGAGAAGATAAAGCAGAGACCAGGTGGAAAACCCGAAGGTAGGTTTCTCCAAAAAAATTTTTTTTTTTACATGACAAGCTCATGTGGGCCTGATGGCTTGATCCAAGCATTAGCACTTCCCTACCTTCAACCCATGTGACCCAGGTTCAAGTCTCACCCAGCGCAACATGTTTTGTGTTTTTTCCTCCCCCCTGATTTGGTAAGGTTTCAAAGTTAATATGTTTCAGGTGTTGTTATCCCCTCAAAAAGTACACTTCATTCTATTTTCTTCTGAAGTTACAATACTTCTGGCACAAGAGCCCACATCAAAAAATGTACTATGGTTTCAAACCAATATAGTTTATACTCCCTTTCCGTCCCTGAGGGAATCAGAATATAGCAAATGGTTTCTGATCAGGAATTGGTAGTGGTTGTCTGAGGGTATCGACTGTGTGCAAAAGTACACCCTCAACTGTTACAGATAGTAAGACAAGATAAGTTTGCGGTAGCACCATGGGAATAAATCTCTGTTGTGAGTATGTGTGGTTCTGAAAAGAACCGGAGGGACTCAACGTTTCGAACAGTATGCTCTGCCCGTCGTCAGGAGAATGAGGGATTCCAACGATGATGCGATGTTATAAGGAGGGTGCGGTGAGGCGTGAGAAGGATTCTCCTGACGACGGGCAGAGCATACTGTTCGAAACGTTGAGTCCCTCCGGTTCTTTTCAGAACCACACATACTCACAAAACAGATTTATTCACATGGTGCTACCGCAAACTTATCTTGTCTTAGTATCTTTCCACCATGCAAACCATCAAATCTTATGTTACAGATAGGGAGACCACTAGACCAGATGTTGAAACGTATAACAGTCGGTGCTTGACGCTCACGTGAAGACGCTGCGTTATTGTGTACACTCGGAATAAACTTAGTTGTGTGTACTTGGCACCAAACATGCGCAAACCAGAACATGCGCTTGGTGTGGTCCTCCCACCCCCCCCCCCCTCCCAAGGTTAGACCTCAAAGTCCTGAAACCCAGAGTTAGAACCAGCGCGCCCCTCCCCCCTTTATGGCAACCGTCTATTGTGGTCAAGCGATGCCAACTGTCACCATGAATAAAGCAAACTGGCTACAATTTCTACCTGAATTACGGTTGGTTTAATAAGCCTCGATACTGATGACGTCACACCTTGTTTACATGTGTGCTTTCTTACGGGAGTCTGGTGGGGACGACGGTTTCGTAGCCCCATAGAAAAGTGCACACATAAACAAAGTGTGACGTCATCAGTACAGAGGCTTATTAACATTGTAACACTGTAAAATGGGGGCAATAACGAGTAAGACACCTGTTTAATTGTTTTACCTGCTGGCAGCCAAAAGGCATGATGTCACAGTTGACATCGTTTGTTAAAAATGCTCTTGCGGTTGTTCCAACTTGCAGTGATCTACAACTACGTGCAGCGGCCGTTTGTGCGCATGTCCTGGGAGAAGGAAGAGAACAAGAGTCGCCACGTTGACTTCCAGTGCGTGCGCAGCCGTTCCATTCCAAATCTGTCCAGCGTCGCGGGCGGGGAGGCCCTCTTGGATCGCGATCTACGCCAGGCTCCGCTTCACGCCGAGGGCGTGGCCATGCTCAGGCAAGTCTTACCAGATCCCCCGGATGGTGACGCAAACGACGGTAACGCCTAATCCAAATAGTGGTACATATTTATCCAATTTTGGCCATTACTGGGACGCTGCCATGCATGAGTGCCTATCCCAGAGATCTTAAATTCAAGCTGCATGTACAGTATGTAAAGCTCTGAACACGTTATTATTATAATTATTATTATTACTGTTAATCATTTCTGGTAATGAAACCAAGGATTCCTCAAAAGCGCCCCAGGCACTGTAGCTTGCAAGCCTGAAGAAACCTTCGGAGAGAAGACAATGAGAAGAAGTTACAGTTTTAGAGGTGGGAGGAAAAGCCCAGAAGAATATTCTGGGGAAAACCCACGTAGTCAGGTAGGGACTGAAAAGCCAATCCACATGTTGCTCCAGGCGGGATTCGAACCAGGGTCACAGCGGTGGAAGGCGAGGAAAGTACCGCTACGCCAACCTGACTCCCCTCCACGTCCGTGGAGGTCAATGCAATGTGTGAAATCCAATCAAAGCGAGCATCCCACAAAAAATAACCTCAGAGATGGGCAACTGTGATTAATTTTAAAAAAGGGAAAAAGCTGGGTTTTGTGTTCAGATACTGCCATTAGGAGGAACATGAGGGTATTGTAATATAGTGCAAACGGGCAGTGATGAAATTATTACAGTGAAACAGCATGCAGCATATGAATGCAAGTATGACTATATAAACGTACTTCAGCACTTAATGCTATGTTTGGCCCCCCTTGCCACCCCATTGATTTGGATTACTTTAACCCTAACCCCTTGAGTGATTTACTAGGAACCTTCCTCACTCTTGCAACTTCCAACACCATATGGGAAACTCAACACCCAAACTGTTGGACTCTGATTATGGTGGTATGCCTGACCCCATGTAAAGCATAATCAGTTTTACTAGTGCAGTGCTCACTCCAACAGATTCCAACAAACCCTGGTGTTGGAGTTTGACTGGATGGGGATTGTTGGGGTTAAAGTACTGTTCCTTAAATTGGGGCATGTTCAGCTGCATCCAAGTAATTTGGTTGTGGCTTACAGTAATCCACATGTCTATGGAAAGTGGCATCAGGGGGCTTCCATACATGTAGATCCATTTGTATTTGCAAGCCTTTGCCAAGTAATAGACGTTGTGCAGTAAGGTGGAGTTAAAAAAGAATGCTTTTCTAAAGTTAAGATGCGCATGAGGTACGACAAAGGGAGAACAACAGATTCTTTGTTGACCTCAATCGTTCATCTTGTGTTCAAAACGGTCCTTGATCGTGCGTTTGTGTGCTTAGTCTATGGGAGTGTGTTATATTACAGGGACAAAGGGAAACACAAAGCCTTGTCCTCGAGAGTTGTGTCAAGTACGACTGTGGACCTTTTTGTGCCTCCATTGTATGAAAATTGAAAAGAAAGAAACAAGAACAAAGAACACGGTCTGAGAAACTTGTACTCCGAAAACCTGTACTGTGTAAGGTTTATTCAGAGGTGGCCATAGATTGTGGGCCAGTCTTTTACAGTCAATGGACGTGCTTCAAAACCCAGCTGTGAAGGCATTTAGAACTTTGACACCATAGCGAAACCCTGATTATGATCAACGGATGTAACCTGTGTATATAATGCTGACTTTGGTGTTGGGAATATTTTTTATAACATTTGGCATCAAATTTGCCGGTTAATGCATGTTATTTTTAACGTTTCAAAAGTAACGAGATACAAAACTGTGCAAAAGCTTTGAAAAATACATTTTTCTGCCTGAAGAAAATTGGGTGACGTGTACCAGGGACCATTTCAAACACTCAGAGGATCTTGCTTGGCATTTGTAGAAATTTCACAAATGGTGAAATAAAAGTTAAAATAAAACAATACTTTCTAATTTATTGTCAGAAACTCACCCTATATCTTTGGAGTCGTTCAATTTCAAGTCTAAAACCAAACAGTTTTAATTCCGAAACATTGAATTTTGGAAATTAAAAAGTTTTGCATATTCCCACTTACTACATGCGAGTGTTACATTTTCAGTGTGTTGCCCGCTTGATAAACATAGTAACACAATAGGACATGCAGGTTTGGGTTCTTTGAAAACTAGAGCCAAGATTTTTATTAAGCAAAAACTTAAGCAAAAAGAATGCTTTGAAAATTCTTCTGCTGGTACAATGTAAATCAACAATACCAAATACGTAATGTGGCCCCTGTGAAATATTCTGGGTGAAACAAATTGAGCTGAAAAAGTATTGAGCTGAGCTTTTAAATATACATGTAAAGGTAAAATCTGCAATATTAAAAAATGCAATGAAACATTTTGTGTTATTGCTAAGTGATTTTTTTTTGTACCGTTTTTCGCACTAAAAGATTATTCGAGGACCCAGTTTTATGGATCCTATATTGTAAAATGTGATAAGATTGTAATTTAATATAATAATTATTCCGAAGCAAGTTGACATGTGTTTGCAAACACAGCAAGTAAAAGCCTGCAGCTCTAGTGATGAGGAGAGTATTGATGCATGTCTTGCAGTTTTTCTGCTCGCTTCAAACTGTATCCAAGTATTAAACACGTACATGCATAGGTTTTTGGTATTGCATGGGGAGTGAAAATGAGACGGTTTTACTCGAAACGTGAGCACATTTCACTCAATCAAAACATTGCTTTGTAAAACATGAAAACAAAATATTACAGTTGGTAGCAAGAAATGTATCAAAAACTAGTGTTGTAAGGTGCTTTAATTAATCAACTCATAAATGCAGATCTATTTGCTTGGGAATGAAAAGAAACTGTTAGCTTGTTTAAAACTTTCTAAAAAATGAAAAAAATGCCAATTTGAAACGAAATCACCTTTTTGTGAGTGAAAAAAAATTCATGGTACCTAACCTCTGTGGCCTATTTTTGTATCCACGTGTGACCTTTGATTGTTCACGAGACTGAAAAGCAGATGCGTACGCTCCGGAAAGTGCCTTTTTGCACATTTTCTGTGCAGTTTAAATTTGGAAATGGTAACATTTTTGCTGGATGTGTTGTACTGGTAGAATTGTAGTCATTCATTCTAATACTCCGTAGATTAGCAACGTTGGACTAGCATACGTTTGGATCTTGAGTGTGTGTAGAAAGTAGAGTCTTATGATATTCATTGCAGGGTTGTTAAAGCTATTGTATGTCATTTTTCTGCCTTTGTGGGTATTTGGTGGCTACTCGCGAGTACTTGACTTCTCGTGAATAATTTCTTGGCAAGTACTCGAGCAGAAGAATCCACTACTCGCCCAGGCCTAAAAACTAACACAATTTATGAAATCGTAACTGCCTCTTGCAGATTTCCGAATCTTGGTTGGTTAAAAAGTGTCAGACAAAATAGAATTAATCATAAGAACCCAATTTAAGCATTCAGATTAGTTCAGTGTGCATCCAAATTCACACAGCGTTTCATCAGCCATGCTTCGAATTAGCTGATTTCCTCTATTTTCATTTCACATTAAAGAAAACATTGTATAAAGTCTCGTAAAACTTGGAAATTTCTTTTCTTTTTTCCCCAGTCAGTTGCATGCCTGTTTCATCTAGCCTCTGTTGTATTGTAATTGTGTACAAACACTATAAATAGTGTACATGCAGTTAATAGATAACGCTACTGTATTAAATGCAAACATGTTACATTGATATTTCTTAGCTAGTGTTGTACCCAGGTTTTTTGTCCCCCCCCCCCCCATTTTTTTTTCCACCTAAAATAATACTTTGGAAGGGGGATTAGGATCGCTTCCTTAATTATGATGCTGTTCTGTTTGTAATTAAGGGCCATGCAATGTTATTTTTTTTAATGCTACCCTAGAAAATGCACCTTTGTGTCCCATTCAACCTTATTTTCAAATTTCGTTTTGCCATTTGGGGTATTTTGTTGCCTTTTGGGGTTTTTTCTAATGCAAATTTCCATATTCATGAGCAAAAGTGTGTTTTCATTCCGTGCAGAAACCTAGCAGAAACTTCAATGTTAAAGCAATTTCAGCAAAAAAAAGTTGCTAGAATTTGGTGATTTGTTGTTGTGTAAGTACATGGCAGCAAGCCAATGAGCAACTCATTCTCACAAATATTTCCATTGAGCAAATTTTGGGTTCACAATTTGAACAGAAAACCCCTAAACTGAACAGTGTCTTCCTAAAATGACATCACAGCAACAGTGCCCTCAGTTGTCTGGAAAAGCATGGAACTTGTAAATGTTTTTAAAAATGCACTTTTCAATACAATTAACAAAAAAGGATATAAAATAGTTGAAAAGTACAAAGTTGCACGACATGTGTTCCTAAGAAAAATTCATTGCATGGATATTTTTTAACATGTTCAGGTGTTTGGGGTGTGACACTAAGTTATGAACTTTGCCCCCCCCCCCCCGACAAATGATCAGTGTGAAAAAGCAGCAGATGAAAATGTTTCATATTTTGAAAAGGTGCTTGGCACAAATTCCCTCACTATGAATGTCCACATATATTAACAATCTTGGCCCGTGCCTCATGAAAAAAAATCATACGAAGTACAGAGTGTAGCTAATGCTTTTATTGTTCAAAGGTTTTTTCGTATTCATTGAGCGGTGTTTTTTTAATTGGTAGAATATGAGGCATTTTATACTTCTTCAGTAATTTTTTTTTTTACAAAGTTAAGACTATCGATAACCCTGCTGTTGTACTGGGTACGCCACTAGCATATTTCCTTTTGTTTAGTTAAGAAGAACAAAAATAGGAATATTTTTTTTCTGTATGCTCTTTCTGTGTCTGTAAAGTTTATGTTTATATCTATGTTTATATCTGTGTCTGTAAAGTTTATGCTTATATCTCAGCTTGTAAACACTTTTGTAAACTTTTCAGTTTTCTTCTGTACAGTGCTTTTTATTGTTCCTTAATTACTAATCAATGATAATTACTTCTCAGTTAGTGGTTTCATGATATTAATTGACAATGGGAGACAGGTTGAAGCAATGTATTTACCTTATTAACGTTTTGTGTTTCTAACATTCCGAATGAAGGTGGTGAGTTAGTGCATAACCTACGATAACATTGGTGCTAAGGGTGTGGGGGGGGGGGCTCAGGGGTTAGGTTGTTGTGTAGACCAATCCCGGTGTCACATGAAAATCCGACTCCTATGAAAATCGGACCCCTTTTTCCCTATTATTGGTTAATCCCTCGCACGTGACAGGTCACTCTCCCGAAACGATCCTAACAATAGCGTAGTATCGTACTCACGCGTGCGCAATACTACCAATGAGTCCACATTTCATGGAGTCGGATATTCACGCTACACCGGCACGCTATCATTTCTATCACAAAGCTTAGGCCCCCTTCAATGGCGAAAGTATCCAGCTAGCTATTATTCAGATAATCTGTCACCTGGCAGTTGTTTTGTACAATAGCTTGCACGGTGGTTTCTCCATTGAAGGGGGCCGCGTGAGTGCCCGGATTTGCCGATGCATTCACCCGTGTGATTTAACAGTTGTTTAAGTCTCATCCCCTTTTTGTCCAGAATTATTAAGTAATTGTTCATTTTATATTCCTAAATAAAACAAAATGGCAAACATCCATGCGCAAAATGGGAATAAATGTGTCCTTTGTTGTTATTATCCGTGTTTATTCATCAGTTTTGAGCATAAGTTCCGGTATTAAGAGTTATGTTGGTGCTAACACTTGACCTTTCTACATGAACAAGTAGTTTCAAAGAATTCTTTCATCATGCACTGACCACACAGAGCCAGAGTTATACGTAATTTAATATAAGAAAAAATACACCAATGAAGGATTATCCTTGACGTCATTGCACAACTCGATCGTTTGGCGCAACACACGATCAAGGAGGTGTGCAATGACATCAGGGGTGATCCTGCATTCCTTCTGAATCTTTCGGCCGCAGCACGGGCTTTCCACCACCGTCTGTATCGACATTGGAGGACGCTAAGTCGAAAGTGGCAGATTCTGAAAGTGAATATTTTGTTCGTATGGCATTGAAATCTGACCCTCTTGCATAAAGCTGATGGAACTCGCTCCATCAAATGTGTCATGCCTTGTTTACGTTAATTCCATTGGTAAACAACAGGGTTATTTAGGATCAAAAGTAGGACTTTTTTTTGCACGTATAGTATGTTTTATGGAGGAAGTGGTAGGCGTTAAAAAATTGTTTTTTGTTTTCTAAAGCCCAGTTCATACTTCATGCGAATGCGAAGCGAATTTGACGTCATGAAACTTTCGCTGCGACATTCGCCCAAGTTGAAATATGCCCCGTGACGTCACAAATTTGCGTTCGCTTTCGCTTTCGCGCCGAGTATGAACCGGCCTTAACAGAGGCGAATGAGTATAATGCCTGGCCTATTATTTTGTTAACAAACCACTGCATTACAGATGTACCGTTATCAATTTGTCAAGACTTGAGGGAGAAGCTTTAAATACATGTAGGCCTAGAGCAATCCGGGCACCATACCACTTATATCACAGAGACCCCCTTCATAATTCAGTGGCGAAAGAAATTTGCTAGGTATTGTTCAGATAATCAGGCCGTCACAGGCGGTAGGTTGGCGCAATAGATAGCACAATGATTTCGCCATTGAAGGGGGCCATCCAGAGTGAACATGTGCCCGGATTCGTCTACACTACGTGGCCACTGAAATTATGGATGACTATCATCAATATATATTTTTTTATTCGGAAAACTACATTGAGGCATACTTGTACACGGGAACATTCCGAGTATAGTTTTTAATATTAATAGCTGCAGGTCCAGCAAGAACAAATGGCAAGTTTGTCACCTTTTTTTAATGTGGGAAGCTTGCAACACAATACACAAACTGCATTAGCTCGGGACCGTTATCTTAAGGGGCATTTCCTTCAAATTACGGTTAATGATGTATTGTGATGACCCCCAAACTGAGGGAATCAAACTTCTCCATACCAAGTTAAAGACTAGTTCATGGGAGGGAACAAGGGGGCGCCTCCCCCCCCCCCCCCGAGCCAAAAAAAGAGGGGGGGGGCAATCAAAAGAGGTGCATAGTCGCTAATAAGACGGGCAACCTTTTGTGAATTCACTATTAATAATTAAATCATAAGATAGTACCCGCTGACTGAGACACCCGCAATATAATAAGGCCTATGTCTATGGTCTATATGGCAAAATGAAATTCGCTCCAAGTTCCTTAATCGCGTACGAATTTGACCATCAGATAAATGTTTAACTTCCCCCCCCCCAAAAAAAAAAAAAACACTGCTGTGTTGCAACTTAATTTTATTGTCTATGCAGGAAGTATTTTGTTTTTCCCGATTTTTAAAACTCCGAATTACTTGACGGAAATTGCCCTAAATCTGGCAGCAAAACCTTTGCCGGTGACACTTGCATCAGTGGACATGACGACCGACATCTTGTTGGTTAGTGACACCAGTGATCCGCGTGGAACCTCGTAACCACAGATTCTGTGGGTAAATAATCATATTTTTTTTAGAAAGTAAATCATTCTTTATTTCATTAAAAAAAATATACACTATAGACCATTATGGGTGGCAGCCATCTTAGAGGGCAATACCGTTGTCTTTCTGGGATATGCACGGGTGAGCCTTTTGTGCATTTATTGTTACTGAATTCAAATAAAAGATGGCCTCTAAGATGGCCGCTACGCATGAGTTCTATAGTGTCCCCTAATCCGTTTCACTAAACTTTGTGAAGGAAACGAAGAGGTTGTTTTCAAAACGGGCTATATCTATTTGGAAAAAAAAATGTTACTGAATTAAAATAAAAGATGCCCTCTAAAATGGCCGCTACGCATGAGGTCTATAGTGTCCCCTAATCCGTTCACAAAACTTTCTGAAGGAAACGAAGAGGTTGTTTCCAAAACGGGCTATATCTATTTGAAAAAAAAAGTTTTAAAACAAAGTTTCAGTTATGAAAACGTATAGAACATACACAGTATAAAAGATGCTTGTAAACTAATTTTTTCGCTTTATTGTGTATTCAAATTGTGTTTAACTATATACTGTAACATCCGTCAAAGCTGACTTCGTGCAGGCATGAGACAGCGGGATTCTAAGAGGTAACAATAAATTGTGCCGTTATCGCGTTTTGGTAACAAACTCTTTAAACGCAGATTCTCAAAGCATTTTGGTAGGTCGCTGTCTATTTTAACAATGTACCTACATTCCGTGCGCACGTGTTGACCCGAGTAAGGGTTATCAAATTTGTCCAAAGAATGCACAAAAAGGTTGACCCTGGGTCACGGGTCAAGAGAATTCGTCCACTTGTCCAATGAAAACTCAAAAGGAATTAACGTCCCTGGATAGCGCGTTCGGTAAGAAAGCTCAAAACGAAAAGTCACAACAGCTAGTGCCGCCACGACGTCGCAGCGGCAAACAAGAGCTGTAGTGCTAGTTCAGACATCACTGTATCTTGAAGGTTCTTCTTTATTCCGTTTTCTGTTCCCAAGCCCTCCATTGGTCGAAGGAATACGGGATAGTGCATAAGGAACAATTTCATTTTTTCTGCAGCCAGGTAAAGGCACTGACCATAACTACATGCGGGCTTTGAATACTTGGACCACAAAGTACACTTGCACATGGTCCACGAATCGACCCCGAAACGTCCCGCACCCTTATTGCCTGTAGCATTGAACTACCGCCTCGCTCTAATATCATAGATGGATTGCATTCAGCGGCCACCTTTGAGGTGTGTTTTATTACGTTAATTCACTGGCAATGAATATAAACAAGACGTCAACATATGCGTATCCCTTTTAAGCAAAAGCACACACACCATAGCTGCGCAGTGCAAGTAAAATATACAGTTACATGTAAAATTACTTTTAAAAAATACATTATATGCCTATGCATCTATACATGGTTGCAAAAACAAGTGCGAACAGGCGAAGGGTCTTATACGACCTGGGCACGAACCTGAAAATCTTTTCAAAATGTGTTGCATTTGAGTTTTTGTTTGACCAAATATTCCATTTGACCAAACTTCGAAACTCCGGCGCTTCAATGGACACATCAGGAACAACCCCTTATAGACTGGTGTATTAGCAGCAAGATAGAACTATACAAAGGAGCACTTACAGAAACGATCCAACGGACTTGCGTCGTTCAGGGGAAATCTCCAGCTTGTCATAAGAGCATCGAATATGGTCCTCAATGTCCATCTCAAGAAATATCAACTCAACACGAAGTCCGTCGGCGACCTGGTAACAATTAACAGTTATTGTTTTGCAATTTTTTTTTAGCAATCCTTACACCACCTTGCTTGGTAGAACTATAATCGATTCTCATATTTCACATTTTTTGTAATCAACTTGTCCGTGCACGTATGAAATTTAAACCGTTCAGATTGGTCTATTTGCATTTTTGGTATTTTGGGATATAACTACATAATTGCAAGGAAAAACCAAAACCCATGGACGGCATGCTTCTTTGATGGTCCATAGAAATATTTGAATTCCATAGAATTGTACGATTCTCTAAACACCACCCAGAAAAATAGACACTGTTAAAAACTTTTAATCTGACAAAGTTTCAATTCACTGGAAATTCAACTTTTCGAGGAAAGAGGGTAAATATTTCAATTCTTCATCACAATGCACGACTTTTGTGAATCAGAACTGACGACCCACCGTCATGTACTGCCCATTGTTTTTTTTCTAAAACTTGCATTTTTTGAATATTTAATCGAAAAAGTAGGAGTTCACTTAGCAAAACAAAGGTACAGAGTGCATATTTTGGGCACAAGAAAAGCCTTAGCATGCGTGTCATGAAGAGTTCTAGGCCGATACCTCTTTATTTATTTTTTTAGGAAAAAGGTAACCTAGCTGTTGGTCATTCGCATGACATACCTCAATATCATATCTGCATGTTGCGAAGTTTTCGTACTTGGCAAACCCATAATTGGGCGAGGCAATGCAGCCGGCACGATCTTTAAATGTTCCCCCACAGGTGCCAACAACAGAATCTGTGGACAATAATGTCATTATGAAAGTACGACAAACTCGGTCAATATCTAAAGATACAATAGAAACGATTTGTCATTGTTTTCATGAACGGACACGCAATGCTCGCACTTCGTAAAGTTATGCGTATGAAATATTTCGGTTTTCACGAACTGATATGCGGGAACTGTGGCGGAAATACAATATGTTTAGAGATGTCCTCGATGTGTTTTTCAACAAACTTGACCAATAAATATCTTATTTCAACGGGGAGAAAAAGATGCGTCTTTCTTGTTTGGACATCTGTATATTCTCTCGGGGGAAAAAGGCAGCATTGCGCACAAACAGATAATGCATCCGGCCTGCAATAAGACCGGTTCACGGCCCCTTCGTCGTAGTAAAAGGGGTTTCAGTAACCAGCCACCGATACCGTGCGAGAACTAAAAGTTTAATAATGTCAAGCTGCAAATAATTCCAAAGTTGTGAAGTAATCAGGCCCATATCCCATAACTAAATATCGTCCGATGTTTCGGTCGATGTCTGATCTAAAAGTGCATAACTTTTGTATGGCAAAATATATAGTGACCAAAAAACCAATCGGAAGTAGCACGGACATTAAAGTGTATCATCTTTACAATCAAACCACAAAACCACTGTGAGCAGCATAACTTACCACAATTCGGAGCCGTGTCAACTGGAGCATGGGTCGTGGGCGGGGCAACAGAAGTTTCAGCAGACGGTGCCACCAGTGGACCATTGATGACGTAGTCTGCTTCGAATCCAGCCCCCTCTTCGTAATAATACGACTTAAAAATCACCATCAAGTGGCGACCCGTCGATTGGACGTCCGCGGGCAAGTTGGGACCACACAATCTTTATGAAATTGTCAATCAATGTTTTTATTATATTCATATCATTCCAATAAATCTCCGACTACATTTAGAAAGAAATTAAAAAAAAAAAAGTCAAAGGGATTTTGCCTTTGAGACAACCATGCTTGTGTCGAAACGTCAGCGCCTCTAGCTTTTTAAAATTATATTTCAGGTCAATCCAGTCAGTAAAAACTCCAAATGAAAATTTTATAGACTTGGAATATAAAATAACGATTTTAAAATTCCTGAGTTTAATTACTCTCTGCTTCCGTTGAAGACGTTATTTCCCTCTTGGATAACGAGGCGGTCAAACAGACACACGGTAGATATGTCCACCTTGAAATATGAGAATGAAATGGTAATGGTGGCGCCCTCTCCGCCCTGCAAGGAATAATGAGGATAGAGACGTAAAACGTTAGTAGTACAAAATTATTGAGGGAGGGTTGTTACACTGAATGTGAACCATTAAATATGCGAGTTGTCAGCGTGATACGAATAAAATTACCCAATGTAGGCCTATATGTATGCTTTTGGTAGAAAATTCCACAACACGACGCCAATTTTTTTTTCGCAACCAATGCATTGTCATTTGTTCCTGTGTGCTTCAAACCAACCATTTTCAAGGTATAGCTGTGTGGACGTTCATATTCTACTTTTTTTAACGATCTTTTCCATTTTCGAGGCCAAATGGGCGCTTTCTCTCTAATTAAGTGCTTCTTTAAACAAAATCTGTCTAATTACACTTCGAAGAAATCAGAGGTCACCAGCATACCCATGGGCAGGGCGCTGTACGAGCAATTCGGTTGTTTGAATATACATAGCATCGGTTCACCGATAAAACCTACCAATATTTCCCACACAAAGGTGATGCCATTTTCGTAGGGCCCAGGATAACCTGGTGACTTCATGGTACCAGACCGCTCAGTCAACACGTCGACATGCTCTGTTTCGTGCATTGTTTAAAAAAAAAAAAACATATTAACATTGTTCTTTTGTCATAAAATCAGTGCTCCAGTAAAGAGTTAACTGCATGTAAAGAGTTAACTGCATGGATTAAGAGAATATCTGATCCCCTTTTGGCATAAAACCTGCCAATTTCAGTCATTAATTAAAACAGAGAATTGATTTGTGCTATACAATACAATTTACTCTCCTTGTCTCTTATTTTTAAAACAATAATGACATATTACCTAAGAGGGCCAGCTTTGCAAATATTTGCATTTTGATGTGTTAAAAAAAAACATCATGTTCTGATTTTGTTTTAAGTACCTTTGTTTGGGGTCTATACCCGATGCAATACCGATGTTCCCCATACGATGTTCCCCGAAATCCTTAGGATTAGGGTTAGGGTTAGGGTTAGGGTTAGGGCTAGGGTTAGGGGTAGGGTTAGGGTTAGGGTTATAGGGTAGGGATTTTGGGGAACATCGGTATTGGGGAACATAGGTAGGCCTATGCACCCCCTTTGTTTTAGTACATTGGTTCCGTACAATGTTTCTTGTGATAGTGTAATGAGAGCAATGAATCATAATCGGATCAAATTCAATTGATATTAGATCATCAAACCCAGGTCTAGACGCTGGAAATCAAACGTTTCACACAGTGGTCCGGTAAATCCAGCCTGGCAGACACATGTACAGTTCTGATTGACAAATCCTTCGTGTTGACATTCTGGGGGTTCGAGACAACCATCTGAAATGTAATATAAAATAAAAATAGTTTTTCAACAATAACTAAGACTTTAAAGGAACCATGTGGGTATGCATGTTTTAACGGGAAGATACAACATTTGCTAACATCATAAAACGAAATGATCAAATTATCACGAAATATCTGACTTGATTGTTAGGGAATGCAGTCTAAAGCATCCTGTAAAGTTGTGGCTCCCGGTGTGCTGACATTTTCAAGAAAAACTGTATTTTCCAACGCTTGTCGGCCGACCAGCGTTGGAGAAAACTGGATTTTTTTTTTCAAAATGTGCTCCTAGTTTTTCATATTTAGTTCGTCTGCGTTTTCTTTGCAATTGATTACACACCTGTGAAGACTACAAACCTATAAATTGCTCCGTTTCATCTTAAGTGGGGTCTGGGACCAGACAAGAATATGATTGGTTTTCTTGGTTTTTCCAGCATCTACGAACCCAAAACGTGAAACAAGTCAGTGTAACAATATTTGCTATAACATACTAATCCTCCAAATCCATTTATTTCTGAAAATTGCAGCAAAAGCAAATGTTGTACATTCCCTTTAACACTTTTCAGCCAAACGTTATACAAAGCATTACCTTACATTAATACCCACCCACCCATTCCATATCATCCATGATCCTTTTTAAAAGGACACAAAGCAAAACCCAGACGAGATCTACCACAGATAAAGACAACACTGACCGGAACAGTTGAACATGACGTTAGCCATCTTCATATCGTAGAATGTGAAGTATTCTCGATTCCCCATCAAATAGTGATCGCGTAGATTATGGGCGACAATGGTTGGCAGTCCATTGGAGCTGAAATACTACAAACAACCAAACAATAATAGCTTATTTGGATTCTGTCTCCGGGTGCTACAAGTATAGGTTCGCATGAATTTGCTTCATCTCTTTCAAAATATGGGTTTTACCGGCCAATTTCATGAAATGTTCATTCACTTCTGAAAATCGGTCATTGATCGTTTTCGTCTGAATTTGAATGCACGTCTTTATTCCCATTTCAATTCAACGAACGTTCAATCGTTTTCACTGTCCGTGCATTCGGTTTTGAGAAACAGACGGCTACGTTACCTGCGCATTCAATTACGCAAGTACCTTTTCTAAATTGATTTCAGGTACAGTTAATATTGATTGACGGTTAATGCCAAAGAAATCCCTAATTTTGGTGCCGATGGCATTAAACCAAAAGTGAAATAGAATGATGAATGTTTGAAATTGCCCTCTAAAAGCGAAAAAAAGTCTTGTAAACGAATCTGAATGTGACATAAACGAAAGGTGCTGCTCAATCACTTAACTGATTGAACTGGAATGGAATCGAATGCTTTTGCAGCGAAAACGAAACGCGTGTTCAGAGCGATTCCCAAATTCAGACGAAAATGAATGACCGATTTTGCGAAGTAAATGAACATTTTAGGAAATTGGACGGGAAAACCTATAGTATCCGTTGACGTCTACATGTGGGAAATTTCATGACGTTATATAAGAATTAGGCCCGTTAAATTAATGGGAACTTCATTCGGCTTGCAAGAGAGATACGTGTAATATAGACCTTTCTATTTTGTAAACACTAGGCGCCATTTTTCGTATATGGGCTGCCGCAAGCGCATAAATTGATAATTTTGTATTTTCAACAATTAAAATAATGTTTTGGTAATCATATATTTTTGCAGTGTTAACATGTTGGACCTTCCATAGTTTGGCAAAATTGTGGTTGGCAAAATGTGCCAACCACGCATCGGAGATAGGAAGGTCTACATCTTCCAAAATTGGAGCTTTTGAGATAATTTGGTGGCAGCAAACACAACGGTCCTTTTCTACCATAGACATATAGTTTGATTAGGTGTCACTGTTTTCTGTTATTGTTTGCATCATGTTGATCATGCGCACATGGGTTTAACCATGACGTAAAAAAGGGATGAAAAATTGTGTGTGTTTGCTGTGTTTGCTGCCACCAACTGTTTCAAAGGTCACCCATTCTTTAGCGGTGAATGCGCCTTAACTATTTCGATAATTTGCAATTCAAGTTCTAGCGGTAAATGTAATTTAACTTTAGCGGTAAATGCCCTTTAACTATTTCGATTATTTGCAATTTAAGTTCATTTTTTGGCTGTTTGAGTTTGTTTCGTTTAAAAAAAATTCGGTTGCTTAATGTAGTGCCTATTATGGTTTTTCTTTTTACATCAGTGACAAGAATAAACACTGCCAAACACCAACCTTAGTTAGGCACATGTCGTACCGGGTATCAGTCAAAGTTTGATGACTTTGTTACTCACATTACTGCCATAATGCATGATGGATCGCACGTCGTACGGTAGGTCGTGGTTGTCGAGCCTCAAAATATCGTACTTGACAAAGTTGTGTTTTTTGTCCTCGTAGATGTTCTCGGCGTGAATGGTGACGTAATCGTCTCGGTCGATTCGGGACTGTTCGTGGTGCCAGCCTAATGTGTGTCCGATCTCGTGAGCAACGGTCCCTGGCTGAACCAATAAATATCATTGTTATACCTCTGTCTTAATTACTGTAATTTCATTGGCCCTGAACGATCACGTGTTACGTTTATAAAAAAAAAAGTCATGGGACACTCCCTGTGGGACATCACGTACGTGATATCCCACAGGAAGTGTGCCATCATATCACTATGTACGTATGCGGCACGTACGGTGTGAAACGCTTGTATCGTTGGTACCCAAGCTATTTTTCACCATGTGTTTACACTCATGAGTGGGAGCAGTGGACTAGCAGACGATCAGCTGTTTCGAGCACACGACATGCATGTAAGTTGCCGTTAGATTGTCATGATTGTTGTGTTTACTGCAGTTTGTTTTCGTGATTTTTACATCAAAATCCAAAAAATCCAAGACAGAGGTATAGCAAACATTGACTGCTGTGGTGTGTGATATGACGTTTTGAACACCCTCGGGGCGCATAGCACCATAGGCGCCCCTCGGGTGCTTTGCGTCCCTCGGGTGTTCAAAACGTTATATCCCACATCACAGCAGTCAACAATTGTTAAACAAAACAAAAACGTATCGATCATTAACCATCTTACAACCAAATTCCATAGCCACTTTGATCATTTTGCCGCGAACAATATTCACATGCGAAGGTTTCGACTTCTTGGAGAGAAGCACACAATTATATTCATACTATTCAATGTATCTCATAAAAAAGTGACTCCACACATGCGTAAGCAGGAAGTATAATGCACAGAAATATATCATCAATAAAGTAATTTATTGCATCGATGCAGTTAATATCCCTTTTTAAATATTTCACATTTTGAAGCAGATATCAAAGCTGATGCCTAATCAAAATACACGTTTTGTCCATTTTGGACTTGGTATAATCTTTGTCGTGCAATTTTTACCAATAAGGACCATTTCGCAGATCATTGTTTTACGATGGGAACGTCGGCGCTAAAGCTATAACAAAGAGTTGAAAAGTTTGCAGGATAGACTTACGTTTGAACATCCGACACCAATGCTTATTTGCTGCAAACCGACTCCCACCATGCCTACGAAAGATGAACAACTGTACGAGAGAGAAAACACCCATTGAAATCTGCAGTTAAAATCTGACTATAAATCGTGGTCTATAATTGAAAGTCATTAATTAATATTATTAACCAAAAATTAAAAAATAGGATTAGCCTACCTTCAATATCTTGTGAAATTTTAAGATATCATTTTTATGCCACTATAGAAAAAAGTGTTGTTTACTTCGAAAAGAAAACCCGTTCCATACATCGGCTACCAATCATCCTGTGTGGCATAAAATCGGTACAACTTGATCACATCGCGCATACATGTATCTTTCTGCAGTATTCACGAGTCGGCCATATTGAATTGAGTGAGGAAAAATCTTAATTTTTGGAACTTGCGAAGAGAAATGAAAGCAAGTTAATTCCTAATTAATTCCAGTCTGCTTCAGTGAATAATTTAACATTTGTAATTATAATTTCCCTAATGTTTAAAGCCAGATTAAAAAAAAAGACAGTAAAATAATGCTGCATTGTGCCTGCATAAATAGTATGGCGCCATCCCATTGAACAGTTAACACTTAATGAAATACGTTCAGGGAACGCGACTAAAATGGCCAACTCGTGAATAAGGCCCATTAATAACGCGCGTTCGTGCGATGGTCAAATGGCATAAAAAGGTAAAAGCAGAGTGGAGTCTAATCTACTACCCTTTTGATGGAGTGACAGGTAGATATCGGTGTTAGTCTGGTTCCCTGACCTGACAATTCCGCCCAGACGTCTATAACTAGCTAGTAGGTCGTTGCAGCCGCCACCGGGCTTAAAACATACCCCTTTTTAAAGCTCGGCTTTATTTCTGCTTTGACTTCATTGATCATTAAAAGCTTTGAATAATTTGAAAATCACTTACTTCATGTATCATACAGTTTGATATTTCTGTAACAAAACGGTGACTAATGTTGAGCTGGGATCTCCTGGGACCTAAATTGTAGGCGAAGCCGAAATGGAGACGACGCCGTGTTTTGGAATAACCGCCTAGGGTAACCGTCGTCAAATTCACGGTACATGACGCAGCAAAAAGCTCACCCCTCGTACGATCCGAGGGCATACTTGATACACCGTAAGTCGTCATTGAATTTAAAGGGTAAAGATGCAATGAATATTAATCATCAAGTCCTCTTTAACAATTTTAATAGGCACGGCAGGTGAATATAACCTATTTTATACCCGGTACAAGGGTGCTATCCACGAGTGTCGCCGAAATGCATTCGGCTAACTTCGGAAATCTTCGGAAACGGGAGGCATTCCTTCCGTTTTGGCCAAGTGCCGTGGCGGCTGCCCGGCCTTAGATTCATCAGAAACAGTCAGAATCTTTTGGTCTGGGAACCACACTATATTGGTGTAAGTTTGCCAATGACCTTTGTCGCCAACCACTTGCCATTTTGTAAAATGAGATTCGTACACCCCCATTGTGAAGGATAAAACTCACCCACTGCCACGGTAGAACAGAACACGGTTGTTGTGTCCAAGTTCCAATGCACTTTTCTGGGAGTACGGTACAAACCGTACACACGTGTGTTCAGTCCATATGTTCATGCCAAGTCGGATAGCCTCGATATTTACATCTGAAATATTAAACAGAAAATCAGCCGGCAAGAAAAACCTCGCTCCAAGGGACTATATTTCTACCAGGCCCTCTACAAGACCCCTGGACCAGTTTACTAAAAGAGCGCAAAAAAGAGGCAGTGTAGTATTAGAATACGGCAAAACTTTAACTTTATTACACGATTTTTAGCCTCGATTGCATATTTAAACATTTCCTCGCCAAAAAAATGTGAGTATAACGATCATGTCTATCGCGAATTTGACATTCGTTTATGATGCGTGTACGGGAGACATGTACGGTTTGGAATATGTTGTCGATTACGTACGTCGTTTGTCCCGAGATGGTGTGCGTAAAAAAATGCATTTCCAATAACACCTAGCCGTAGTCCGTAATCGTTTAACATTAATTTAAAAACATTGTAGTAGCCATAGAGGTTTCAAGGGTGCTTTTTACCTAAGATGGAACCTCATCTTTTGGGGAAACAAATGTTATTCGGCTTTGCCCTATTACAAATTACTATATCCAAAATTCTGAACGGAAAACTTATTAAAGGTCAAAAACAATAATAAAAGAACATACCGCTATCTAGCAAATACGGCAAGACGTTCTGTGGCCAGCGTAACGACAGGACCGAGTCGACCCTACGTTTGCTGACTCCCGTCTGCGCTTCGGCGACCAGTTCCCACAGCTCCTGTCGCTGTTCCTGCGATAGCAGCATGTCGGACTGGAAAGCGCCCTCTGTGTCCTCCCTCTCCTCGGGCGGCTCCAAGCCATCGGGTCGGCCAGTTTCCAGGACTGGTCTGGGTCGGGGCCTGTCCTGCTGAGAAAATCAATTTTATCACTAAATGATCAAATTATTTATAAGCAGCAACATTTGCAATTGATCTTTTCCTGTGTAAATGTTCTGTGCAAAATGTCGGCTAACTCCGTGCAAACATCTCACTGTGAATGCATTACATACTGTACTTTCTTATGGATAACTTTGTACATGAAATAGTTTTGTGTCAAAAGTGGGATCCTGTAAACAGGAGAATAGCCAATCAACGGCCACAAATTATTAACCAATTGCTGAGAAGGCTTGGAGGGGCAACCAGCTAATACTGAAGAGGTCTTGTTCTGCGACACTTGGCAAGGCCCAGGCTGGCTATTTTATGGGCCAATGAGAAGTAGGGTTGGTTCTTTACATCCTAGAAGTATAGTTTAGGCGGGAAGGAAAAATTGCTATGTGTCACTTTTGTCTCAGCCTCTGAAGAAACATCTTGTATAGTCAATTTTACCTCACAAATATCTTTTACATTCTTGCAACTTAAAAAAATTGTAATTCTTTCTGGAGTCTTTCATGACATCTCTTGCATAATTGATGTCCCACACCTTTGTACTGGGACACAGCGTGTTTGTTTTGGAGGAGATTGTTGCTTTCCCAGTCGAACACTTCTACGTTCTCGGCTGGACTAACGTTGTTATTTCTCACACGCACAAAAGAAATAGATCTCTGGCAACTTTCAAAATTAAGCATGACCACACATTCACAATTTGTTATTTTTTATTCTCTAACAAAAGTCGTACATAGCTTGAACAGGGTGAGTAGAACAAAGATTTTTCGAATGAAATTTTGCCTTTCAAAATCTAAGATGTGAAAGCCCAATTCAGACACTTACTTCCGCCATTGTCTCGATGTTACCAGCTTGTTCACTTTGGAAAAAAGATTTGTGAAAATACGGTGAAATGTATGCATGAAGTGTATTGGCCCGGACAACTGTTTAAAGGTTCATCTATACACGATTTTGGACGATTTCAAGAAAAGTAACGTTTTTAACATTGCAACAACTGAAATTATTGGAAAGTGTTTTTTTTTTTTATTCGTTTGCTTCATCTTGCATGAACTCATTAGCCGTTTCCGATAGTAGGTTGTGATCATAAGTGTATACTAAGGGCCTTTTCGAAACACTGACTTCGTTTCGGCTTTAAAAAAATGTTATAGCCCCCAACTTTGGGGACTCAAGCTAAACTTTGGTGCTTGTTATGCTTCAGAAACATTTAATCGGTTGATATGAAGCCAAGTGTTAGAATATTTCACTTTTGGTTTGTTTCTCAGTGATTCAGAAGTCGGAGGCAAAGCCGAAGCCGAATAATAAACCCAAAGTACCACCACTTTTATTTGGACACGTACCTTATTTTGTTTGTTCGGATTCGCTTTGAATGATCCAAACACGAACTGCACGGTCAAAACCACACCCAAGAGAACTACAAGCTTCATGGCTGTCACTGTCAGTGGACGACTGCTACATGTACTTCATGCCAAGCACCATTGCCAAATGAATCCGGCCCACGTAACCAACTTGACTTATACCAAGCCCCACAAAACCACGATTGGTTCAAATTCACGATATTCTCCGGTAAAATTCAAGTCATTTCGAATAGTGGCAGATTTCATCGTGTGCGTGCCGCTGAATCAAATATCTGTAAAACCCGTGAACACACACATAAAATGAAACAATAAAACAGTTATCGTCAATCTGAAATTGATATATCCTTAGAAATGTCTGATAACTTTAATTGAGGATGACTTCAAAAGCACCGGCTAATCAGCTGGAGAACCAATTTGAAATAATAATTCCGGAATGTTTCATGTAACATTAGTATTCATGTCCAACGTCTGGATTAAACAATGTAAAGATCATCATGATATAGGGTCCCCTGCCTTATCCCTTTGAATGTAAATCTGAATTATTCACAAGAGCATGATACCAACTAAATGCACATAAATGTTATCTCAGTTGAAGTTTACTTTGCATATTTGCATTTAAAAGACAGCATAATTGAGGAGGTATCTCCGCCGTTAATGATACGTAACGCCCTCAGCGGCAAGGCGCAATTAACTTTGTTCTTCGCCCGTAGTCAAGCAAGGAAACGAGTAGTAACGTTAAATTTCTGTACAGATAGGCATTCTGTACAAAAGCATACCCCCTTCCCCCCCCCCCCCCCCCAAAAAAAAAGAAGAAATGGCTTCATTGCAAACAAGCTGGGACGGTTTACGATTTCGTGCATCGTAATTCTCCCAGAATGCAAGTGTAGTTTCAAAATGCTCTTATTTTAACCAAAATTAATTTCCTTGGCTGAAATTTGGAATATCCCTTCTCTAAAACTCTTCCATTTGCGACAAATCAACCAACCTTGTAAATTCCTAGTTTTTGAGTAAAATCCTTATATCTATGTCGTGAAAACCTTGTGGAGACGTATTCATCTATAGGAATTGCCCTGTGGAGACGTATACAAGCTTTCTACTACCTGGCACCTGCGGCTCTGGGTAGGGGGCAAGTTGGGCAAGAGAATTGAAGATGACCGTTAATTTATAGTATACTCAACCCCCTTCCTTTCTCGCATTCTGTTTATAAAATACAAATAAAGAAAACGGGGGAAATAACACCCCTCATCAATTTGTTTCCTCGCGTACGCTCGAGGCTGCCATCCTTGAACAAAAAAAACAAGTATAGCAAGGGGCGGACTTAGTTAACGCCGCTGATGAGTGATTCAATTAAATCATCTTTATTTATTTTCCAGAGGGAAAAAATTAGTCTTAACACCGATTCGAACTTTTTGTCTCGTTCAGTGTGAGTTCAATTTTTCCAAGTGACACCGACTATGCTTTGTTCAATGTATCTTAATATTCTGTATTAGAGTCTACTATATATTGGTGTGCACGAGAACCTGGCCTTCGTGTTATTTTTATAGTGTCAGGTAACGACATGTACTAATAAAGGATATTTTCATGCAAGAAAGTTCATTGAAATTTACTTTGTGAATGGGTATAACAAAGCGATAACGGCAAATATATTGCATTTTTTTTTTCAGTTTGCTTCTTGTTTAAGAATATGGCATGGCCGTTGATTTTTTTTTAAATGAATTACATGCACACTCGTGTTTTGATAACATTCATTAATATGTCGGTTCTTTGATTAAAATACAAGCATATCTCCCGCTTGAAAAAAAGGCATGCCTCCGAATACATAATCGCTTCCAAAATGGCTTCCAGTGAAACGATATCAAGATACTGTGATCGCCATATGCATGCAGAACGTGCTTTTGCCGTGAAATTGAATCGCCTGTGTGATAAGAACAATGAGTTGTCATAAGAAAACAATGCTCAATTTGATTTGGTAAAACAATGGAAATATCTAATAACACGAATGGAAGACATTATGCTGAGCTTGAATTAATTAATAGCTCCGATCAATCAAAGGCTCACTGTATTAATGAAAATGTCCGATCATTTTGAATTAGGGACGTATATAAGCTGATGCTGAAATGCATTTACTGGATACTTACTGTTTTGCATCGTGGTGACACTGACATCGATCACAATTCACAATGAAAGTTGCTGCGTTTATCGGCTTTCTCTTGTCAGTAAGTCAGTTTTGTGTCGGAGAACACTTTGACTTGGACAAGTTTAAGGTAAGTTAGTCCAACCAGACTTATTACAAGGGTGTTTTCGTGGCAATACCAAAATGTGACCAAACCCGACCCAAATTAGTCTCAGTGGTCAACAAAACGTATTTCTATATGCTATTATTCTTTTACACTATAATTTGATGTTGTTCACAAGTTTTTTCACAACGAAAATTACTAGGAACAGTCAAAGTTTACCCATAAATCATCTGCGTATAAATCAGAAACACCAAGTAACACCGAAGTGGACTTGATTGCGCGCTATACGCTCCGAGTCGCGTATATTAATAACAGAACCGAGTGATTTTCGTTTCCACGAGGCCACTGTGCGCTGACTCGGTCATTTTCGTTTTCACGAAGTATACACTCATCCTTATTTCACCAGTTTGAAGGCTTTTTATAAAAAAAATTGTAATACAAGACTATGGATTAATTACATTCTTGTCAAACGTTTTAAAACGTTTACTTTTCAAATAGTATTTCCGTATAATAAGTGTAACTTTGTGAAAACGAAAATCGTTCGCGCCAGTGTCCGATCATGCGCGCGCACAAGTCTGAAGTGTTAGGCCTACTTCGTGAAACCAATTTTTTTTTCATTAAGCTGTATGCAAGAAGTAACACTGAAGTGGACTCGGGTGTTACCTCGTGGTGTCGGTGACGAATTAATATTGCGATGCCAAGGTCAATGTCATACATAAAAATTTAGAGCAGCTATGTTCTTTCTATATTGCAAGAAAAAATAAGTGACACCACCTCTTTAATACTATACCTATCATTCATCTTTGTGCCACCTCAAAAGGCCTTCTCCATTTTGTTTCTGAAGTTGATCCTCTGCGTCGTCAGAAAAATACAACTCATCACTTGTAACTTAATCATCATTGAATCCTTTAAACGAATCCTTTCCAGGAGGAACTCCTCGAAAATGCGAAGATCGCTTCTGAAACACTGAAAAGGCACCCGATCGATGACAAGACCGATGGCGCCCTCCATGATGACACCAAACGTGCCGGTCTGGATTGCACGCGTAAGAACTTATTTTCTGCAGACCAGTTATTTGGGGGGGGGGAATGCCACATATTCTACACCTGGATCGTCCGATTAAACCAAAAGCTACACGTTTTCTTCGTGATAATGTGAATCTGTAAAGCATTTTGTTTCCTTCCCTGAATAAAAGACAGACTTTGTTCCTTGTTTTGCCACTTCAAATTTCTATAGCTTTATAGGTGTTGTTGTTTTTTCGGGGGAGGGGGAGTTAGGGGGCCTCTCCATATTCTATATATTTACTCCAGTGTTTCCACCACCTATGCATAGAAACAATGGGATACATAACCAGCTATTCTTAAAAAAGAAAAGCTGCCGTTCTGGTTCTGGGCTTAAATAGTTCCTTACCCACCACCACGGGGGAAAAAATCCACACCGTTGTACGTGTGTTAACTTGCCAAACTCTTGCGTCCGATTTATACGAGGTGACTGCAAGAACTCGACTGTTTTTCCTTTTTTGGGTGGGGTTGGGGTCAGTGTTGGTGCTTTTAACTTTTTTTTAATGATTGTTTTAATTTGTAGAAAGCTTATAAATGTATTTATATTTTTGCCGCACCTAAAAAATGAAAAACAAAATTAGGAAGTCGATCATGAAGCTAAGTAGAACGTGAATTCTTGGAAGCTTTCCCTTGGGTTTACAACAAAATTACTGTGAATTCTCAAAAGTAGTGAACGCTTAAAGAGCTCAATGCTCAGTTGTAATTTTTTAAAATTGTATATAATGCATGACATGGGGAAAGCCTACCCGCCCTTTCTTGCCCAAACCCAATTCACACAAGCCCGCTTTTCTCCTCCCTTTCCGACACTGTGTTTCTGGAGTAACTGAAACTAAAATGTCATGGCTATCTCATGCAGAGCAAACGGGAACCTGCGGTGGTACTTACTCCTCGCAAGATTTAGGCTGTATAGTGTCTCCTGACTACGGGCAGGGCGGCTACGATAACGGTCTGGAGTGCGTCTATAATATCAAAGTGAGTAATGAGGATCAATATTAAACTTTGGAGTATTATAGTCTACCGGGTACATTGTCTTAACCAGCTACTGACACCGAAATGATGAAGTAGAAATTACATTTGGATTCAATGACCACAAGTTAACCATTATATGCCAGGCTATATTGGTAATAACATTGAAACTGATCATGGATGGGGGTGAGGGGGCGCCCATTCCCCCTACACAGAAAACACAAAGTGAGTAATTTGACTCAATATTGTAATAATTGAGTCATTTTGTCCGTGTAGTGAGACACTTGGAGCCAAAGTGTGTCACTATACGGACAAAAATGACTCACTTTTTACGATAATGAGTCTAATTACTCACTTTGTGTTTTCTGTGTAGTAGGCCTATTCCCGCCGCGAATTCGCAAAAGTTGAAGACAAACGCGACGACTTTTGCGGAAATATTTGTGAAGTCAAATTCCTTTTGCATTTGCATCAAGTACAGACCAGACGTGTGCTAGTGTGTGAGAATCATATTCCGTGGATTCTTGGGCTTTTGTGATATTTTATGATTTACTTTTTTTTTTAATGCATTCCTCAACCGTTTAGGTTTCTGAAGGCAAACGCGTTGAACTGACGATTCAAGATTTGGACATCGAATCTCATTCGACCTGTAACTGGGATCGAATGGAGATAGTACCAGGACAAGGAATCTTCGGCGCCTTGAAGTAAGACTCAATCACATTAGTCATGTGACTGTCATGTAACTTGCAACTTTAAAACCTATACTAAAAACCCGGTTTAAAACCTCAGAAAGATAATGACCTGCTTCACTTGATTATAATATAGCAAACGTACAAGCCCATCCATGTTCCTTAATCGGTTCATCAAATTGGTTACATTAATGACGAATATGTTTCCTTTGTTTTTCAGCATTGTATGACAAATGTTTTGTTTTTTGGCAATCTTCTTCCCAGGGTTTGCGGTTCGGTGCCACCGCAGGGTACGTTCGTGTCCATGGCCGATACGATGGTCGTGCGACTGATCAGTGACGCCAGCGTGAACGGGAAAGGCTTTGCGGCCAAGTTTACCGCCATTAGCATAATATAGTCTATAGGGAGAAATCATGAAAGTTTTGGACGAGATTCTGAACTCTCGTCAAGAATAATGCAACCCCTCTTTTAAACTCAAATAGATTCAAGTCTGTATTGGAGGTCCCATCTAATTATTTGGGCATCCGACTGTTCCGACAGTGAAACATATAGGCTGGGCCTTTTCGAAATCCTGGCTTCGTCCTCGACTTTGGTTTCAAAAGTTTTTAGACCCCAACTTCGGGAATTGCTGCTAAATTTTGGTACATGTACTGCTTCAGCCTTATGAGGCCAGAGATTAGACGTTTGCTTGATTGCTTCCCAAGGATGCCAAAAGTCGGATATATAGCCGAAGGCGAAGACGATCGAGGCGAAGGTTTCGAAACCCCACATTTCCCCCGCGAGATTTGAATTAATACTACCTCGAGAATAACAGCGCGAATAAATATACGTAAACCAACAAGATGTTGTACTCACCCCACAAAATATAGGTCAAAACAATCTCGCTTTATTTTAATGTTAGAGTTGATCAAAGATATTGACTGGAGCTGGGTTTGAACCTGCAACCTCCTTATTGCCGTTTATTATTCAAATTATTTTACCAAAGACGTCACTGCATGCCAATGGTGCAGTTAAATTTAAAGTTGTTTATTGTGTGTCGAAAATGTTTTAGTTCTTAAAACCAAGTCTCAGTGGTAATATCTTGTAATAGAAAAAGACATACAACGTGCGATTTAGCTGAATATAATTTCATATGAACTGCTGCCACAAAAGAATAGATCATACATGGTGATGTCACAAAACTTAAGTTCCGAGGACTTTTAACTTTCTCAATGCAGCGTACTAGGCCTAAGTGTAATTGACCAAAATATCTAACATTCTTGAACAATTTTAAACAGAATAAAGGGTCCGTAAAAGAATCAAGTATATTTAAGAAAATTGGCTGACGAAACACGAGTATTTATTATCCCAATAATGTTTTGATTGGTTGGGGGCCGTGGGGGGGGGGGGGCATTTTCGCGACTACGCACAGGACATGAACAATGTCATTTCACGTGAATGTCCTGCTTGCCACGTGTGGACTTTCTTGTAAGTTGTCCATGTGCTGAAAAAAAGACAAGAACAAAAACTGAAATTCTTTTGGGAAGGGTGCCTAATATGTATCGTAAATACATATTTATTCCCATATTTTGGTATATATTTGTTCTATAACCAATGGTTTGGGTTAGAATTTCTGTTAAATTCAACCAAAGGTCGTATTTTCAATACCAAATTACATTTGGTACATTGCATGACCACAAGTTAAAGAAAAACCCAATTTCGCTTAGTTGCGGCTACTATTATAATACCCTAAAGTTGCGCGCATTTATCTTTCCCCCAGTTATCATCAAGTAGTCTTGCGAAACCACTGTACTGATGAGCTTAAAAATGTACAAACTAACTAATTGGCATAGTTACTCTAATAATATACCCTAACTAAATGGAAAATCACGTGAAAAATAACATTATCAATGATATTTCGCCAAGAAACCTATATAATTCGCCAGATTTTTAGCCCAATTTAAGGACACCCCCTTCCCCCCCTTTTTTGAGCTGACGATCATGATGTTATCATTGGTCACATTATTTTTCAGATATTTTTAATAGGTTTTAACTGTGCCAGTAAGTAACTTTGTAAATTTGAAGCTCATCAACACTGAGGTTTGGCAAGACTACTTGATGATATCTGGAGAAAAGGTATACAATACGCGCAACTTTAGGGTATCATGGTAACCATTTCAGATCTTTCATTATGTCCTCATAATTATCCAGGATTTGCTTCAGTTAATGTTCAGTTAAAAACAGAAAAAAATATGGGAATTAATGTATTACACGGCAGCTATCTATCCTGGCACCTGCGGCTCTGGGTAGGGGACAAGTTGGGCAAGAGAATCCTAGATGACTGTTTATTAAATTGATACTATAATTTATAGTGTACTCAACCCCCTTCCTTTCTCGGATTCTTTTTATAAATAAAAATAAAGAAAACGGGGGAAATACCACTCCTATCATCAACTTAATGAGGTTAAGCCTCCCGCCAACGTTTGCCCAACAGATTACTGTTCGTGCGCGCGATATTATTAAGGGCGCCCTCCATTTAATTTCACGCGTTTTTAACTGTTTTTGGTACTAGGCTAGCCGGTGTTAATGTTGGCGACTTAAAATTATATTGTAACAGGCAATTTAGGAAGAATAGAACTTTCTACTGAAGTGCTTTCAAACTTGTTCTTGCAAATATCAAATATCAAATGATCACGCAGGGATGATACATTTCACACAAAGGCCTAGGGAGACACAAACTTGCAAAGAATATTTTTTTTCTGTGGAACTGGAAATGAAATTACGAATTGGGATATCCCCCTCTCAAAAAGACGATCATCATAAGCAGGTATAAGCAAATTCGGAATTATTTATACAGTTACTTGTTGGAACTTGAAGAACATTTTAGAATTTAATTAAGAATGTAACAGAATCATATTTACGTAGGGCCTACGTTGATTCGACTCAGAGATTTGAAAATAATGAAGCAAAAATCTTTTGTGCACAGACTAGACGTGACGGGACCACGTGATGCCGCGCTATAAACGAATTACTACTACGCACGCTATGCGCTACGCGGCCACTTATTTATACATCGTTGAATGGTGTTTGTGGCTGAAAGTGAAGGTCTTGGATTATTGATGATTTCACCACCAAAATGTCAATGAAGACATCCCCTCCAACCTCAGAATGGCGAACGTAAAGGTAGCAGTTCGTGTGCGTCCACCCAGCAAAAAGTAAGTGGGGTTTGTTTTAGCAAAATAGACGTTATTAGACGGAATAATGCGTTGTCCGTTGTGTTGAGCCATAACGTGTCGTGTCATAAAGCTTGGCCGTGCGTTTGCTCACAAAGCCCCGCTGTCCAGAACGCTGTTCACGCTTCAGGGCCCTGGAGATGACACAGCGTCCTAAACAACCACACAGAGTAATTGCAGTTAACCTGGCGCTGTTTGTTTCATTGTTATAGATGGCAGTCATTAAAAATATTTTGATAATAAAAACGTGAATTCTGGACTGAAAAGGGTTTCCAGTTGTGATAGAAAAAAAATATATGGCCAATGGCAATGGCTCCAGATTCATGACATTAAATGATTAGGCCTAATTGTTTAAATGGCCGATGGGGGTTGTGTTAAAAAACTGTTAAGTTCAAAAACTGTTATGTTCTGACTAAGCAGTTGAATTGCAAAAAATGGCTGTGTAAATTTGTAAGGATGTGAGACTTCTTAAATATCATTTGAAATTTGCAAATAGGAGGTAATTTCTAAAAACTGCTTCAATAAAATTGATTTTGGAATTTTAAGTACCAAGTGATGGAAATCACTTTGATTTCATGAAGAGAGCAATTTCCATGGAAGTGACGGAGATTCAAGGAAAAACTGAGCTTTGTTAAATCACAAAAGCCATCGAAATCAGAAACGGGTTTAGAAAGACCAAGTAAAAAATTAACTAGCTTCTCGTCCTTGCCCACTTCCCTTTTTTTTGCCGCCTCATTTAAAAAAAAAAATCTATACATTTGTAATATATTTTGCTAATAAATATAGGGCGGTCTTTTAGTTTGCTTCCAACAAAATTGTAGCGATGTAGAAACGGCTGCTTTGGACACAATTTTGTATCGACAAAAGAGTCAAGAAAGTGGAAGAATTCATCTGCCACGTTGGAAAATCCACCATCTTGGAAATACAACAGTGAAAAAACAACCTGCCTCCTTCATTTTTCAAATTAGCCTGGACAAGAAACTATTTTTTTTTACTCGACCTAATGTCAAAAGTAACTTTTTGTGTGTGCAGGGAATTGGATGCAGGAGCTATCAATATCATTGATGTGAACGAGGATGTACTGAGTATCACAAACTTGAAGGTAAAATATACGTGTGTGGTGGACCAGTGATGTAGAAATTGTTGGGCTCACATTTTTTTTCTTCTGATTAGTACACAGCAAATTAACTGAGCTACTTGCAAGTGACATGTCAATATGGAGTGATACAGTCCCATACCAGTTAGAACAAATTGTGCTCATGAAATTTATTGCCAATCAAGTAAAATGTTTATGACTAGATGATAAAGTCAGACCTGGACTTGTAAGTTGTAGGCCTAATCAAATAATAAATGTGACCCAATCCAGCAAAATGAATGGAAGTTACTACTACCGGTAGTACTGGTAGGCTGTTTACCAATTGCACAGAGGAAGTTGATAGGAACAGTCAATATGTCATGCCCTTAAGACTTCTGTTGATGGGATCTGTCAAAAATGGAGGAAAAAAATGCTCATAAATTGTATTTTCATAAATATAGTTTTAAAAAGTGAACTGTGAACTGTGTTGCACTATGACCTGTGTTGTACAAGGTAACTGGCACAATTGTGTTACAACGTCTAAAGTCCTGTGGTGCATATTGGTATTAAACAATTTAGGAATAGGCCCCTAATTCCCAGTTTTTCACATTGATTATTGCACATGACATGTTCATGTGCCCTAAATAACATAGACCTATATTTGCCATTATTTGAGCAAACTGTACATTTTTTAACAATGCATATTTTCAGAGCGTCAAGTCGTCACAGTTAGTTTGTGAAGCTTATGTTATGCATGCTTGCGCTATCACCATGAACATGACTGTTGATGCAAATACGGTGCCTAAAAATGGAAACAAATTTCCCCCCAGAAGTTGTGTGTCTGCACTAAGCATGACTTAATCCCCACAAAGCATCCTGCTGCTCAGTCAGTACAGTATACACACACACACTGCCAACAAAGCTGATAAATGTTGCAAGTTGGATACAATTGTACTTTGTGACCAAGGCTGGGTCGGCTTTGCTTCACTGGCTGCTTGGGCAGGTGATTTTAGAGTGGGCGCAAACAGGAAATGCGTAAACACTACAAACAATTGATACTGCATGAAATATACATTGTACAAAACAATACAAAACAAAATGGCTGTGTACTGAATTCTGTCAATTTGAAACATTGTTGCAATCAAGATTTTTGGAACATGTTCAATTTCTGCACACATTTTTTCTTTGCTTAAATTTTTAATAAAAAGCTAATCAGTAATATGTATTCTGCAATCCAAAAAAAATTAAATTGTCAGTCAGCAACTCAGATAAACAGGTTTTTTTGAAAAAAAATATGATTTCTTAAATGCACTGTTTTAGTAGAAAATAATTATTTTTACAATGCTGCTCAAGGTCAAATGCCATTGGCTGTACACTATGTGCCTAAACAATGTATTGAATGCAATGTACAGAAAAAAAATGTAAGTTTCTCAGTATTATAGCTAGCGTGCATTTGGCAGAATGTTTGTGTTTTTTCTTCATCTTAACTGATTTAATTTTTCCCTTCAAATCCTGAGGTTTTGTTCTTTAATATATTTTCTGTGTTTCTATGATTGCTAGTGTATTTTTGATTTATTTGTAAAGTGCTTGGATCTTGCTAAATGTTCTATACATGGAAGCACCTGTGATACATATTGAATGTATTTATTATGTTTATAAATTAAACATGTATTTGTGATTGATTCCTGTTTATAGATTAACAGCTCCGAAGGTGACAGGCACCGCGAGCGAGTCAAGAGTTACTCCTTTGATCATTGCTACAACTCAGTGGATAGACAGTCGGACAACTATGCCCCACAGGAACTGGTGAGTCTTATCATAATCTTGACCATTTAACACTCCATACCCTGTGCGATCCTTCATAATCCAATCTGGAGGTTGAGAGCGTTTTTGCAGGATTGAAGAAGGTAAATGTAGTAACCTCAGCAGCGTAACTTCCTTTGAAAGTTGGAAATTATACAAAATGTGCTGTTAGGCCAAAAAAAAAAGTCTCCATTTTCTGGTATGCGCGCGCGTCGCCGTAGCCATGTGCGTCGGCAAAATGAAAAAGTTGTTTTTTCAATGAAAGATGATGTCTCAAAACCGCCAAACTCACTGGTTTGACTGGAATCCTGCTGCTGCACAATTTTAACGTGTTTTTAGATTGGGTTATGGTCGAGAATAAGCTTTATGTGGCCTCTCTGGACTCCCATATAATTTGCACTAAGTTTAGTCGGGCACCATTTGCAGTCATCAGCCGACATTTGAAGCAAAAAAAAAATCAGGTAAAAAAAAAAAAAAGCCGCGCCGCCGCACCACTATTTGGGCAAGCTCCATACCCGAAACCGGAGACTTTTTTTTTTGGGCCTTATGTGTAGTTTGTTGCTTTTTCTTTGTTTATTTTGGAGGAACCAGGAAGGGTCCATGCAAAAATGTCCAGAGTTATAGGATTAAAGTAGAGCCCAATTTCACGGCTGTTACATGTATACGCAAAAAAGTACAACATGTACAGTATGTACTAGCGCAAAGTTGGTCCATATGCAATTAAATTAATGTCGAAATCACTTATACAAGTCTAAGTCAGGGAGTCGTCCTCTTAGTTTGGACAGGATACACACATCCAATTACAACTGCCAACAAATCGTGTTAACTATAAACTGGCTTATCACTCAATCTGTTTAATCTGGTAACTGGATTAGCAGCTATCTGTAGTTTAAAGGTTATTAATTGGTTTGCTGTTAGTACTTGTGATCAAGCTGCAGAGTAACGAGATTGCTGTGACACTTGCTCAGATCAGTGTTCCCTCAGCTATGCTCAGATTGAGTCAGCGACCTAAATTAACCAAGGCGTGCAAAAAAACTTGCAGTGTGGCAATCGTTTGTATTATATTTTTTTTCCAAAATGAATGCTTATTATTTTCTAAACAAGATGTGAATACCAAAGTAAGAGAGATGGGTCTGTCTATTTGGTGGCACCATTTTCCCTTTCAGTTTGAATTTCCTTAGTTGAACTTTGCAACAATAAAGTATTCATTGAGGATTTTACATTTTGTTTACCATTTACGAGCACAGGCCCTATTGGCATAAAATACGTATAATTTCCTTCAGTCCAAACCTTGCACGCTTGATCAACATACATTTTACATGTACACAAAGTTAAATTACATGCTGTAATTTATCCAGGAATTGTGCAAACTAGCATTTTTCAAAATGATGGAATTCCCCAAACAGTCAACTGTAATCAGTCGTATTTTGTTTTTACTATGACTATGAGCAGTCAGCTTGTTCAAATCTTGTTATCGACACAGTTTCCGTTGAAATTACACCCACTACACTATGTCAATTACACAGGTCAAAATCCAGCAATATAGACCGAACCTTTTTGACTGCATACGACTTCCATGTTTGCTGATACCACTGGCCTTGTATACAGCTTTGTTGACAGTCGTTATGGCACCCATAAAGATGACCCTTAGGATTTTCCTTTGCAAAATTGTAATAATGGATTTGAAACATCTGGCTCCCTGCCCCTTGTGATGTTGATTTTCTGAGTGCATTCTTGCAATGAATTTTATTTCCAAAGTTTAGAATTCAAATTTTCATGTACAGGATAAGCCATGTAATATTGGCACATTTTTAATGCAAAGAAACTTCTATGAGTGACTGTTATTCATTTCAGTTCTTGTGTACATTACGTATACGTCTAAAATGTAGTTTGTGCCTGTGTATGGTTTTTACATATAAAATACATATAAAACCATGCACGGGCACAAAACTACATTTAATTTTGGACGTAATGTACACAAGAAGTGAAATGAATAACGGTCGATGAAAAAAGCTTAGATACAAATTCCAAATTGGATTAGGAATACATGTAGATGTCTTTGTCAAGAGAATTGGGAGTGGAGAAACAAATATTTGTCATGTAGCATGGAGGACAGCTAGTGCATGTTCATATCCCAAAATGTATAATAAAATATTACAGAATAATAATTTTGTATTCTATTTGTAATTTGTATTACAAAATGAGCTCTTTGTCTGAAGAAATTCGAATGAAGGAATGTAAATTGAGCACTGTATGGGTTCGTGAATACCTCAAACTTGATCGACTGAAACTACCCACACAACATACACTGACGTTTTGGCCATGGCTGAGGTTTCATACATTTTAAAACTAGTCATCCATAATTAGTAGAGAAATAGCCTACTACCCACTGCTTATTCCTTTGTTTGGAGCTACAGATGCCTCCCCCTCAGCTGAACACAATTATTGAAGATGAAATATCACAGGAAGAGCTCTATTAAATAGCACCATGCTGTGTACAAACTCTACATCTGCTGGGATAGGGCTGTAGGGGTGAAGCAGTGAGGTGGAACTGACATACGGTTCTGTTGGTTCACAGACACGTATCCACTCAATGCAACCAACATGATCATCCAGAGTCATTCAGTGTAGAAATTGTCCACACAATAACATTTTGAATGCCATGTTTTGCTCTGGGTTGGACCCATTGGAAAATGGTGACTAATACAGGAGCCCTGCAATAAACAACTGAGGTTTAATACTAGAAGCAGCAATTGCCATAGCGAGAAATCTTGTGTGAAGTATAAAAATGTGCAGTAAAGGATGATATGTACAGCTCATACCATCCTTAAATACATTGTATAGAGATAGACTAAATAAATGTATATGCCCTAGAAAAGTGAATTTGAATGACAATGTATAATGTACATATGTACATGTACACGTACATGTATGTACACTTTGCGCTGCACAAATTTACACTTGAAAGCCAAATATTTAATTCAAGCACTCTTTTGTGAAAGTGCTTGCTTGAACTATCAAAATAATGTGATACATGCACATGGTACATAAAAGGAAGGGATGTACGGTACATGTACAGGGCACATAAAATTATTCCATTGAACACACATAGCGCCTGTGAACACTTTGCACTGCACAAATTACAAAACCCCAATTCTAATCCACTCACAATAGCTGTAAATCCTTTAGGCTAAGAATCCAATTGAAGCAAACTGGAAGAAGTGTTTTGAAAAGAAGATCACTTGAAGAAGCTTGAACAGATTTGGAATTTTGAAAGGAATCCTTTATTTCAATTCAAGGTCCTCGTAGTTTACAGGTGATCTGAGCCTGTTGATTTGAAGAAAGGGGTTCAAAAGTAAACATGCTGTTTTGTGTTTTTCATTTGTTACAAGAATCTGTTTTATTTAACAAGGCTTGTACAAGATTGTGATACTGTTCAGCTTTTGTTAATTTTTGAAAGAAAAAGGTTGGTTGAAATTTAACAGTTAGTACCATTTTCAGCATTAGATGGAGGTGCTTTCGGTTAGTGTTTATCGTCCCTCTCTGACATGGGGGCATTAAATAATTGTTTTTGAAGGTGACAGGTGTTTATGTTGCTATGGTTACAGAGCCTCCACTGTACACACTGCACATCACACTGTTGTGAGTGTGACACTCAGCTCCGCATACTTCTGTACAATTCCAGTGTGCACAGAGCACACTATTACGCGACGATGCAGCTGTTGTGTTTCCATTAACCAACACAAGTACACTAATTATCTTGCAAAGATCTAATGGTGATATGGCGTCATAACTGTGTTCAGTATGTTGGACTTGAACTTCCAATAACATGCACATTGTACAATAATATTTCACTGTTTTAGAATTTTGGTAATTTGGTTCAAATTACCGAAAACAAATGTAGGTACCGGTACATGTTTTTTTACAAAACTAAACGTGCCTGAGTGTCAGTGGTCCTTTCTGTGTGAACATTACATGCATAAAAAAAATGCATTGTGTACTGGGAAAAACAGGTTTGTGTACATAAAATAATAATAAATCAATTTAATTCCAAATAAAATTAAAAGTGCGTACCGGTACGTCATGCTATAAGCGCTTGAACCAGTGAGCACACGCATTGTTTCCCTTCCATGGAACTTGTTTCATGAGTGGTCACGAAAGGCCATAAATCAGTTGTTCATATGCACAGGGTTGAGTATCTGAAAGAAAAAATAATCTGAAGTATGGTGGGTCCTAGCTATATATGGCTAAGTTACATGTACATCATACCGGTACATGTAAGGTACATATTATATTCATGTTCACATATTCGTGTAGGACTCGCTCTTAGTGGTACTAACAGATGGTTCACTATAATTGCTAAAGTTGTAAAAGCATGACCGGTAGCAATTGTATGTCTGATGTGCCGCCTTCTTCCCCGTAATTTCTGTAAGATTACCGTACACCATCACGGGTTCATGAACTGTAATTCAACTATTGGATTTACCAAAGGAAGATTATTTTTTATAGCGGTACATGCATGTACTGGGTATGTGATACATTGTAAATGATGTACTACAGGTATTGTAGATCCAGGATACACGTCTTACATGATGAATGACTCACTAAATATTGTAGGCACTTTTTATCTTTTTAATTATGTAAGCAAAAATAGCAACTGTCATTAATAAACGTATCGCCATGAAAAGCTTAGTTCCATCAGCAATGACCTTGAAACTGAGCTTCTGCACTTTGTTTATTGACTGATGTCAAGGAAATGGAGGAATAAAAGATCCCATTTGGAAAAGTACAGCTGACCCTTTGATCATGGAGCTATAAAACACAGATTAACGTGGAATAAAACAGACAGTTTCTTGTGGTTTTGTAGTGGCTGTTGTTAAAAGTTACCGGTACTCATTATTTGCTCAAATATTTCCAAAATGGAAAAAAAGTATGAAAATGTACGGTAGGGCAGGAATCAAAGTCCAATGAATTGAGGTTATGGTCATTTCATAATACAATTA